ATGTTTTCTTTTAAAATTTAATAATGATTTCGAGTAATTTAAGTTCCCAATCTGTGTATCGTGATAATCATATTAGTAGTACTGATTACACTTAAGGCAAACGCACAAACTAAACCAGGCAATTCAATGCACAGGTCACGCAATTAGATTGGGTCATGCACGCGCAAACGAATAGCATTTGGGTCTTCGCCATTTTTGAAGTGGCAAAAAGTTATCTTTCGCCGGAAAACACAGGATGCAAAAACTGTTTCTTTAATATTTTTTTCAAGAAGTGCATAAGACAAAACTATTTGGGTTTCAAGTGCAATTTCACTGTTAACACAATAAGTGCCAAGCTGTGTCAGTTAGACTGCGTGATATCACCGATATTAAAGCGATGCTATCACATTTTGTTACCTGGCTTGCTGCCAGCTTTGTCGCACTCAGGAAGGGACCCGAACCTGTTTCAACAGAGCTTTCTAGGTTTTAAACAACTAAACCTTCACTTTCACTTTGTAAAGGTCGACATCAAACTCGTTAGTTAGCACGCGTTCAAGGTGATTAAAAAAAACATCTCTAAACAGAAACGGACATTAGAATAATATTTGAATACGACGAAGGGGTTATAACTAGAAGTCCAGCTCGAAATGTAACTCGGAGTCGAATTCGAATCCAAACTCGATGGTTTGAGGTTCCCATTTCTGTAAACAGTGAATTAAGACAATAAATTACTTACCTTGAGCCAGTGTTGCCGCACATATAATGAGGAATTGATGTAAAACGTTTTTCAGAGCTTTCATATTGACCTCCTTTCCCTGACGGACCTACTGCACCCACAACTAAGCCTTGAGACAGACATGAATTATTTATGAGACGATGATCGGTATGTGTTCGCTCTTAAATGACATTTCTGACAAGCTGTTTAGCTATCACAGCAATTTTTCCAACCGCTCAGCGAAATAATACCGGAAATCTCTTCAGGCCTGTACGGGCCTGTTTTTTTTTTTTTGTTTTTTTTTTCTTTGAAGGCCTTCATTTCACTACTGCTTAAGTAGCGTTCATAACTGCGAGGATCGCTTTCATATTCATGCCTTAATTAATTAATCCGCTAAACTAAAAAGCGTAAGCAACAGTCTTCCTTCTTCAAAAGATTCGTATATGCTATTCAAGGGGAGTTTCCTTACTATTATCTTGGAAATGCAGAGTATTCTGAGCCATGCGAACAATACTTTCATCTGGATGTAACTAAAATCAGGAATAGGGAATGGAGAATGGGGAATGGGAAAGCGGTAACCGAGAACGGGAGTGCTGCACCGAAAGTGCAGGAGCAGGAACGGGAGTCCTGCACCCAAAACTGCAGTGGTAATCCGCATAACAATTTAAAATGGCGGATGATAACACAGATAAAGGGTCTGCACCAGATTAGGCAAGCGATCTGTGCGCATAGTCGTCGGAGCAATCATCATGGACGATAAATAGAATTTTTGTCTCAACGGTTTTAACCTGTTCTTTGAACAAGAACTCATAAACTCTTCTGATGAAAGATACCATGATGAATAATTAAGTTCTTCGAAAAGTATTAAACGTTGCGTTTATAGGGACTGTTATTTCTGACAAAGCTAGCGGATGAAGAGGAAAGAGGAAGATTGAACAGTGCGATCATTGTCTCTTGAAATTTCTTGGCTTCGAAGATGTAAAACGAGTAAGCTCCACGGGATGACATAGGAAACATGAACCCAGAATAATAAAAGAGATTCGCTTACGTTTCGATCGAGTGTTTTATTCCCAGGAAAGTTTAAAAATCGGCGATACTCATTTGCTTTACTTTGTTAAATGGAAGAACATTAGCAAGGACGGATAACGACTGATATACGAGCTAAGGTTACTTGCCACTAAATATGAACAATCTGAATTGTTCGATACTGCGAAATTAACTACAACTTGCTTTTTTCAAAAAGACAACAGGGTCGGTAACTAGTCATAATGAAATCACACATGCCTAGATCGTGCATTGTCACACGAATGCATCACATCGCTTTGGTCAGAAGAAATCTTTATTTCCATCTTTAGTCAACACAAAAAGTAATTGAAAAAGTAAGCGGCTAAGATCTTGGGAATGCAGGTGTATAAAAGAGCTTACCACTTTGAGGGAAAGACCGGATAAAATTGTGAGGGAGAGCAGACATATTCTGCACGTCTGGGGCCATTCGTTTATTCGTAGTCTCCGACAATTATTTTTTTCAGTGATTCCTAGCCCACGTATTTTTTCCATTTTTCTTTTGACCTCAGCGCTCTTTTATACTGACTAATCATATTTCACTGAGCCACTCTTTCAACATTTGCTATTTATAAGTCCATTTGAGTGGGGTCATCGTTTGTTAACATAATCTCCTGTTAAACATTTTTTGTGATAAACATTTTTTGTGATACATGTTACATGCATGTCTACTCCTGTAGGCTATTACTCTTGAACGAGAAGATAACCACCGGATGAAATTCTCTAGAATTTCTCTAGTAGTTTAGAAACTAAACTACTCAGAGTTTTCAGTCTTCAAGAATCTATTTCTTCAACTTTGATTTGGTAGAATTTCACTAATACTTGTTCGGAACAAATAATACGTTGAATATCAAACACTAATGTATGTTCCCGAGGGAAACAGTTAGTTTTGTTTTCTCGAGAGTCCTGATGTTTCTCGAGATAAAGTCGAGGGAAACATCAGGACTTGAGGGAAAACAAAACTTATTAGTTTCCCGAGGGACCATACATAAAATGGCAAAAACAAACATACTGTTGTATTCGACGCGCGGGCATCAACTACGCAATTGTATCCCTGTCGGGATACATTTGAATTTGATCAGGGGCACGTGATCAAGAACTAACCAAATACAGTGCTTGTTTTCTTGAGTGAAAGTCTAGGTATATAACAATGCGCATTCCTGAGTTGAATGCGAGCGCTCCTATTGCTTCTTAATCGGTCGGGATTTTGCCAGTCGGGCCGTTTCCACGAAAACGGTCATAAACCGTGTATTTTCATTTTGAAAACCAGCAAATGCAAAACTTGCAACTAAAACTGCAGTAAGGAAACCCGTAAATATTCTCATTCTTTGTAAAGAAACTTGTGAACAAGTCATCAAACGACTGATTACAATGATAAACACCGAAAAAGAATAAGATCATCCAGCCAGCAAATTTTATTATGATCTGGAAACCTCTGAAACAAGCAATGGCGAAAGGCAGGAGGCTATTTACGATTTCATCAACAAATAGAAAGGCTTAAACACAAGAAAGAAGATGGTTAATGATATGAAAACTCTTGTTCCCTAACTGCATAAAAGAAAATGAAATTGTAAGCCAAAGAGTTAAAAGCCTAACTGCATCCGACCTTGATCACCTTTTGTCAAAATTTTTTCAATGAGCACACGCAGCTGAAAATAGAGAAAAGTGTGAGCCAGTAACAACGACAACTTTGAACCCGTAAAATCTTAGCGAATACTTCTACGGAACAAATAATATGTTAACTGTTGAGCAATATTCTAAAGTTCATTATTTCTACAGTAGTTTATTTCTACACTTTTGAGCTTATAAAATTTCATCAAACTCTTGTTCGTAACAAGTAATACGGTGAATTTTGTGTAACGACATCCATTGGATATATAATTGTTTACTTAGGAGGCCAATATTCTTCAAATAAGTGAAATGATGCAGACAATATATTTTACTTAATATAACTGTAGATTTTACTTTCTGATCTCACTGTACTGGATTCTGGATTCTGTTAACAGCTTTTTGTTAATCTGTGAATGCAGGGCGGTATGTACTAACTGGCAGGGCTGCCACTCGACTTTAGGGTCTGCAAATTTAATTACCCCTTATATCTAATAATAAACAAGGAAAATATGATTACATTTGAAGTGTTTGAAAGTTGGGTCCAATATTTTGTTTTTAATAGCCGAAGAAAAAAACTTGAAAAACAAGTCATAACTAGCAGACTAATAAGACTAATAAAACATTAGGGAAGTTTTACAAATTCACGCAACCGAAACATTTAGAGGACGGTATAGGAATGATTGTGAATCAGTGGCGTACAGAAGCTGTGAACATCTCCTAATATGAAAATCAGCTGAAGTCAAGAGAGAGGATCAAGTTGTTTGGTACGCTACCCCGTCCTCTACAAACTCAAAAGCGAAACCACAAAGAAACTCAAGATGAGGAACACGTTATAGGCAACCACAGACGTTGTTCCGGCAGTTGGTTCACCTTTGGAATAAAAGGATCAAATTGAAAAATGCTAAAATATATAAAATGAAATTCAATGACGGTTGAGGGATTTCTCAGTTATGTTACAATTTTTACAAGCGTAATTTAATGATATTTGAGAGGTCTTTCAGCGATCTGCTCTGGTTAACCCTTTAACTCCCACATCAAATTTGTAATTATCTTTACTGTCAACTATACAATTCTTATAGTGTTAGTTCAGAGAATTTAGTATTGGATCAACTAATTACCCCCAAATTGATACTTTTTCACATCACTTATCTGGCTGATATTGTATTGATATTGTAAGGAGAATTCTGCCTTAGTCACTCATGGGAGTTAAAGGGTTAAGCCTCGAGCAGACAGGAAAGTAAGGATTGTAGTTGAAAGCTATTAGCAGACCGATTCTTTACCTACTGAACAAACATATTCGTGAAGCAGCCTAACATCCAGTTTCTTTTTTTAAGCACAATTGGTTCAATTACAAAAGCCACAAAGATGCTCACCGTCTCAAGCTGGATTCGAGGCAACGAGACAATATGTTTCCTGAGTTCTCTTCATGAGAGCATTTTAAAACAGTGATAGATTACTTCATGCATATGCGACTCTCTTCCACGGATACGAAAATCTTCTCTAGGCAATAATAAGGATTGTTTTGCAAGAAGATTGTGTACCTCGAAGGTGTTTTAGACATTTTTCTTCAAAATGTACCTATGCACTAGCCCAAACCTTGATGTCACTAAGAATACTTACTTTTTTGATCGATGTCAAAGCTTTGACACTGCTCCTCGTTAATGTTCTTAGAGCAGCCCGATGGCAGACAGCAGTAATAAACTCCAAGGTCAGCTTTGCTCAAGCTCGTGATGGTCAAGGAAAAGGGATCGTGAGGTCCCTTCTGGCTTACCTTGTAACGCTTATCCATTGAAGAATCTCAAATATAAACATTTATAAAGATTTGAGAAGAGTTAACTTAACCGGTTGCAAATAGCATTGATACACTTACCGTCTTTTGGCTGATTGATAATGGATGGTAGCTATATAACAAGTTGACTGACTGGCTGGCTGATCATCAGCATAACAGTTGATCTACCTGACGGACTTAGTACCCAAGACTGATGAATGATCTTACGGACTGAATTACTAACCGACCGAATAACTAAATGCTGCCTTGCTGACAGAGAGAACGATAGAGTGACGTAATGGCAGACTGGCTGACTGACCGACTGACTGACTGACTTACTACCTGACTGGCTGATTGACTGACTTACTAATTTACTGGCTGACTGACTGATTGAACTGAATGGCTCACTGGCAACAAGACGATATGGAAGACTGACTGACAGAATGGTTGATAGACAGCTGAACAAACAATATGACTCGCTTACCGAATTATTGAATGCAGAGAAGGAACTAAACCACTGACTGACAGACAATAAAAGTTTTTTCGAATTATGTCCAATTCAAACTTACCTATACAAGTCTTAACTGTTTCGTCTGTCTCACTCTTAAACTTCCATTCCACCCTCAGAGGGTATCCTCTGGCACCGCACTTTAAGGTTAAGTCGTCTCCCAACTTCTTTGCGACAGTTTTGCCATCTTTACTTTCAAACCACGGTTTAACTGGAATAATTATAATAATGATCATGAAAATAACAATGATGATAATAATAATGCTGTTGAAAATGATAGTGCTAATGGCAATACCGATATTACTAACTACTGCCACTGATAATCAGTGATAACAATTATATTACTGATGAAAGTGATAATAACAATAATAATGATAATAATAATGAAAATAATAGCAACAAGAACAACGAGGAAGTTGAAAAAGCCCTTTCCTTAGAGTTAAATTAACTTAAGTTGTCGTTTTTTGGGGGTTTGGAAGTTTAATGGGGATTCAGGCAAATGAAGCCACTGCACATTGCCCGGTAAAAGATGATGATGAAACAATGAAGAAATGTAACATAGTAGCTAACGAAGCACTTACTTGTGAGCGAGGTAGTTTCTTTTACTTCGCGAGGCACCTTGCCTTTAAGGAGGAATTTCAAGTTGCAAGAATACATCCCTCCATCTTTCATGCTAATATCTTTGAGAACCAATGAAGTGGATTCTGAAATTCCGTCCTTTACCAAAGTGTCAGTCAGGTTTTCGCCGTCTTTGGACAACCACAAACTTGTCAGTGTTGTGGATTGGCTTCCTCTGAATGTTATGTTGCAAAAAATCGTCGCGGAAACAGAATGATCCACCGTCAGGCTAGAGACAGTCACTTTGGGTATATCACTTTCTGAAAGAAAACGAAGAACGGAGCTCTTACTGCCTGAAAGCTTTTTGGAGCAAATCTCAACGGTCAATAAGCCGCCGAAGGACGATATCACAATGAGCCAATGAGCGCTAAATGTTTAAACAAGCGAGCTTTTTGCAGCGCGGGAACACGCAGATGGCAAAGTCTAGAGTGGTGGCATGAATTTTATAGACCAATCACAAAGCATAGTGAAGCAAAAAAATATAGGATCACTTTTGACTCTTGATGGAAAATTTTTCTAAAACCAACACAACAGGCGTCATATTTATAATTTATAACCTTTACATGGCGTATGATTAATTTCTCTGATTATCGTGATAACGACCAACAGCTCTCTTTTTTTTCTAAGCCCACTCAACACTACATGAAGTTATTATAACTCATTATTTCTAAGCTCACTCACCATTATATACAGAGGGTGAAGTTATTATAACTAATTATATCTAAGCCCACTCATCACTTCATAAAGTGGGTGAGGTTATTATAACTAATTATATCTAAGCCCAGTCACCACTACATACAGTGGGTGAACACCTGGTGAAGTTATTATAACTGATCACCAAATGCATACGGAATTATTTACAGCAGAACCTTGCCAACTTGTCCTTTCTATCGAAACGGAAAACAGTCGGAGATAACAAAGAGATCAAGTTAGCTGATGGTAACTGACGAAAAATTAACTTCCAAGGAAATTACTTAAAGCTCGAGGTAGAGAGTTAAGTGCGATTTATCCTCGGTGACACATCAATTTGTTGCTTGAGTAAATGTCCTGCATGCGTAGTCAAATATCTGTATAAGGTGCTATTTTGGCCGTGGGTTATAGAAACAGTTACAATTATGTATCTCTTTCGCTTAAATTTGAAAATCACTTTATCCAGATGTTTATTAAAGAACATACCTCGAATTACTTTAATATGGAAGGCATACTTTGCGGTTTTACTACTGTTCACTGCGTCTGCGATGCATCGGTAACTGCCCCCGGTTTTTAACTCGTACTTTTCTGTGACGTTGACGATTGTCATGGTAACTATGAGCTTGCGACCATTGTCTGGAAGTAAAGAAAAAGGAGCTGAGACATGAAACTTTTCATGAGCCCTTCTTTTATTACAATCAACTTCAAAATAAGGTATATATATCTATATATATAGATAAGTTAAAGAATTAAAGAGGACGCATCGATTCTCTGTGACTCTGAGAGTTTCGCGCCAAAGCGCTCGTCAGACAGAACTTTATTTAATGAAGAACATACCCTACTTATATACAAATTAGATAAGTAGCTTCTTACTTCACTAGTGTGATGATCTAATCTACGTGTGAAATATAGATTCTATAGAGCTATTGCTGGCGGCTTGTGAAATTTGTTAAGTAAAACTTATTCTCGTGGCGGCATTAAGAAATGAGTTCTGTTCTTTTGTTTAATAAAGACGGCTTCCTAGCTCTAACTAAATAAAGTTTTTCTGTGAGGTACAAGTGGCACCTTCTTCTTTTGTTGCTTTAGGCCGGGGAGGTCGCTAAAATACTCCAGTTAATTGTAAAATTGGTGTTGTTGTCTTTGAGTGTCCAGATATGCTTTGATAGTTCCGTGCTGTTTGAATAATTTCTGTTCCGAAAAGAAAGTTTGCGTTGCGTATAACGTTGTTTAAAAGTTCCTTCTGTTAGTCTAATGTAATTCTTTCCGGTTGTGTCACATTCTGTTGTTACGTTGGCGTTGCAGACGATGCTTGTAGTGAGGCAGTTGTTTTTCAGAGGGCAGTTGTTTTTTTCCTGCAGTTACAGTTGTTTTCCGTGCAAGGTGTCTCGCTTGTCTCGAGAATTTTTCTGTTGTGTTTCTTAATTATGGTTTGTAGGTTGTCTGTGCAGCTTTAACTAGCTTTTATGTTGTTTTTGTTGAAAATCTTGTTGTATTGGTAATTTTTCGGAAAATGTTTACTGACGAGGTTCAAACACTCTCTGCCGATGTCTGTTTGTACGTTCATGCTGTAGGGCGGATTAAACCAAATTATGTTTCTCTGTCTGTTCTTGCGGCTGTTCTGTACGGTGTGAACGCCAACAATAGCTCTATAGAATCTTTATTTCACACGTAGATTAGATCATCACACTAGTGAATTTGTATATAAGGAGGTATGTTCTTCATTGAATAAAGTTTTGTCTGACGAGTGCTTAGGCGCGAAACTCAGATTCGATGCGTCTTCTTTAATTCTTTAACTTATATATACTTAGCTCTGCTACCACAGCATTGAGCACTTTATGTCAAGGTAGACTCTACCCCCACATTTATATATATATATATATATATATAGTTCAAAATGACTAAAATGATAATAAACCAAACCAAGTAATACCAAACGTCTGTGATTTATATTTCTAATTCAAGGGTAACTGAGAAGTAGGAAAGCCTGTTCTTCTTAGTAACCTATGGTTGAATTGTCTTCATATGATAAATGATGCACCTTTGCTGAGATTTCTCCCAGTTTAAGCATAGTTGACAAACTTTTCGAGGTTTCTTACCTTCTCGTGTTGTTGTAAAGTTGAGGTTGCTGTCCTTATCAGTTAAATTCTTCTCATTCAAGTAATCATCTATTTCAACAAATCGGATGCTTTCTGGCATCTCTTCATTGGCCTCATCATAAGCAGTGCAGGTTATTTGGAGTGAGGAATACTCCATCGCATAGCTGGTTCCTGGGGTCACCCCGACTTTCAGCTTAGCTGAGGAGGAAAAGAAGCAGAGAAACATTTAGGTGATAGCTACGAAGAAAAGAAAAGTATATGCGGGCTTCGTTTGTGATGTCAGGAAGAATGGATGTGAAGGACTCTTTCGAAATCCTTGCGCCTCGCACTACTTACTATTTAAGTTAACTTGTCTTTGAGCGCGCAAATAATTTTATTTTGGTTTCTTGGCAAGACGTTCGTCATCATCATTAATAATATATGGATTTAGCCAAGCCTAAAAGCGGAGCTCGCATTTTTTTTCCCTCACGTCTCAAGGGCACTAGGACTAGAACCCGGGTCGTCCGACTCGGAGCTCAGTGCACTGACCACTGGACTACTGGACAAATAAATAAAAGTAGCACCTTGTACGGTCGTACGGTCGTACGGTCGTACAACCAAATTTTTTCGGCTTGATGGGTTACTACTATTTTGTATAATTATGGGGCTACGCTCTGCGAGCTCCGCTATTATACAATTTTACATACCATCCAGAACTTATGTATATTATTTATATATTATCTATGTAATTAAACATCTTGTTACACGTTATTTATTTATCCATATATTTATTTTAACCGTTATATTATTTTATTATAGTGAATTAGTACAGAAGAGCCACCATGTGGAGTACTAATAAACCATTATTATGATTATTTTTTACTACTATTATTATTATTATTAGGAGATTGTCCTTGTAAATTGTAAAATATGATGTATGAATGGTCTATTGTAGGCAATACCGTACACACAGTGAGCAATGTTCATTTGCTGCTGCGAATGACCACCGGATATATCATGCAAAAAGTTGCTTTTTCAACTTGCTTAAGGTTACTTCCTACCTTCGTGGGTGTCCTTCAGGAAACAATTTGCGCACGCGCTAGTTTCACTACAATCCTAGCAAACTAAATATCAGAAGAATATAGCATCCTTGGGTGCTTTTGAAGATTTCAGAATTTTTTTTCTATGGAAACGTTAAGTTGAACGTTTGAATTCAGTTACGTCAAATAGAAGAAGAATTGATTTTTTTGGGCCTCTGAAGATGGGAAGTTTGTGAACAATGGTGGCACCGTCGTTTTGTTACTTCTTGATTTATCAGCAGCTTTATCAGCAGCTTTTGACACTGTTAACCACAGTATACTACTCGACAGATTGAAGATGCGGTTTGGTATCAAGGGAAGGGTCCTCGCGTGGTTCAAAACCAACCTGGCTGGTCGTAGTCAATTTGTTTGCCTGAATAGAACCAGCTCCAGCAGGTCTGATCTAATGTATGCTGTTCCCCAAGGTTCCGTTCTTTGCCCTATTTTATATCTTTTGTATACGTCTCCTCTTGGTGAAGTTTTAAGAAGAAATAACATGAATTTTCATTTCTACGCGGATGACTCTCAGGTTTATTTTTCGTTCGACTCTAATTCGTCTGTAATTGTACCCAGAATTGAAGCATGTTCACATGATATTGCGACATGGATGTCTTTGAACAAACTTAAACTTAATGGTGACAAGACAGAGCTTTTGGTCATGGGATTGTAACATCGTCCAGTCTCTCTCACAGCGATTGATGGTTCAGTTACAAATCCCTCTCACTCTGCCAGCAACATAGGTGTTATTTTTGACAATAGTTTGATTATGAAACTTTAAGTGGCTGCCATTTGTAAATCCGCCTTTTTTCACATTCGTAATATTTCTCGTATCAGGAAGTTCTTGTCAGCTGAGAGCACCAAAATGTTAGTGCATGCCTTCGTGATATGTAGATTGGACAACTGTAACTCTCTTTCATATGGACTTCCGAAATGCTTGATTCATAGACTTCAGTTAGGTCAGAACTGTGTGGTGCGTCTAATCTTATGTGGTTCTTAATATGACCGTTATACTCCTTTACTAAGAGAACTACACTGGCTTCCCGTGGAGCAGAGGATTGTTTTTAAAATCCTACTGTTGACTTTTAAATCTTTAAATGATTTAGGTCCTAGCTATATTCGTGATTTGCTGCAAACTTACAAGCCATCTAGGAATTTACAATCATCAACCATGAACTTGTTAGTGACGATTAGATCGAGGTTAAAATTTTAAGGTGATCGTGCTTTTCGGTCTGTGCCCCTAAACTTTGGAATGATCTTCCATAACATATAAAATGTAGTTTAAATTTTACATCTTATAAGAGCAACCTTAAAACCTATCTTTTTAGGCGTTATTTTAATTTTTTGCTCTAGACATTATACTGTAAAGCACCTTAGAGCTCTAGAGTAGGGCGCTATCGAAGTTCTTGCATTATTATTATTATTATTATTATTATTATTACTATTAAGCAACCCTAAAGTCAAGCGAGTCGACAAACTTCAACGTTTCGACTGTCTTTGAATTTAAGCCACCAAATTAGCTCCTTCCACAAAGGATTTACGTATGAAGCAATTCAAGGGGAATTTCTTACTTTTCAACCTTAGCTCCCCAAAGCAGCAACATTATGCTATCCACGTGAAAAAATACATCAACGATTCTTCAAAGTAAACGGTAAAGAGCTTGTTCTACGAAAGATCTGGAATACAACTTGAAAAACCTTTTAGCGATGCCGTCCAAAAATTAAGAAAGATTACTATGGGCAAGATTCACCTTGTCTTTGATCCAGCGAGAAAGAATATCGAAAACTACTTTAAGAAATCCATTTAATTAATTTGTTTGGATTCAACATACAGACCAGTTGGCTTGTTAGCTCAGTTGGTAGAGCGCTTCACCGGTATCGCAGAGATCGTGGGTTCAAATCCCGTGCGGGCCTGAATTTTTTTCAGACCTTAATTCAACTACTAGTTCAGTAGTGTTCATAACCGCAAGGATCCCTTCTGTGTTCGTTTCTTCAACCGCAGTGCACATATTTGATTTTCATATATTTATAGTCATTGGTCACAGTAAATTTATATATGATTGCTCTTATTTGGGAAACTGAACTCGGTGGTTAGCAAAACCGTGTGAAAGGCCTTTAAACAAGTAGAGTTAATTTCTTGCAACTGATAGACTACGTAATAACGTTGAGCCAAATAAGTCAGCTACTACTTACTTACTACTACTTACTGCTTTGACCACCTCTTAAACGAAATTTTTCTGTGTATGATAGTGGTTGACATGGTGGTTACAAGTTAATCATTTTCGTAAGACAAAAAACCGCTTCCGTAAAAGCACGTCTGTAAAAAAGAGCTTTCTCACTCGAGCATCTGCTCGTTTGAACGTTCCTTTCGCGTGCGCTCCGCGAGCAGAGGTCAATCTTAAGTTATTCATCACGTTTGCGCATTATTAATATCATAGGAATCGAATGTTATTTCTGCTCTGATCGAAAACTCTTTTCCTGCTCGTAAGTTAGTCTGGATTTTTTATGTTTAAAATTTTATAATGATTTCGAGTAATTTAAGGTCCCAATCTATGTATGGTGATAATAATATTCGTTTTATCACAACTTGTAAAACTGATCACCCTTAGGGCAAACGCAGAAACTTAAGCAGGAAATTCACAGGTCATACAATTCGATTGGGTCACGCACGCGCAAAAGAAATCGCTTTTAGATCTCCGCCAGCTTTGGAATGGCACAAAGACATCTCTCGCCAGAGAACTTCTTCGCTATTGTTTTCAAGAAATACATATGACAAAACAATATGGGTTTCAAGTGCAATTTCACTGTTAACTCAAAAAGTATCAGTTAGACGACGTGATGTCATCGATAGTAAAGTACGCCTATCACATTTTGTTACCTGGCTTGTTGCCAGCTTTGTCGCACTCAGGAAGGGACCTAAACTTGTTTCAACAGAGCTTTTTACTGGGATACCTGTGGTAGCCCAGTCATAAAATGCCTTTGTTTTTCTGTCGTCTTTTTTTTTTCCTCCGCCACAAAATGGAAAAATTGTGCAATAGTACCCAGTGGTTACTGGGCCCTCAACACCATGACAACTAACTGTGATCCAATGAGGTGTTCACATGCTGATCACGCGTGTTATCTTGATGATGATTAACGTTGTCTTGCATGGACAGAGCCCTGTTACATGACGAACCACCAGATTTTTGCTTATAAAACTCTTTTGTCAGTCGTTTTGAATTTCAACGCGTTTGGATTACGATCACCTGGAGCAATATGGCGCAAACGCTCAAAATACTTACAGACGCATACACAAGTCGTATTGTTCGCGGCCAATCTACACCAAAAGATGTTATTGAGCGGTAAGTTTGAAACGGATTGAGTCACGAACGCTTGAAAGCCATGAAAGCCTTGTATGCCTTATATGCCTTTGTATGCCAAGTATGCCAATGTCTTCTCACTCGAGCATCTGCTCGTTTGAACGTTCCTTTCGCGTGCGCTCCGCGAGCAGAGGTCAATTTTAAGTTATTCATCACGTTTGCGCATTATTAATATCATAGGATTTGAATGTTATTTCTGCTCTGATCGAAAACTCTTTTCCTGCTCGTAAGTTAGTCTGGATTTTTTTTGTTTAAAATTTTATAATGATTTCGAGTAATTTAAGGTCCCAATCTATGTATGGTGATAATAATATTCGTTTTATCACAACTTGTAAAACTGATCACCACCTTTAGGGCAAACGCACAAACTTAAGCAGGAAGTTCACAGGTCATGCAATTCGATTGGGTCACGCACGCGCAAAAGAAATCGCTTTTAGATCTCCGCCAGCTTTGGAATGGCACAAAGACATCTCTCGCCAGAGAACTTCTTCGCTATTGTTTTCAAGAAATACATATGACAAAACAATATGGGCTTCAAGTGCAATTTCACTATTAACTCAAAAAGTACCAGTTAGACGACGTGATGTCATCGATATTAAAGTACGCCTATCACATTTTGTTACCTGGCTTGTTGCCAGCTTTGTCGCACTCAGGAAGGGACCTAAACTTGTTTCAACAGAGCTTTTTACTGGGATACCTGTGGTAGCCCAGTCATAAAATGCCTTTGTTTTTTGTCATCTTTTTTTTTCCTCCGCCACAAAATGGAAAAATTGTGCAATAGTACCCAGTGGTCACTGGGCCCTCAACACCATGACAACTAACTGTGATCCAATGAGGTGTTCACATGCTGATCACGCGTGTTATCTTGATGATGATTGACGTTGTCATGCATGGACAGAGTCGGGTCACATGACGAACCACGACATTTTTGCTTATGAAACTCTTTTGTCAGTCGTTTTGTATTTCAACACTATTGGATTACGATCACCTGGAGCATTATGGCGAAAACGCTCAAAATACTTACAGACGCATACACAAGTCGTATTGTTCGCGGCCAATCTACACAAAAAGATTTTATTGAGCGGTAAGTTTGGAACGGATTGAGTCACGAACGCTTGAAAGCCATGAAAGCATTGAATGCCTTGTATGCCTTGTATGCCTTGTATGCTTTGTATGCCTTGTATGCCAAGTATGCCAATGTCTTAGTTGAAAAACGTACACTTGTTGTAAAAAGCAAAATCTGAAATCTGAAATCTGAAACCAAACTGCATATACTCTGTGCAATCTATTGAACAACGCTACTACCGTGAGACTGAAGACCAAAACTCTAATGGATGCAAACTGCTTGTGAAGAAAGACGCCATGTTAGATTCACTTGATGCCAGTGAACGTAGCTACGATAGCAGTGCGAATGGTATTAATTTCACGATCAGAAGGGTGAATTTTATGTTTGTTTTCATTGTAGTTGTATGGATATTCTTTTTTAATAAATACACGATCCAAAATCCTGTGTTTTTTGTGAATGATGTTTGTTAAGTATTGTTTACGCAATTGTCTTATCACAGACGGCCCAAGCTCAAGTCTCGAGAAAAAGCCAACGGTGAATTCATGAATGCGTCACGCGCTGTATGACTCGGTGTTAAGTTACGAGAGGAACCGTTGAAAATTTGAACACGTTCTAAAGAATAGTATAAGGAACGAAATATGGTCGATTTACAACGATAAATATTTCGAAATATAAACATTTTTCTCGTAAAATCTATAAAACTTACTCATATCTTGTGTATCCGTTGTAGTTTCTGGCGATTTCTGCCGTTTTAAGCTTGCTTTACCATTACTATTTTTCACGTCATCTACTTTTATTACGTTGGTAAAATCTGTACAGACATCACACCAACCAACTCGCGCCCAATGTAAGAAAACTATATTGAAGGCTTAAAATTATATTACGATCGATTTTCATCAAGAAATGGGCCTGGAATTTTCCACAGTAGTGCAAATAATCGTGGAGGCTGATCGCGGAAAAGCGATTGCGTGACGCTCGGTAAGCTGCAAGATAACATGCTATTATATACCAGACATAGAAACTCTTGAAATTCTCAGTCTGCATTTTGTACCCACTCTGCAGTCTATATTTTGTATCCGGTCTGCAGTCTGCTGTCTGCATTTTGTACTAACAGGTATCCTTGGCACCAATACAGTTATTTTTGGTTACATTTATTCGCACAACACACATAATCTAATACAAAATACCTGTGTGTGAGGTAATTCGACATTCTCGTTCTTTTCCGCGTTAACACTCTTCTTTACTTTTGTAATAATGTAGACCACTTACAATGTTTCAAGTAATCCACCCACCCTACAAAAAATAACTCTAGCATGCATAGCATGCCTATGTTTTGAAACAGGTGTATGCCCTTGGCCAGACTTGAGCTTACTATTTCAGAATACTAGTCCGACACCCCCAGTATCACTACACTTGATTCCAAGGATCCAGCACCATCCAGGTATCCCAGTTACCCTGCTCACAGGGTCTAGTAGGTTTTAAACGACTACACCTTCACACTCTTATTGTAAAGGTCGAGATCAAACACTTTAGTAAGCGCACGTTCAAGGTGATTAAAAAAGCATCTCTAAACCGGTACGGACATTAAGAAAATATTTGAAAACGACGAAGAGGTTATAATTGAAGGTACCGTGATCTAACAGTGATTTAAATTTCTCGCATTTTCTCGCTGGTTGCTGCTCATCTATGCAGCAGTTTATGACGAGGAAAATGTCTTTTGAAAACGAGCTTTAATACTGGACACTAACATGTTCAAGACATGGGTAAATAGTGTTGGCGAAAAAGCACCTTTTTTCGCAGTATTGGGGCGCAGTTATAAAACAGATCAAATAAATAAACAAACTATGCACCTTAACTTAAAGTTCTATCAGGTCTGTCTCGTCGCCCTAGGAACAGAATAAATAAAAACTTCCCCACATTTTAAGCTTAAACAAGCTTAAACCACGCGAAAGGAAGGCATTGATTTACATATGTTTTGAAGGGAAATTTTGCACGAAAAGCGATTCAAGCCCCTCCTCTCCAGTTTCATTCCATGTTATGTTTTCGGTGCAGACATAGCTCAATTAGCGACGTAAATTTTTGACAGCAATACTCCAAATGACACCTCAATTTCGACAGATAAAAGATCAGCTTACCGTTAGCAATTCCAGCCACCGAAAATAAGGCCAGCAAAAAGAGCTTGGATGTAGAGACAACCATCATTGTGTTCCGACAGGAAAATTTTTCTTGTTAACGTGATGTTGGTTCAACGTTCTATCCAGCTGGACAAAGGAGTGTTTGCCTTTATCACGAGACATGAAATATCTCACCAGTAGGCGTTTTTTCAATGCACTTCAGAAATGGTATGTGATTGGCTTGCGAGAGACTTTCACCTGCCAAACATGCGCGTGTCCCATCAAGAGCATGCAAATTTTGCGTGTTTAGTCGGTCGCCTGAGGTCGTCAATCATCACCGGAAAACTTGTATAATAACTTGTACAAATTTTTAGATTGCATAATACTTTTTTCACAAAAATTAGGAAACAGCTTATGCCGAAACCGTTTTTTGTCTATGTCTGCCGAAGGCCCTGCTGCAACTTGAAATAGGCTGTGAATTTCATACGTTGTGAGATATTCCTGTCACAACGAGGGTCTTTTATGTAGGGTTAAAGTTTCAAGGTTCTAGAATTTGCTCGATATCATTGGGGTTTCATAGCGCCTTAAGCAATTCGCAAGTATCAACCTTTGGTCGATAGTTTCTTTGAACACACGAACAAAGGGTGAACGAGCACGAAGCTCGCAGATTACTCCGGCGTCCTTTGCCTTATCAAATTATTTAATAATTTAGATGAAGGAATCCTGATAATATTTCGCACACGCTATCATTTTGAGGGGTCAGTAAATGTAGTTCTGTTCCTAAAATAGCTTAGCTTTGAGTTAATCGACACAAACAAGTGTTTTTTTGCACTTTATCTTTTGATCCTTCCGGACTTAGGTTAAACGCACGCGTTTAAGCCGCGGACAATGAAAACGCGCCTCGCCAAGAGAATTCTTGTCACCCTTTGATAGCGTATCCTACACTGACAGAAAAAACAAAGGCGCCGGTACAGGAAAGATTAATAAAACTATAACTCTGAGATGGCATTTCCATTCCCTCTTTTTCAGAAAGATCCAGTACATATGTCATGTAATTTTATTTTAATTAAGCCACAGATTGAAGTAGGTAATTTAGTGTTAACAACTGAGTTGAAAACGTAAATTAGCGACCGTAAAGGGTAAAAAAGCTGACGTTTCGAGCGTTAGCCCTTCGTCAGAGCGATTGACGAAGGGCTAACACTCGAAACGTCAGCTTTTTTACCCTTTACGGTCGCTAATTTACGTTTTCAACTCAGTTGTTAACACTAAATTACCTGCTGTACTCTCTCACCGACGCAGCACCACAGTTTCTTTAGAAAACGTTACCCCCTTTATTCACAGATTGAAGTAATTTTGAAAGTAAAGAGGGTTCTTTCCTTAGGAACGTCTCTTTAAGACTGATGTCATTGCGTTTGCGCAAGACTATATGTAAAGACTAAGATAGGTAAACTTCACCCCAGGGAAGTACCACTGGAAAAGATAATAGAGGAAGTAAGAGGGGGGGGTGGGGAGGGTAAAGCGCCAAAAAATATATTCCTAGAGGAAAAATTGGGTGACGCAATGAGATACTTTGTAAACCATGAAAGACGTGTCAACCAAAACAAATCATAAATAGTCTGTTAAACAACAAACAAACATACAACCTAATGAATTCTTCGTTGCAATAGTATTCAGTAAAGCTCTGTTGCGCATTTGCTATCTATTTTGATTAAAACTTTCAAAACATGTTTGGAGAAATTACTTAATTATTTCTAAGTAGGATAAGTAATCTTGGCTGAGTGTCTTCTTTAGCCAAACGGTATCAATACTGCTCCCAAAGGATACTAACTTTGAAATCTAATCCCTAATATGTGGCCTTTTTAAAACATGTAAATGCTTTGTAAAAAGGTCAAATCTTGCAATAAATACGATACATTCACGAGTAAATAAACTGATTTACTTCTCTATCACTTTAGAAAAGTATTTTTAAATCTATTACCGCGCAAATAATAATAATATTAATAATAATAATGATGATGATAAGACTCAACGGTAAAGACGATTCATAATTTTACGGCCATCATAATATTTACCACTATTATTTTACAGTCGATGTAACTAAGTTTTCACTGCAATCATAAGTAAATTTGCTAACCGCAAAAAATCGATTCTACAAAACTTGATGGATAGCGTGCTTTACGGAGATCAACTTGTCATGCAATTCTACGCTACGTTAACAATTTCCTACTAGAAAAAGCGCCAGCTTTTGTGGCATTCCATGCCATGAGACAACGTCTCAGTGTTCACTTAAACATCTACATATCGTCCTAATTTTAAATAAAATTGTCACAGCTTACGTTATTTTTCAAAAAGGAATCTTATGTAGGTGGCTTAACTATCAATATGTAAATGATGCGTCTTTTCATCTTCAGCGGGTTCATCACTATCATCTAGCTGCGCAACAGGTGATTTACAAAACTGATCACGACTACTTTGCTTTCTTTTTCGGTCTAATTCACCGGGAGCTGTTCTTCGTTAGTGCCTTTTTTTTCTCATGTCTAAAATGAATTCCACCAAGTCCACAGGAACGCTGGCATGATGATTTTCAAATGATTTGGAACTGAGGTTGCATGCGCCACTGAAAATTAAAATAAAACAAAAATTTTACATTGTGAAAAATGTTAATTTTTTAGTCCAAAAATAGTTACTTTAACATCGAGCTTAACTGCCATGTCAGACTTATTGTACAGGCGTGAGTACCTTTTTGTTTTGTTTTTAAAAGTTATATCAGAAGCGAATGCTGTCAATTGTTGTTAATTTTTATTAGCATCAGAATTTTAAATAATTTTCTCCTCTCAAAAAGTGCAAGTGAATCTAAATTTTCTTTACTTAGCCATATAAGAGGATTTTAACCAATACAACTTATCTTTTCGTTGGAAAACATGTTTTTAATGGTGTTAGCGGAAAATAAAATGCATTGAGAAATAATCCAGCCAATCATCCAGCGAGTGACTGGAACGAACCATCAAAAACCAGGCAGTGGATGCACATTTTGAGACACACAACAGCAGACCCATAGGGCAGAGAACAAACCACAGCAAGTAAATTTCAAAAGCTGAGTGAAGTTTATTACCGTTTATTAAAGTTCCGTTGGCCACCTTGACAAGGAAAAACTGCTGACCAGGACCGTTACTTGCACTACATGAGTAGTTCCCAGAATCCTCTGCGGTGGCGTTCTGAATAACGAGGATCGAATCACAGAAACTGCATTCACCCTGAAGTATGAAACGGCCTTTGGCTGTGAGAAAAAATCACAACAAACGTTTTAGTTGTTTACAGTACTCTCACTGAGGGGGGCCTTGTAGTGAAAAGCCGTGATGGATCATTTGCGCCAGCAGTCAAACATGAAACCATAAGGCTGCAAAATCCTACATTTAGGAACTGCTGCTAACTTTAAAGTCGAAATCTTTGATTTCAACAGTGACATTGTCGTATTTTCCTTTTTGGCTAAAGGAAGCCAATCAAAAATATCTCAATGAGCTAAATCTGCACAGAAGTTACCAAGAAAACAACACACAAAAATAACAAAAAAATCGCTGACAGAAATTTAAAAAAAATTGTGTTTAGAAAGAGGACAAACTATGGGAGAAGAAAATCAAACATTCTATAAAGGAAGCTGAGGATATCTTACGTTTGATAATGGCACTTTTTCCCTCGAAATTTCTCCTCCATTCTATGTTCAAAGGATAACCTTCAGCGCTGCAAACCATAGCCACGCTATCCCCAATGTCAGCTGTTAACTTTACCTCACTGATAGGAAAACGTACACGAACTGTTGGAAAAAGATATAGTTATTGCAAATTTTCAATAATTTCCAAGGTTGAAGATGTTCATGGGAAAAATATATATCTGATTAACTAAGGCAAGGCCTTGCTGTGAGAATACTGGTTTGATATCCACCTACAACATACTTCGCAAAGTCCGTATAAGGAGACCGTGGCCTGATGTTCTACCAGTACGATCTCGAGTATGCTGGACGAATAAGAAGTTTATTATACCGCTAAACGCTACGTGTTCGGCGTACTTTTACAACAACATTTTTTCACGAAACTTCAACAGAAAGAAAAAAACAAACAAACAAAACCCATGGCACAGTTATTAAAAAAAGAAAAATAAAATCTCGCTCCCGCTTTAATGTAACAAATAGCCAAATGATCCTCACACGTGAAGTACACTATGACTATTAGCGGAAAACATGTTACGAATCAGTTTCAAATTTCTTCTATTACAGCTCACCTGTCACGATCATTTCGAGACATATTATCATAAACAAATCAAAATAAGATTTATTTCATTTCTGCATTACTACTTTTAAATGGTATGGTTTTTTTTAGCCCTGAGAGATCGCCAGAGAGACCGCCAGCCCCCGGAGTGACCGGCATCTAACCGGCTTCGCTGAATCAAACATCAGTGTCACGGCAATAAAGATAATGATTCCTGACTTAAGGGGTTGTTCTACTCTTCAATACCAAACAAAATGTAAAGAGAACAGTTTGATGGATATGATCACCGATGTAAGGTTTTGAAGGATTTATTCTCACGATCCAAGGGGGCCATTTTTGCCTGGCCTGAGTTTACCCCGGAAGTAATGGGGGCTTGCTGCTCCTCTTTGACGTCATGCATCGAAGGTAATCCTTCCAGCTTTTCGTCTGGTTTATTCCGAAACCTCTTGAGTTCATCTTAGCCAAACTCGCCTCCAGGCCATCGTGTCGTACTTACGGACTCAAATGTGAAGTTTATCTTTTATTGTTTTTCCTTTTGGCATTTCTAATTACAACCCTCATTCTTGCACTTACCGTGGAGATATGCTGCCGACGACATAACATCGTAAGATTGTAAGGATTTAAGGTAAACGGTGATTCTACATCGATAGTCTCCACCTTCTCTTGTACCGACAGAATTGAAGATTAACGGCTGATTGACATCAGTTGTAGTTTTCACGTGTTTGCCATTTTTTAAGTACGTCACTTTTTTTATAGGTGTGGTTTGCTCGTTATTATTGTGGGTCAGATTACAGTAAAGCCTGGCACTGTCTCCATAAGATACTGTAATGTTCGGAATAAGCCGAGCCACGGGCAAGTCCTCGACTATAAGAGACAAACGACAACAATGAAAAATTAAAATGAGAATGAAAAAAACGGTGAGGTAATGGTTATTGATCTAATCCATTTCGATGAATCCCTACCGGATAACAAATGCCTTCCGGGGTGATAGACTGGTGCAAGGATTGACTAACTTAATGAGTTACGGATCAATTGCTGGAAAGGGTGAATTTTCATTCACTCACTGAGTAACTGACTCATTGACGGACTGACCGACTGACCGACAAACCGAAAACGGACTACAATTATGAGTAATTGAATGACTACAAGAATGACAGACTGACTGATTAACCAACCGAATGACTAACTGACTGACTGACTGACTGACTAAATGACTGACTGGCTGACTAACTGACAGACTGTTTAATCTGCCGACAGATTGACTTAATTCCTGACTTTTTGACGTAGAAATTGACTGTCTGCCTGACTGACTGATACACTGCAGTGACTGCACGCCTAACTGACTAATTGACAGCCGGTGTTAATCGATTACTTTGACAGATCGGCTGACTAACTGACTCTTTATTTGACTGACTACGAGACCGACTGACTGACTTGCTAACTGACCTAACAACTGAATAACTAGGCCACCGAACAGATGCTTTCATATCAAAAGTCTACAAAAAAAACGTCTTCGTCATTCAAGCGAAATGCGTTGGACACTTAAACATGTTTTGTTAATTTTGCAACGCTGCTCTATGTTGGAGGTCGTTTGTGGCTCCAAAAAGAGACATTTTCGCAGTCTATTTCAAATGCCTCGAATAAGTCGAGACGCCCCTTAACGGTCAAGTGTTTCCAAACGTTCAAAAAATTCCATCTTGAAACACTAAACGACAGTTCTGCTGTTGATCAGCACCTGGGTGGGATCTACATCAATATGTTCATCCTTTACTAGCCAAATTCGCGGACAAAGTAATTATTAATTCCCCTATGTCAAAAAAGACTTTTAAGATTGGAAGGTTTCAAAATAAACACTTTTGGAAATAGAGAAGTTTTATTAAACGCGAGAAATGTTTTCATTTTACGTGCAATTTTGGTGCATCTCGACCTCTCGTGCCGTAGGGCGTTGTAAATCTTTTGCGGGAGAGGATCAAGGTACTCTTACGCATTTGTCTGCGACGACCTTCCACTTGATAATCCAATCATATCGTTGATACTTCAAGTGACTCACCTGCAGTGACATGGATGGTGAAACCGTGTCTTTCTTCTTTTCCGCCCTTGGAAGAATATCCGGTGCACGCGTGTCTCCCCTTAGAGGTATCATCTTCGATTGTAATGTTGGTAAAGTACAACGTTGCGGTTGTTTTGTTCCCTGTGCAGAGATGTTTTGGAATGTTTATTTCCACGTGGACTGCGAAGCATAACTCTGCGACAAAAACTCACTTTACAGACTAAGGAGGAGAGCCTAATTAAGCTCCAGAAAATTGTTTTACCGACTAAAGCATACGATAGTTATAATGTGCCTATCCCTAATGATTTTTTGCGTCTTTCAGTAACGTTCAAAGTCTGAGCCTCAGAACCAGGCTTGTAATTTCGTTTCATGCCAACAATCATTACTGGAAAGGGCAACTGATATCAAATCACAACTCTCAGGATATGACCTTTTTTGTAACCTCTCAAAAAACCGCACCGTTTCCCCAGGGGTTCATAATATGATTGACCAATCAGTGAAATGATTTGAAAAACCAGTATGACAGTCGATAGCAGCAAGACACGACCTATATTAGACTCCCTTCTCATCGGGAAAGAGCAGTAACACTCTTTGTCAAGCCTGCAATGCGTTTTTGATGATGAGCCACTAAGTAAACATTTCCACTCAGAGAACTGCCTCGAGATCAATAGACATCGATGGCCTACCCTCCCGTCTCCCCAACAAACTACGGCTATACCGGGCTAGAAGTTACTGGTCTAACCTTCTGTTTTGTTAGTTTGAAATACCGTCTCCGTTTCCGGAATGTCTAACCACTTTTCTTCGTAATTTGGAAGTAATTTTCTCCTTTGAAACTTCACCCTAACAGGAGGCAGTCCGTTGTCACCGACAAAGATACAAGTGAAATGAACCTGTGAACCACTAATGGCGAAGACGTTTTGCGGCAGGGGGTCGATGATCGTTACAGCTGCAGATGGAAAATGAAAACGTCAGTGATATTAAATGGACATGGATACAAAGAGAAAAATAAAATGAGATTGATAAACAGGCAGGCAGACGGTCAGACAGAGATAGCAAGAAGAACAGGAAGGCATATAGAAAGACAGACAGACAAACAGGCAGGCAGACACAGATAGCAAAGAAGGGATACAGAAAGACAGACAGACAAACAGGCAGGCAGACACAGATAGCAAAGAAGGGATACAGAAAGACAGACAGACAAACAGGCAGGCAGACACAGATAGCAAAGAAGGGATACAGAAAGACAGACAGACAAACAGGCAGGCAGACACAGATAGCAAAGAAGGGATACAGAAAGACAGACAGACAAACAGGCAGGTAGAGAGAGACAGGAATACAAGAATTTACACACAAACGGATGAACAGCCGAACGAATGGACGGAACAACGGGCAAACGGTCAGACAGACGGACAAAGAGAAAGTCAAATGGACAGAGAGAGACGCAGAAAGACAAATAGGCAGACCGGCAGACGGACGAATGCACGAGCGAACGAATTGACAGACATATGGACAGAAACACAGACAGTTATGGGGCTCCGGTCTTGCACCACGTCAACGAGCCGTACATTAACGTTTGGAAATGGTACTTAGTCAAAGCGTTAATGCCATTTTCTAATATATTCTAAAATATCATTCTTCAATGCGATTAGTTCCTCGTCAATGCTTATCACAAACACCTCACTTACGTTCTTTAGTCAATTTATTTCTTTTGCCATTATTTAATAATCAATTTCCAAGAGTGAAAAAGGACTGAAAGGTAGCAAGGAAGCCCGTGAGAAACCGCAGGGCTGTTACATGATGGGCTCCCTGTAAGAAATATTATAATTACAGTGTAAGGGTAGAATTGTAGTGACAAATCCATGCCTGTCCTGAGGTTGAGATGAATTGAATTTTCATTAAATTCTTCTTTAATTCCTAAGGGGACATTTAAACGTAGACTCCAGCTAAAAGCACTGTCAGCTATTCTTTGTCCACGCTAACGATGGATAGAAAAGCTTTCACAATCTAAAGCATTAGATATGCTTATCAATCACAGCTGTTTTTTCGCTTCTCCTCGTTGCCGGATTGTCTCTTGCAAGTCAACGAAGGCCAAGTCGAAGGTCGAAAAGATCCTCAGTACTTTTCTATTACCCGTAGTCAAATTAAAAGCACTAATCTGTCAAGTTTTAAATTCTTTAATTATTTTTTTAGCGGCTTAACTTAAAACATATCAGGGCACAGAGCCAAATGAATAACATGAGATTGTTTCTTATTCAGTGACACAATTAGAAAGTGCGACCCATGCATTTTTGATTAAATTTATTTATCAGGAAATTTCCATACTCAGCGACCCGAAATCGTACCCAATCATTTCTGATGCAGTTTGTTTTGATTCGGTGATCCTTTTAATCACGGCAATTTAATGGTTTTGTACTAAGCAAGAACATCTCATTTTGCGTCCCAAATCAGCTTCGGCAATAATCTGCCCTTCAGTGTTAAGGATAAACGTTTAGTCGGTAAAGGGATCTTCCCATTGTTGTAAAACAAGATAGTTTAATGTAGCAGTAGTTAAAATAAACAAGATTCTTTCATCAACCTGCTGATGTCACGCAACGTAAATGCGATAACCGCATTTTAATTAAGTAATTTTCTACAAAATTGCAGATATGCATATGTACTCATATGGAACCAGTCGAAATTAGAATTATTTTATTACGATAATTTATTCGTTCATTTTTATTTTTGAGTTTAAAATTTGGGAAAGTGCCAATTAGAGGCTAACATGAAAACAAAATAAATCATAATTATTCTTCAATTTCTGAGTCATGCCTTTCGAAGATGTTGCGTCGCAATAAAACAACAAGAGAAAATGCTTTACGTGAAACAAAGAAACTTGCAGGAAACCGTTCGGTTTATGTATGCTTGTTACTGCATGTTTGTCACGACACAGATCATACGATGTTGTGGAAAGACAATCATCCGAGTACAATCAAAGTCTGTGTTTTCCATTAATTGTTTTGCAACATTCTTATCAAGATGCAATAGGCTCGTTTCCGTCTGAAGAAGATAGCGAAAAAATGCTACTGAAGATACGATGTTTTGTAGTTGACTCAATGATTTCAATTCATCTCTGCAGAACTGAAACTTAAACGCGTACCCAATCGCCCTTTAAGTTTGCCAATCATGTTTCTTTGAACAAACTAGATATGTAACTGAGACGAATTTTCCAGCTCATAATTCTATCCCAGTCGCTTCCAGTTTCTGCAAGTTGCACTAAGTTCCCGAAGTAAAACAGCTTGGTAAACAATTAAAAATTTTGGACGAGTTTTCCTCTTTTTGGATGGCTCAGAAATAACAATCTGTAATAAATTTTAAGCCTACCTTGCATGGAAACTTGAACGAGTAAAATCAGGTTGCAAAGCAATGCGTAATTTCCCATGTTTGTATTCTTGGCACACAACAGGCGGCTCATGCGATCGGAAAAACCTCAGTAATAACATCTTTCCCCAGCCTGAAATGTCTTAAGCTCATGTTAACGATGATGTCATCGATTACAAGCTTATTTCTGAGTGGTCGATTTTCCAGCTTTGTAAAACAAATTAATTCAAACAGGCTGCTGTTGACACAGTTTGTAAAGTGAAAAAGTCAAGGTCGTGTCTGCTGGCAGGTTTTGTTTTTAGATCTTAATAACTCTATCCATCACCCTTTTGAAATGAAAATAAAAGTTTACTTGCATTGAAGTAGTCGGCCCAAAAATTTATTCCTGCACCTGACATCAGATACCCAGGATAAACCCGCTAATTCGTCGAAACTCGACGGATCTGGTAAACAACCCCAGTCCACTTCGTTGATTTCTATATAAACCCCAAAAGCCTGAGCGAAAGTCTGCTTTTTGTGTTTTCTAGTTGTGTGTAATAATGCATTCAACTCTTCTAATCAAGAAATTTACTAGTTACTTTACCGCACGCGTGCTATTGTAAGAAAAAACGGTTTTCCAGGAAAATCCCCCGATATTTCGCAACGTACAACAATAACATTTCGTGACACTTCAAGAAGAGAGGAAAATTCTTGAATGCGCGATCGTAAAAACCATCTAAATTCAAAATGAGTAAACATTAATTTCAAGTGTAATAAAAATACAAATTAAATAGTCGAAAGGAAGGGCAACACTTGTCGGCAAGTGTGACGCAGTCCCCAGAAGTGCTAGCCTACTGTTAATCGCCCTTTATCGATATCTTTCTGAGTGCTCATAAGCCTTGTCGTTAGCTCTGCCGTGCCGTGTGACCTGAAAAGCTCTCTGTGGCGGTCATCTGAACGGCTTTATCATTCAACCTCTTCCCTGTTTTCATGAAAAGACCGAGCTTCACCTCTGCGACGCCTCACCGCCTTTTCACTGTTTACAACATACTGTTTTCACCGCATACTTCTTGTAACGTGCTGACAGTGACGCAAAGGGTCAAGACGAAACGACGAAAACACAGGCGTATATTGTTACATTGACCAAACAAGACAGATTTAGTTTCCTACGTTGTTTCGGCTACTTTTTCTTAAGATTTACACCACAGCGTCAAAGAGTAAGTTAACCACATAGATGACTAACACTATGCCAGAATTTGTTGGTTTTTTTTTTTGCTTTTGCTTTTTCGGTCTCTTAGGTCACTGAATGGCTTTGCCTGAATGTTTGATCTGTTGCTCGATATCCTCTAAAACTTGTGCGCGGGAAAGCTCGCCTTTCCACACTGAACATAGAGTAAAAAAAAAAGGTTTTCAGAGATATTTCTGATCATCGGCAGACCGGCTAAGGTGTCAAGGTGCCGTTCTCGAAAAATGCAAATGATTACATGAAAATAAATGTAGCATTTCAATTTCATATTCTGCACGGCTCTTGAGGGTTTAGTGTTTGATTTTTCAGTAAAAAGAGTATTGTAGTGAGTTGATAGTTGGAGAAATTTGGAAGTTAGATCTCGTTTCTTTATCTTCCGTTCTTTTTATCACGTGGTTTCTCAGACAACTAAGGAAACGTAGGAACCCAAGTCAAGCTGTGTTTTTAAGTTTGAGCATATTACGTAAAGCAAATTACGTGAATATTAATGAGGGTTTTTTCGTGTGGCTTTCCACTTTGTTTTCTGTAATTGTTGTGCAAACGATCTTTCTATGCAATTTTTATCTGAGTAATATTTTTACTGAGTGGGTCATAGAGTGATATCTTTTGTTTTCGATGTAAGGCATATAGCTAACAAGCTGCAAATGTCTTGTGCGTGAATGTTCGTGTCCAGTGCAAGATATTTACCGAACTTCTGTTTTTCCATTGGTGGGTTTTATCAATATCAATAAAACCGCCTTGCAATACAATATGAGCTCGCTATCTCTTGAACGGCGAAATTAGAATGCAATCAAGAGGTTATTCAAATGATCGCCATTTACTCAACAGACATACAACGCCGGAACTACCCCACGCAACTCCATGCATGAACTCTGATAGTTACCTTGCAGGTAAATTGGTTCTTTCTTCGCCAAACAAGAGAGAAACCATTGCAAAAAAAAAAATTTTTCCTTTTCCATTATCTGTCGAACAGAACTGGTTGATGAAAAACCTAACTTTGTACTGGTAAAAACCGGTTTGCGTCAGTGTCAAGCATGCCCGTCAGTGTCAAGTCTACCGTATAATCATCAAAACGGCCTTTGAGCCGGCAACTTCTGCAAAAATTGCGTGATGCTTTCAAGGTGTTGAAATCTATTGATCGCTGACTAAGAGAGTGCAAGCGACTTATTTCAATATCCTTTCAAGGAAAGCTCTCCTTAGATGCCGCATTCCGTTGCGGTGAAATCAAATACTTGAGTTGCGATATTTTACGGAAATTGCTGAAAGTGATTCAAAAATGAGCTTCCTTTCGAGGGCTCTCAGCCGTTTTTTGAATGACATAATAATATTTCTATCAGGGCTGTTTAAAGTATTTTAAGATATAGAATTAGCTATAAGCCTACGGACGAGTAAAGCATCCAAATAATAAAACGATGGAATTAACGAATGCAAAGATAGGTGGTTAACTGAAAGCATGTCTACCAGGCCTTTCTTTTCCCTTTTCCAAGCGGAGCAGGAGCAGTGTAAGGGCATGGGACAAAAGTGAACTAAAAAAAAAGCAAAAAAGTGACGCACCACGGACCATCTATGCAGGTTAGTTCACAGATGTCTGACGTTTTCGGGTCGAATCATGCGAAACCCGAGTCAGCGAAATGAAATTTTTAAAACTTGAATGACTTAGGGAAAAATCAATAGGCGATCACCTTGATTTTGAGGGTAGTTCAGTTGAATCAATTTATCGACGGTCACTGATTGTGTGAATGAGGAAACGAACGACTGAGTGAAACTGATAGAACAAACGATTATAAATCAATCATAAAGCAATAAGTGCACCGAAGCGATCGATAAAGAAATCCATTCTTCATTGGTTATAAATAGATCGTTCGCAATGCTGAACTGGAAGTCACGTAGTTCACATGACTGTTTACGCTCTTTTTCCGTTCCAAAACTAATAAGTCATTCCCAGAGTACTGTTTACATCGAGTTGAACTTGCGGCTAAAGAATCAGTTCCAAAAGATCAACGATCAAAAGCAAAGCGAAGTTTTTACTCTGATAGAGTGTGAACACAATGACGGAAAAATAAAGACTGCCTTGTCTTACCTCGTCATCAGTCCTGCCATCTTCGGTAGTCCTAAAATTTTTCCCCGCATGCTCGTTCATGATAGTCGTGCTCGAGCAGGCATTTTGCTTGATCTGTCAAAGACAAAGAAGAGTACTTTAACTGAAGGTTTAACTGCACATCTCACCAAAACTTCACCATCCTTGACCTTTATCTCTTCCTATCACATTGCAGGCACGTGGACCTAAATGACTGCTGTATGGCCGTCTCAAGTACACTGCTTTTCTTGCGTTTGTTTGCAGTCATAGATTACTGTTAGCAACACAGGAATGCGCAAGGCGGAGAGTTTTGGGCTGCGGAAGGTTTTTCATCAGGGAGGAGGGAGTTGGGGTCACAGGTCTAAAAAACCCTCCCCCCACCCCCTTTCTCAATTCCTCCCTTGAGTAATGTCGGAAAAGAAAAGAGGAATGGCTTGTTATTCTTCACTATTACTAAATGATGGGTGTTGGACACGAAATGATGGGTGATGACGGGTAAGGGGCTTATGGGTAGGGATAGAACAAGGACTCGCCTGTGGAAAATATCATGACTGAAAAAAACTGAATTCAGCAATGCAATGCTTGTCTTTAGAGAGCCAGAAACAGAGTTCACTGTTTAAGAGGCAGACCGCTTGTGTGTTAAAAGCCTTGGGATGAGATTATTATATGAACATTTATAAATAAGGATCTCATGGTTAATTTTTTTTAACTTAATACTGAACTTTAGACTGATTAACAAAGGAAAGAGTACATCCAGGCATTTAAGCTCGACACAATTTCTGGTCGTCCGTGTTCATAAATGTTTCAGTTGAAAGGAAGGTAGCAGCCCCGGCAACTAACAATCTTGTTGATTGGAATCACACCAGTCGATAGAGTGGAATTTTAAGGTAATGGTTTGGCACAGAACATTATGTCAATACTTACATGCGACATTGTTAAACATTTCAAAAAAAAAATTAGGTTTCCCCCCTGCCATGAATGACACCTAAAACCGGGATAGATATTTAGGGTTCTTGGAGAAATCATCGAAACCCTCATTATGCTTGGGAGTTACATCATTCCTTAGAGATCGTACCCAAAGGAGGAAAATGACGAAGACCATTTACGCACTTCAAGTTCTTCCAGTGTCACTCACTTAATATGTTTCTTAAATTTACTCTACTGTTGATCACAACTGAAGGAATTTGTTTGACATTCATCCGATGCTAGATTCTTCCTTCTGGCCCATACTAACCGGAAAAATGGGAATATTCATCAAGCTTTTTTTTTTTTTCCTTTCGCTTGTTGGTTGTTGATAATTTTTTCTCGTTGTCACGCGATTGCGTTTGAGATGCGACCTTTAAACTCAGTTCTTGCATCATCGTTACCCGATTGGACATATCGGGTCAGTCTGAGTCATTCAGTTCTTAGAGAAAAGGATAAAAAGTGGCGGTGGATAGAGATCGGCGTTATATTCTCCGTAATTTTTATTATAATGTATATTTATATTTTATTATAATCTCTTGAACACAAACGACGTCAAAATGTGGTAAAAACCGCGAAAAAGTGCTTCACGAGGCTTCGCCGATCGCGTCACTGATCGATGTCCTTGCCACATTTTTCCCGTCTTCTGTGAACTATTTCTGTACAGATCCACAAAAATATGAAATCTTTTAACAGTATATGTTATAGAAGAAAAATATTGTCAGCGTCTTCCCTCCGATAGATCATAAGAAGGAATTAACCAATCAAAATGCGACTGTAACTCAGCGTATCAGTATTGAAAATGTTTGTGTTGCTAAGAGTTCGAGTTAAAATTGCCAAATGCCACGCAAATAATCAGTTTTTGTCTGCGGATAGGTTGAGAAATTTTCATAAGCATCATAGGGACTGAAAGAGGATGACAGATAATTTCAGCACCAAACAGACTAAGTAAAGTATTTACTACTTTCAGTGCAGTTGGCCAAATACAGGATCATGCATCCGTGAGGGAAAGTGATTGATGTTTATCATTTCCTTTCGTTTTCAGTCTTAAAATTACGTGTTATCAAGAGTTCGAGTTAGAATTGCCGAATGTCTCGTAAATAACCATCGTTTGTCGTGTTAACATAATGTTAACAAGCAACGTAAAAACTTTAAAAAAAGATGGCAAAGATTATTTCAGCCCCAAATAGACTATGTAAAGTGTTTCCCTGATTCAGTGAAGTTGGCCAAATACAGGACCATGCATCTATGAGGGAAGGAGGTGGGGGGGGGGTATGCAGTGAGGAAACCATCTCTAGTCCCTGAGTTTAAAATGAGCCATGTACTATTAACAAAATAATCTGTTCTATTCACAAAGCAAAGAAAGTGCACCTTAGGAAACCCCCCTCCTCCCCCCTGCTTCCCAATGAAATGACACCCTTTAAAGGAGGTTAAACAAATATTCTGCCCGGGGGAATTAAGAATTCTAATCATGCCAACACTGACCTTGGCAATAAACTTAGGGGAAGTTTTTTTTAGCGAGGTCGAATGAATGCCGTCCAAATGAGGTAAATTTAAAAACTCTGTAATTGCTTCAGTCAACTTTGCCTCTACTTTGCCTGGCTAGGGAATGAAACCTAAAGTATTATCAAGCACATTCCACGGTAGTTTTGCTGAGATTGTTGTTTTACAAATCCGCATGTTCTACCCTCTATTTCGATATGGCGAAACCTCAGGGGATTAATGTCGCCATTTATCAATTTGTATTCTTGTGTTCTCTGATTGGATAAAATTGAACCGTTACATTTTAAAATGGTAAGATAGGTAAATGATGATGAGATTGATAGGCAAGGAAAAATCGAGAACAGTTGAGAGTAGAGAAATGTAACAAGGATTACTCGTGACAAATATAGCTGAAAAAGTTATAGGAACCTTGACCTAGCTCTTGAAATTTCCGGCTTTCTGGAGTATATCAAGGATTTTTAATTAACGAGAATAGAAGTAGAAGTAGCGGTTTCCATCGGATACGTGTTAGCACAATATGACAGTAATGAAAACAGCTTGCTACCTTGTCATCTAATTCTCATGTGATTTCCTCAGGAAAAAGCTCCCCACAACGTAAGCATGGCCGATGTAGCGAAAATTCTGCTTCTTTCTGTGTCGATTTTTCTCGTACAAAGTGTTCTAGGTAAGTCTATATATACATATATAAGTGCCAAAAGAACTTAAATACTTCTAGGGTGTGTTAGTGAGTTCAGTTATTGATAGACGTATCCTGAGAAATCCGCCAGACCATATCGAATTTAGCGATGTTGATTAAAATTTCAAATCAACAAAACCACAAGGTATAATTACATGCTTCGCCACTATTCTCTGGCAAAAAGACAATGTCTGAAGGTGTCACAACTGCTGCCTCATTTGAACCCTGATATTTCAATGTAAGATCATAGATGTAGGGGTGTCAATGAAAGTCGGTTAACAACCGTCAACCGCCGCCTTAAAGACTGCTCACTGCCGTCTTTGTCGCCTGCCATCAGGCTGTCGTGTTTGGGTTTCGCCTTACGGTGCAGCCGCCAATAACACCAACGGTAGTCGCTAATGGAAATAGTTATTGAAACTCTTGTAAATGGAGTCTGCGTAGAATATCAAGTGTTGAACAAAGGCATTAATCGTTCGTGAAAATATACACGCGTCCGGATGTTTCATATGAACTGCGGTTACGCCGCAATTTAGGCGTGTAGAAAAAAAAGTAATTAACATTTTTCCCTTCATCCATTTTATTTTTCTCAATCCTCAGAAACCCGTTTTCGTTCTTCTTTAGTGTTTTCCTATTTTTCAAATTATTAAAAAAATTATCTGTTTACCTATAAATGTTATAGTCTCCTGCAAGCTTATGTATTTTTATTCAGTGACTCTAAATGTCGGAATGAGCTCTTCTAGTTTCAACCAGTCATCATGAAAATTATATGCAAAATTACAACAAATTTTCCAGGTTTTCGTGACCGTGAGGAAAAATAAACCATTAAATTAAAGTTTTCCCAATTAGCGCTGAAAGAATCTATCACTAGATAAGTTGAGCGTGACCTAAAACAGCAAACGTTACACTTTATGTTAATAATAAGTTTTTTCGGCTGTGTTTACAATAAAGTGAGTAAATATTTCCTCTAGCGTTCGAGATCTTGAGAGCATTCTTTAAGTCTTTTGATAAGGAAACGCAATTCTGATCGCAGATTTTATTAAGAAGACTTTTTCTTCGTAAAGCTTTACTGTTTTAGTTCTGTTCACCAATATAGGGCAGTAGGTTAGAACTAGGTGTATAGATGAAAGATCTTCAGCGATCTAACATAGCTGCCATTCCAACCAGTTGCTTAGGAACTCGCCTTTTTCGTCGGAGGTGGGTTTTGGTCGTCTATCGCTGCCATTGCATTTAAGTTTGAAGAAAAAAGTAATTACCCCAAAATTTATGATCATAAAATGAAATTAGGGACGTTAGGCAAAGTATGATGGCGATGATTTGGTTTTGCCGAGAGGCATTTGTTATTGCCGTGACTAGTGTGGGCCACCGTACCGACAAAATAATTGACAAGTAATATTTGAAGTATTTCAGACGACACGATATATTTCTAACAGACGTGCGCCGCCGAAGTGCGCCTTTCTAAAGTAAAGCTATGCGTAAAGAGCTCAATGGACACGTCAACACTTCTCACATATGCTATTAAAATGCGGAAGTTTCTCGTTAATAGATAATTACTGAGGTTCGCAGCATTATTGGGTATAATGCAGGTAGCTGAGGCCGCAGGCCGAAGCTGCCTGCATTATACCCAATAATGCTGCGAACCGAAGTAATTAACTATTATAATTATTGACCCTCATAAAATCCTATTGTTCTCTCTCTGCATTACATCGACGATTTCAGTCGCCCCTTCATATTGAATATTTTCTCAGGCTGAAATCGCCGATATAATGCTGAGAGAGAACAATAGGATTTTATGAGGGTCAGTAATTATTTGAGTTTAGCGCCTTGAATGACGGTAAGCTCATTCAGCCATTTGCGGGAGTCCTGCTAAAAATATATTAATTATTTTTTTTAAGCGAATTGTTCCTCAGAGATACTGTCCTGACTGCTTGAGGTCCCCGGTATTGATTTATCTGATCCATTTGCGACCGAAAAAAAAATTCAAGAAAAGTTCTCTTTTCTTTTCTGAAACACTGTTTAATACGAGACCCTGGATGAAAAGAAACGTTTTTGATCAGTGTTGGGTGCGACAGACGAGAAATTATCACATAAGTTTGAAACAGAAGTAACCCAAATTGAAGCAGTTTGAATTACACTAAGTATTGGAAGAGGAAACATTGGCTACAACTGCGTCGATTCTTTTCCTTCTAGTTCACATTACGTTCGACCATGTACTATATACTTTAAGGTCTTAATAGGGTTAACCGTCAGTGGTAAAACAGAAAAAATTGGCAGTTAGACGAAAACATTGACAAACTTTAACCGTTTGCAGGAGCCTTCTATAATTAGCTCCTGCTAAAGGCAGGAGCTAATTATGTGCCAGGTGAGGAAACCGTTACGAGACTACTGGAGAAAACGTTTAACCAAAATAGCAGAAATTTTTTAGAGCATATGATAAAAGATAAGAAAGACATGGCCTCATAAAGTCTTAGTTGACGCGTTGGTACACTTCCTCAGCACCACACAAACGTATATAAGACTTTTTTCGACGCACTGAGGTTTCATCCATCGGCCGCGATAGATTGCCATCTGCTCTTTTCACAGGAGTAGTTGGATAAACACGGCATAAGTAGAAATAAAAATATGTGAAAGGATTCTCCGTTTTTTTCGCCTAGATAATGGGTCATTTTACCTAATCTTTCAGGTACAAATGATATTAAATTCGTCAAGCCTCTTCCAAAAAGCGTCTATGCTATTGAGTTTGACTCAGCCAACGTTACATGTATCGCCTTGGATTCCTCCGGCACTACTGAGCCTCCGATCATCAGCTTTAAGAGGCAAGACAACATGGGTGTACTTCGTGAACTAGTGGAAGATGACAACGTCTTCTTCAGGAACCAAATTCAGTCAGTCGGTGGGTAAATAAATTGTTCTTTTTATGTTTTAATAGTCACAAATCTGTGTCTCCTTCTGGTGAACGATGCGGTGACCTTAATGTTAGCGCGCTGGACTCTGCTGAACTCAGAATCACGAAGAGGTCTGGGTAGAGTCTTCTAGAGTTTCTGTAGAATAATAGACATGAAAAAATACGCGCGAAATGGCAAAAACTTAGTCAAAAGTACTTTAATATCGAGACCTTGTCTGTCTTTGACGTGATACTCAACCACAGTCCACGGCGGAATAGACCGAGTGCAAATAATGTAATAACAACAAAATGAGCCTAAAATGCTAAAAGAGAAAGAGAGAGAAGAACAGAAAAAGTGAATGGAAAAGTGGATGGGAGGGGGTGTGGAGCAGGGTTACTCTTTCCGGGCGGGAAGACAAAGAAAGAAATATTGGTTAGGAGGGAGATACAATTTTTCTTGCGGGTCGGGAAAAGGAAAGTTGTTAACGATATGTGTCAAGACTAGTCTTAAAGAATAAAAGAAAATCTGTGGAAGATTTTGACTTTTTGAACATTATGTTTGCAGGTAACGACACAAAGCTTTTTCGCACCATGGTGATCAAAAATGTGACGCTAGAATATGACAGTTTGTCGGGAGGTTACCAGTGCCATGCGTTCGCAGGAAATACGAGCAAGAATTCAGAGGACCAATTTGCCTTCAATGTCAACGTAATCGAAAGTATGTCTGACTTGTACCTGCTTTATCACTGTAGAGCTTAGAGCTTAAGTTCACTTATTGACGTCATCTCTCCGTCAATCACTAAGGGGGAGATCTCTTCGCTATTTTTATTTTTTATTTTTTTTTTTTTACACTTCTTCCCATAAAAACCTTGCCTCTTTTCATATTTTTAGCTTGCAAAAAGTACCCCTTTCGATTCGCTGGAATCAGTTCGAGGGCGAAGAGAGCGGTAACCTTGATTACGCCCGAGTTAGCTATACCTTCCCCCTTCCCCTGAAAGTCAGTCACGCTCGTCAGTAGTAGGATTGAAATATAAACTGCTAACATGGGCCATTTTTGTCTTCATGTAGCAAGTTATTCAAAAATAAAGAGTCAACTATTATTACCTTCCCAGAGAACGAAATTCCTAAAGTCACAGTCACACCTCACACTCAAGTCCTGAAACACGATGAAGACCTCACCCTCTTTTGCAACTTAACCAATAAAGGAAGCGAGGGAAATAAACTAGAAAAAATGTATTGGTTTAAAGATGATGTGTTGTTGGATAGTCTGAAAATCGAAGAATTAGAAAAAGACTCTCTTGAGTTTGCACGGGAAATTAATCGCGTGGGAGTCAGAAATGGAGGAATATACTCGTGCGTTCTGGAAGCCAAATTGAAAGGTGTTCTGGGACACAACGTGTCGGATGACGCTATGATTCGCAGTAAGTGTTTTTCTAATTTCACAAGCTCGATAACTGAGGTAACCCTACTGTGATCTTTTACGAACTTCTGTCGCTTATGGTGACTTACATTTTTAACAAAAATTGATAGATCACTACTACTACAATTACTACTATTCCAATTTTCCTTTTCCTTCTTTAAAGGCTCAATAAACACATTTCAATTTCCAAATTTTTGAGAAATACTCAATATAAAACTTTTACCATAGCAACACTACGGTCTACCTGTAACTCATAAACGCGTTTAGTGATCCTCGTTTCCATTATCGAACTGACACAAACTATTTTTTATAGTTTTGCAATCTTACTGAAAAAAAAAGCTCCGGTATGCTCTTGAAGCCATTTTAGAGAATTTACATCAGTCACATCAAGAGATTAGCTTTACTGTTGGTCGCCTACCTTTATCAAGGAAATGTAAACTGTCGTTTAGCTGAAATCTACACGTATTTTGATTGGTTCCTTCTCACGATCTACTGGAGGACAGACACATACATAGCGTCACGATTATAACTTTTTGCTTCTTAATTATATGAAGCAAAGAAATTCCATGTTGACGTTGTAGATCGGAAACGACGTCAAACTGGGGTAAGAATTACATCAGTGACATGCTCTGCCGCGCCTCGTGCGCCGTTGTTTTGTTCTCACCGCATTTTGACGTCATTTGTGATGTATAATAATAATAAAAGAATAAAAGAAGTTTAATTCCACCATCATCGTAGTTGATCTGAATTACAATGTGGTTACAAATGTACAACTATAAGAATTACATACTGTTAATCAATAAGGGACTGGGTTACAATAGATTTTATATTAAAATTACAAATACAAGTTAAAATATATATGTAGGCATATGGTCTAATCATCTATCTATTTATCTGTCTATCTATCTGTCTATCTATCTATCTATCTATCTATCTATATGTCTATCTATCTATCGATCTATCAATATATCTATCTACTATCTATGTATCTATATGTCTATCTATCTATCTATTTACCTATCTATATATCTATGTCTACATATCTACTATTTATATATCTATGTCTATCTACTATCTATCTATCTATTTACTATCTATATATCTATATGTCTATCTATCTATCTATTTATCTATATATACCTATATGTCTATTTATATATCTATATGTCTATCTATCTATCTATTTATCTATATATACCTATCTATCTATTCATCTATCTGTCTATCTATCTATCTATCAATATATCCATATATCTATCTTTTGTCTATCTATCTATTAATCTATCTATCTACTATCTATATATCTATATGCCTATCTATCTATCTATCTATCCATTTATCTATCTATCTATCGATCGATTAATCAATATATCTATCTATCTATATTTATCCATATATCTATCTATTTGTCTATCTGTTTACTGAACACGTAATCGTGGTTCAAATTTCTTAGAAATTAAATGAAATCTTCTTTCTTGATATTTTTTCAGTTGCGACGTGGCTTCCAAAACCTGGAAAGAATGCTAAGCAAAATGTGCACAATGTTGAGCAGAAGTCATTCAAAGGAGATAATGTGAGTTTTGAATGTGCAGCCAAAGGATTTCCTCTAGAGATTGAATGGAAAATAAAGAAGAAAAATGAGGACACCGTGCAAGCTTGTATAAGTAAGTCTTTCACTTTTCATTTCCCATTTCTTTTTCTCTCTGCGAGAATTGATCACAGAGTAAAACACGACTTCAAAACTGAATAAAGTTGGGTATCTATCAACTTTCAACGCGAGTCGAAATAAAAGCCTTCAAGATATCAAGAAGGGAAAACTTTTAAAAATTTCAACTGTAATTTTATGAGGGTATAATTAACTTCAAAGATCATACTTCCTTTATTATATTAAGTGTCGAAAAAATGCTTTTAAATCCACGATCAGTTTATTTCTACCAAATAAACTCATGTACCGTCTCTTTCCTTTTCGACCCTCCTTCATGTTAATTGCCTACAATTTTTCCTTTTCTCACGAAAATGTGTTTAATCAGAACAAGCCTTCGTTTAGGAACGCCTCCGTTATCTGAAGGCATTACTTGTTTATTCCAGGATAATTAGAGGTTATAAATCCTCTATAAATCATCTACAAAGAGTTATTTAAAGATTTAGCCTGTTTAGCCTCCTCCCTCTCCCTTCAGATCCTAACGATCGCGCTGGTTCCAAAATTGTCCACTTTCCCTACCATTAAACTCTGCTACACCAACTGTGACAAATAATGATCTTGATGTCTTCTATAGCTATCCCTATTGCCGCCATTCCACAAATTTAACCATCAACCGTCTCAATACCATGGAAGATATTGATGCTATTTCTTGCCATTGGTGCCAAAGTTTTCCCCCTAACTGCCAAAGTCGAACCCCGCCTACAACCCACCCCTTTCCACATGGAAACCCTCAACTATGCCTCTTACGCCAGATTCGGGGAGACACAATGAGAACTTATCCCTCAATCCCGATAAACTTTATTTCTATGTAATTTTTTTGTGCATTTACCATTGCCTATTGTAATTGAAAATATCTATAGAGAACCATAACCAATCTTGTATTGTGCACTTCGTTAGACGGAACGGCGAATGGACGCTACAAAATTCAACGTCGCAGCGCTTACGACCCGTATGTTCTCACCATATCTGACGTGCAGTACTCTGATCGCGGCTTTTACTACTGCTGTCTTCCCTCAAACTGCTCTGATAACGTCAAAGATAACTGTCAACGATTCGTTCTCCGCGTCAAAGGTAGGAACTTATCCTTAATTTGTTAGGGCTACTGCCTCCGATAGGAGGCGAAATCACATGTGGCGCGGAATGACGTAATATCCCAGAACGTGGAGTGCTTCTTTGTATGAAACAAAAGTCTCAATACTGATAAATTATTTATAATTAACAGGCGAAATTAAAAGAAGCATAGGTAATCATTATAGGAGCCCAGAGGATTGGGGAACCATGAGGCTTTCGAGCTAGCCCCTTTAAATTAAATTATTGAATTATCAAAAATTATCATTATGTTACCTATACTCATCATCATTATTATTATTAATAACATCATTATTTGTTACCACTTAATTATTGGTTGAATGTCAATTAGACACTATATTCTTGAATCATCTTCCTCTTGTAGACCAGGATACTCATAAATATGTGGAATGCGGCAGGTTTTCTGTTTTGCATGTGAGATAAATATTCTGCCACGCTACCTTCTAGCGTCATGAAACAACCTCTAGTTCTTTCTAATGCTATAAAAAAAAGTTTGCTACATTAGTAGCCATATGGAGTCTGACTGTATTTTTGCACAATTAACGAACTCACTTCCTCCTCATAAGTAATTTTCAATCGAGCGCCCAAATTATTCAAGATTGCTTTCGCTTTCCTTTACGTCGCTATGTGATTAGCTCAGAAATTTCGCGCCATTTTCTCAAACGATCAGATTCACAGGTCCGAACCAAAAATCGATAAGGTAGAAAAAAACTTTGTTGAAAGCGTGCTGTTGTGTTTTTTTTTGGCAGATCCACTGGGTGCGTTGTGGCCAGCTGTTGGCATCCTGGTTGAGGCCGTTCTTCTCTTTGTGATCATTTTCTTTGCTGGAAGAAGGGAGAAGAACAAAGAGAAACGGTTTAAAAGGAATTAACGTCGACGTGTTAATCATAATCATCCCTGCAAACTTATGACAGTGAGACTAATGAGAGTGTCACCGCAAGCTAGGAAATAAGCGAGACTCTGATGAGCGAAGCTACTCTAAGAAAGGACATAAAAAGGGACGCTTTCCAACATAGAAAAGAAAAATGATAGTGTGGTATTCGATAAAGAAATTCAGATGACTTGAGTGGCATATGAAACTTTCTATAAAAAATCTCTCATCCAGTCTCTAATTTAGAAGAAATCTCCTCTCCAATGTATTTGGAATACCCCCATATTGCTAGACTATTTTATGGTCGATACTAGTTTTTTTTTCTTTCAAGTGTAAATTGTTTTAAAAATAATTCACTTTCGGTGGTAGGTATGCCTGAGGTAGTCGGTACCTCGTATTTATTATTCGAATAAAACGCGCATAATAACCTGCTTATGAAATAAGCCATCTTTTTTTTCTTTGAAATGCAGAGGTGATCATCTTTATTACCGGTGACATAGTTTGTAAATATTGCTTATTAAAGATTGGTGGAAATATTGATTTATATCCTAAGAATATTCAGTCTTAAGGTGAGGAGGCGAGTCCCTAAATTGTTAATTATTACACAGGCAACAACAGAGCTCTTGCGTCAAACAGCCTCGATTTCAAGTTTGTCCGGGATTGAGTTTCACCTGGGGCCAAGTTAATAAAAAAGTTTACTGGTAGGTGCGGCGAATATCATGGCCGTATTAGAGAGAATTATTCCTCTGTTTCTCACTGTTTGTGCAACAGTAAAGGCTCAAGGTAAGTTTGAATCTGTTTTAAGAACCCTAAAAAATTCAATGGTAGCTATGAAGGAACTTTTACTTGTCATGCAAGAGCTTCCGAAACAAATCTTATTGTGCAAATGAAACTTGAGAGGAAAGCGAAAAAAACATGCCGGTTAACTGTTTGTGAATTTATATTTGTGCATTCACCTTACAGTCGGTTGAAACCTTTGAAGAAAACCTAAGCTTTCGTGGAGATGGTTTACGATCTCATATAAATCCTTATTTTAGAATTTCTTCGAAGCTTTTTAAGCGTTTAACTCTCGTATTGTACGAATAAATTTCGAACTCTCAATGCAAATTATGAGCTTCTTGCGGCGAAAACATCTCGGGTTTTTTTGTGGTTACAAATGAAAGGCGGTGTCTTGAATCTTCGATGTTGGTTTTGAAGTTTACAATCAGAAATTTTCGATAATTCTGGAATCATCTCAAGTCAAGGATGAACTGATCAGAAAATCTAAAAGCGTGACTGAGTATTCAACACCAGAGAATTATGTTGTTTGTTCCACAGAATTTAGCTCTTTGGCCTTTCGATTGTTTTCAAGAGTTGCCGATGAAAGATATGTGATGTCGAATGTGTTAAATTATTTTTGACTAGTGTTTTTTATTTACTAGGTATTTCTACGTCATCACAAAAATTTTAAGATATATTATTTAAAAATCACGTTTTTCGCTGAGCTTGAATTCCGAGATTGATATTTTTTGACAAAGTGTTGCTATTGTTTAGCTCAAACTTTTCCTCTTTTGATGTTTTGAAATACATGCTTGCAATGTGGCAAGGACGATTTTGAAAATTTATTATGAAAATGACACAATCTGTGATGTTGCTGTTACCGGATCTGTGTTTGGGCAGTTACTAGATAACAACAATACTTGGTTATGGAATGATCTAGTAATTTTTGTGCGCGTGGTCCGGACTTTTAATTCTTTAACATGTAATAACATACATGAGAAAATTACTCGGTTCTGATTGGTTTTCAGGTAATTCAATGCAAAAAAGTCACAAACCAGACTGAACAATTCCTTGAACTGTTAAGCCTGACTTTGAACTTTTTTGTACCTTAATGATGTGAAAATATCTTTGTATATTAATATTTTGATTGTATGCGGTTGTTTTGACTGAATGCACGATGTTATTTGCAGGGTTTGAATAAATTATTTTTGCACTTGATGCAAGCACCTTGCTTCTGCATAATGTTGATAAGCTATGTCATATTTTTTCATGTATATTATGAATATGTAATCACATGATTTTCTTGTGCTATTTGGAATAAATAAGCACTAGTGAATTTTTTCAAATACCACAAATTGCACTCACCCTATGGACTTGTGCAATTTTGTTAGTCTTTGAAAAAATTTACTTGTGCTTATTTATTCCAAATTGCACTTGAAATCATGTGATTACCTATACTAATATGTGTAATATATCAATGTAAATTACCAAGACAGATCTAAGCACTTTGGCTTAACCCTTTAGCCCCTAAGAGTGACTAGTGTCTAATTTCTCCTTACTATTTCACCCATGAATCAAACATGAAAGTTATGAGAATAGAGGAAATGATCACCAACTAAAGCAGCTCTTGACTGTTACACAAATTCTCCCTGTCAGTCTCTCTGTGAATGTATGTAGAACAGTGCGGAGAATATGCATACTGATGTTAGGGGGTGAAGGGTTAATACTTTACATATCAAGGAGAGACAGCATAGGTTAAGTCACATTGTGTGTTACATCTTTGGAAGGTATGAGTAAAAATCCATTACGGCTTCAAATTAACATCTGTCATCCCATGCAGAATAGTGCATTAATCTCTCATATGTAGTTGTTTTTTTTGGCATCCCTGCAACCTTTTGAGTAATGTCAGTGTGGATCTCTTTCTTAGGAGGAGGTGCTTTAGATATTAGATATTAGTATATGAGCATTTTCAGAAGTTTAATGGATATAAATCATTCTTTTTTTTCTTTTAGGGGAACCACCATTTGGAATTGTACAACCTTTTCCAGAGAACATCTACCCCCTTGAGTTCACGCGTGCCAATGTTACTTGTATTGCATTTGATGCAACTGGTGCACAAGAACCAAAAAATATAACATTTTATCGAAGAGATGACCTTAATCAATATAGGGAAGTAACTGGTGATGAGTACTTGTTCTCAAGCAAAACAGAATATGTAGGTGAGTACATATTTGTATTACAGTTAATGCATCTAGCACCTAAAAAAGAAAACAACAACCTCTTAATTCCAAACTTTACTCCCAAAACAGGATTCTTACACTTTTGGGCTTATTGTGTTATAAGTCATAACAGTGAAATTCCATTTGAGGCGAGGGTGATATATGGGGAATAATACATGGGCGTGTGTAGATATGGAATTTCTCTTTGAGTGTTTAACTTGATTGCTCATGAGTGAGCGCAGCGAGTGAGATGTCGAGTTGAACACGAGAAGAAAAATTTCATATCTACAAGGAACTGTGTATTATTTTGTTTATCATATAAACACAATAGCCCTTTACTGAGAAGAAAAGCCAACTTCATCAAAGTATGAAAATAAATGAATCAACAATCCTCAAATAACAATCACAGAGTGCATTGGTGCTAATTCTTAAGATGGAAAAATGTGTTGAATCACGATTACAAAAACAACAATGGTGGTAATTTTCAATTTACAAAATTCTCATTTATTGACTTTGTCCTTACTGACAGAGAGATTTAAAGTTTTATATTTTCATAATTATATGTGATGCATTAATTTTTCTTAAATTTGTGCCTGAAACTGAATCAGAACCTCCCCTAATCCTCTGTCCTTATTGCTACCCTCAGTCCTGGACAAAGCCATATCCTTCTCTCCCTGCTAACAAGTTAAGTGTTTTCTTAGGTGTACGTAAAATAAAAAAATTGTTTACTACCATGACTTGGAAGAATATAACAAGAGAAGATGACAGTCAGAACAGTCAACTTGGAAGCTATGAGTGCCATGCTTTTGCAGTAGATAAGAGCGTAACAGCAAAGAGGCATGGCTTTAGTGTCAGTGTTATTACAGGTAAGTCTGTTTACATTTCATGGGGAGTTTCGTTACCTTATAGTCTTACCCTAAAAATAAGTGCATGTGTCTAGTCTATTTATCCTTTCTGTCAAGTAGTTTTGATGGGTAACAATAAACTGTCAGGAAACAGGGGGAATACTTGGAGGGGGGTTAACTCTTCTAAAGACTTGCGAATTATTGAGGGGGAAGTAGCATGACTGCTTTTTGCTCTATGCCACTGAGAATAGGATGGGCAGTAACAGTGTGGCTACTTTCAGTAGCTCAAAGTCTGTGAGCATCCAGCATACATGTAGTGTAAGTGGTTAATAATTATCAAGATTTATGCCCTCATCTCAAATTGTAAAGTTGTAGCTATTTTTACATAACGATTCACAGGTACAGTAGCAAAGTACCTCTATAAACCAAGTGGATCTCCACTCCAACAGAGAAAAAAGATTATTTCTAATAAACAGAAAAATCCACCCCATCCTGTTACTTGAGCACTATAAACAAGATGGCCAATAAACCTTGCTTAATGGTTTACACAATTTTGCATTTCAGAAAGTGAAATCCCAAAAGTGAATGTCCCAGACTCCATTCTACTTGATCCAGGTGATAACATCAAAATCTTCTGCAACCTTACTGAAAGAGGAAACCAATACAGCACCCCACTGAAGAGGATTTCCTGGTATAAGGATGGGAGGTTGTTGGAGAGTGTGCGGAATCCAGATCCAGATGCAGAGCAGCAAAATGATTTTTTACCCCCACTGGAGCTTGAAAATGTTGATTTCCAAGATGGGGGAACATACACCTGTAGTTTGGTAGTAAAGTTAAGGAACATCAAGGAGTACATTGTTAAAGATACCACAGTATTAAAGAGTAAGTACAATACACAATTGTGCTGATAGAAATTTTTTTTTTGCTTGAAGAAATTCTCTTGAAAAAGCTACAGTGGTTGTTCATTATGTAGGGGTACTTATTAATAAGAACCTTGGGTACACTGCTCAAAAGTCTAGTTAATAAAACCCTTTCACTCCTAAGATCTCATGAGTAATTCTTGTTACTGTCTGTAATTAATTTTTTATGGTGTTATTTCAGTTAATTTAACTAAAATCCCATAATTGAAATATTTCTGTATTGTCATTACCTGTCTGCCTCATACTTTATTGATAATGCAATAAGAAAGGCTGTCTTGGTCACTTGCTACCAGACAATTGATGTGATTAAAGATGACTATCCATTAGAGGATTATCAGTTGATCCAATACCAAATTCTCTATATTTACATCATAAGAATTGTATGGCAGACAGTCAAGGGAATTACCAATGACTTCTTGGGAGTGAAAGGGAATCAGCCGATTTAAGAACCTACAGGGCCCATCATTCAAAAGTCCAGGTAACTCAAAGGGGCCCAAAATTTTTAAAATTTGAATGAAAAGACTACAGTGCAGAAGTGTAGATGTTCACTCAAAAACCAGACTTTTCTTTTTCTTTTGTTTTTATTTCCATTGTTTTCAGTTTCAATACCTGAATAAGCTGTAGCTTGATCTTGAAAGTAAAACAAAAAAAAAAAAAGTTGGGCCAATGTTGTTGTTGTTGTCGTTATTGTTTTTTTTTTCAATAGTGTCTACTTTTACTGACAAGCTGGCAGGCATTCATTCACTCCTGCAACATTCTGACCACCAAAAGCCATACCATTATTAAAAAACTTAATACCAAAGGATGAAAACAGTTTTATATTCCTGGAAATGCCAAAATCTGATCAGTAGTGTAAATCTCTTATCTTTCTGCCATACTTGTCCCTGTTAGCTAGTTGAGAGAATTTGTTGGTAGATGTGAGTGTAAAAAAGCATGTAAGCTGATAAGTCGATGTTGATGAACCTAGTTGACCCAGGATTTTTCCTTGTTGAACACTTGTGACAAGATTAAAAAAAACATCTCTCTTCAAGGTCATGTACTCTTTCAAGTACATACTGTAAGGGAGGTATTTTGTCATTTTTGACATTTTTCTTTGGTGCATGAGAGAGAGTTAATTCAGTTTCATAGATCAGAGAATTTTTAGGTTACTGTGCATAGTTTCCAGGTGAAATTTCAATGACCCAAACTACAATGTTCTTGTATTCTTATTGAGGAGTGACAAATCTTTTCTCTCTTTTTTTAATGGGCAAAGAGAGTGGTTAACATACATGTACAGTACAAAGTGCATGTTGTGTCATAATTCAAAGATTGCATTTATTTATGTATTTGCACACTTCAAGTGTTTTAATGGGTCATTGCCTGTGTGAAATATTCTAGTTGCTCCCAGGCTTACAAAGCCAAAGGAAGACATTGAAAAGGTGGCATTTAAAGGAGACGATGTATCATTTGAGTGTGCTGCAAAAGGATATCCTTTAGTGGTGGAATGGAAAGTGAAGAGGAAGAATGAAGAAACTGTTGAGGCTTGTATAAGTAAGTTTTGTAGAATGATACTCTTTTTATTCTAGGCCCCTAAAAACAATTCAGTTAAGTTTTCCTTGATTAATCATCAACTGCCCTTATTTAACAATAATTTGCCAAAGGGGAAGAGAATAATTATGATTGAATAATCAGCTCAAAAAGTATTCTATCGCATTTAACACTTCCTTGGAAACATTGACAAAAAGTGAGCTGACTATTGCAAGATATGAGAAATTCCCAACCAATCAGAGTGTGCACATCTCTATAATAACCTGAGCAATTATACTGACAATTAGTAGCATATACTGAAACAGTGAATACCAGTGAAGTAGTGCTCTGATTGGCAACTCAAACTCAGAATATCATTTGCTATTCATCCTGAGCAACTTGCATGGGATTTTTTCCAAAAATGTTGTAATTGTTGCAGGAATAAACAAGTTAAGGTCATTTTTTTATGCTTTATTGTCTTGAGCACTGTTTTAGTAGATAATAAAGCAATATTAACCTGGATATTGGATATCAACCTCACCACTTTGCAGCTTGGTGAATATCAACCACCAGCCAACTTCACTCTTGTAAATAGGTGTTAGTTAATCAAGTTTTATGGTCTTTTAATGACCACATAGGCAAATGATCTGTTCTTGACTTATTAACTCTTTCTTGTTCTACCTTTGTTATCTTTCTTGTTAGATGAATCAGACGGACACTACAAGATCGAGCAAGCTAGCATGTATGACCCTTATATTCTGACCATATCTAAACTGGAGTATAGCGACCGTGGATTTTACTACTGTTGTCTTCCTACAAACTGCTCCAAAAATGTAGACTATAAGTGCCAGCGATTCATTCTTCGTGTCAGAGGTGAGGCTGTACTTTGATTTTTTTACTTGCTGTAATCCTTTATACCCCAACATCACTTCTCTATGCATTTCCTTTGGTACTGAGAAGGGCCTGTGTCTGAAAATCAAGAATCTCTTCAGTTGGTGATCATTTCTCTTATTCTCATGACGGTAATGTTTGATTCAGGGGTGATGCTATTAGGAGAAATTACATGTAGATGTATGTAGATGATAGTCACTCTGAGGGGTCAAAGTTTACATGAACATGTACATGTATGTCTTCAGAATCATCACTTTATCTCGTACTGTACATATTGAAATTTTCACAGTGAAGTTCTATCATTGGTGTCTCTGATTGGATGAATGATATAGTTTCACAGTCATTTGCTTCCAATCTTTGAAATGTGTCTGTCAGGAAGGAAAATCTCAGCATGTATGAAATAAAAACATCATACCATGGGAAGTGCTCAATTGATTTTTATTCATGAGTTGCAATGCATCAAAAAACTCACTTGTTAGCTGTGCTCACTCATTTGTTTTTTTTAATGCATTGCAGCTCTTGAATAAAAATTGTTGGTGTACACTTTCATGGAACAATCTCAATGATAGATGCATGGAAATTTAGTAGCACGTACAATTAATGTTATTATTATAGTTATTTTTAGTATTATTATAATCATAGTCCTTATCACTATCATCATCAATATTTATATTATTTTGATTGTTTTGATTATCATTAGTATTATGGTTGCTGAAATCTCTGTTGCTCTCATTTGATTCCAACTATTACTGAATGGTGGCATACACTCTATCTTAGCGTAGCATATTATGTGACTTTGAATTGTATTATGAGTATCCACCAATGGTGTTTGGTTCTGTTTCTTTTTTTGTAATAGATCGATTGGGCCCTCTGTGGCCTGTTATTGGTATTATTGTTGAGGCCCTTGTTCTCTTCTTAATCATCTTCATTGCTGAAAAGAGAAAGAAGGACAAAGAGAAAGGTTTGTGAAACAGTATCTATTATGAATAGCTCAAAGGCGCCTCTATGTATTTCAATTAAGCCTTCATTTTTTCCGCCTTCCCCATTGAAAAAAAAGACTCTTTAAGTTGTAAGTGGTATTCGTTTTGTGTCACCAAAACTGCATTGCAGCAGGGAAGATACAATTTATTTGAACATTTGTATCAGAAATTGTGATTAGTTATTGTTTAATCTAATTGATCAACACACAAGCAATAAGAAGGAAGAAAAATAATTATTTACTAGTGGGTATCGATTGACTGAACAGCAAATTTTCAGTGCTAAAATTTTCAGAAATGTATGGTGGACTGTGATGAGAAGTAAGCTTTAGATGTTGGAAATGAAAGAGTTGAAGTATTACAGGTTTTTAAAAGTGTATATTGAATATTAAATCTGGGCAACAATGCTCAGGAAAAGGCATAAATTGTATTTTAGCTTTCAGTAAGTTTCTAAAAAGACCTCTAGTGGGCATGGTCCACATGCAGTATTAAAGTCTTTGTAAAAATATTCTTTATTTTGAATGAAGTTTACTTTACTAAGCACCCATACAAGAGACTGTTGTATCGTCACATTGTACATACAGTGTACATATTGATATATGTATACATATGTATGCAAGTCACTAATGTTTAGCTTTTCTCCTCTTTTTTCTTAATTTACTGATGCTGCACATAAACAGCTGAAAAGTAAGTACACACATTGTTTCTCTACGTACAATTAACTTCTCTAAATATATAGCTACTATACATAAAACTTGAATTCTGTGCCACAAATCGTTTTGATTGACTCATATACTAAAGGCTCTTGACATGAGATGGCCCATGTCTATGGAGGGGTAGGATAGGAGGGAATGGGAACGAGTATGGGGATGGACAAGTGATTTGAAAAAGACCAGTATTCATGTGTTGCTCTCAGATTTTTCATTTAACACCCATCCACACCCACACTTGACCTATTATATAACTGACTGCTCCTTCGTGAATGTTAGAGCATGCGGCTATCAAGGTGCTATCAGAGCAGTGGCTTGTTTATGCTCAAGTTGGCGGATTGGTGACCTTTAATAGGAAAGTATTCCCAAAGCATTGAGAGTATGAAAGTAACGAGAAAGTAGCAACGGTTCATGAAAATTTTATGGAAAACGAGGCTTATTGTGACATCGTTGCGCTTATGAGCTCTTGTACCTTCTCCGTTGCTTTTCCTTAACTGTGTATTGTACAATGTGTTGATGCTGACATCCATTTCTCAATCTTAATTGCTGCAAACCTTTTATGTATTCCTTAGGGTTGATGGTCGAATGGAGTTCAGTTACAGCTCCACAGATGACGGAAATGGCACAAGGGGCCAAGTGCGCTTGCGTAAAGCGGGTGAAACCCCAGTTGCCTAGAACGTTTTACTGATATTGTACGTGTGTAGCCCATCCTAGTCATTTTTTTTTGGCTTTTCTTATAGAGCTTTAAGATAAAAAAGAAACTGCAATTTTATTTGAAATACGTGTTTCTTAAATGTTTTCACGAAAGCTGCCATATCAGTGCTGACGAAAGTTTGCTTTTTCATCACTGCTATAGGGCTTAATGAATCAGACACATTTAGAGGTTTTGGGTTAATTAGAACGATGCTGATTTTTCCATTTTCGTGTATAGTTAAGCGAAAATAGTGAAAATTTTAATGACCGATTATTCAAATGCCAGTCACGGGGGAATACTCGGCGAGGAAGACATGAAAGGAGATCAGGAAGGAGGGAGAAAACAGAAAGAGGGTATCAGACTATCTCTCTCGTGTGCAACCTCTCTCCCTTCTTTCCCCCCCCCCTTCCCATTTGCACCAGCCAAATTGTTTTTTGAATTATCTAAAATAATCTTTTGTATTTAATTATTTTGGCGTAAAAGGCAATGAGGTCTTTAGTTTTAGAAAAATCGACGTAAGTATCGGCCTATTATCTGCAGAATGAATTACTGCGAATGTAAGAAGTATTGTTTGATGATAATTTGTGGCAACCGTGTAACGTCGTACCATTTAAAATGACACCTACCAGGAAATTCAAACATCAATGTGGCATGTATATTTTTGTAGTTTGTATTCATTCTGGTGCCTTTTTCCCTTTTTGTTTTTTTTTTACGAGTTTGTGAGGTTTACGACATCAGCAACTTGTCTCATCAATGGAGGCTTCCTTTATAATACACGAGCTGTAAGAAATTTATCAAAGCGATGTCTAGAAGATATTGAACTTTATTTTTAGGAAGGAGCGATATAGCTCCGTAGTTTTATCACTAGGAGGTCAATTTGAAGTATGCAGTTTGTTACTTGAAACACAATCATAACCAAAGTCATTGTATTCTCTCGTTGATATTCTGCAGCATCATCTGAAAAAACAGTGGACCGGTTGTTAATCTAACGGTTTTCCTTCGTTTAGCTTAAGCTTCAATTTGGCCAAACGGTTTTTGAAAGCGTTCATTTTTGTGATCTGTGTCAACAAGGCTTAAAGTTAACCCTTTAACTTCCGAGATCTTATTAGTAATTCTCCTTACAATCTGCTATACAGTTCTTGTGATATTAGTTTAGAGAATTTGGGATTGCATTAACTTATAATCCTCTAATCGATACTTTTTCTTTATTCTCATCATTAGTTTGCTTGATATTGTATTGATATTGTAAGGAGAAATTCTGTCTTGGTCACTCATGGGAGTTAAGGGTTAACAGTGGAAAAACACCATCAAACATCCCACTCAAGGACAAATCTTGAGGAACAGTGGTCGTTGAAAACCGTAATAGGTGCATTTAGTCCTTCACACCCTCACGTCGTGCTTATTCTTCATACTATTTACTTTGTATTATTCATGGCACTGACGCGGAGAGACTTTTTTACAATCCAGAGCTTCATTCAGTGGAAATCAGTTTCGTTATTCTCATAACGGTAGTGTTTGATCTCGAAGTAATATTGTAAGGGGAAATAAGATGTTCGTAACATTTAAGGGTTGAAGGGTTTAATAACCAGCCCAATTTATTTGCAATTTTTGTGCCAGGGTGTCGATGCACGATGTCGGCGCACATGTTACTCTGACTCACTCTTGAAGAATTAAGTAAACAATGATATTTAGACCGTGTTCAGCAGCTTTTTTTGCTGGAGCGCAATCGCCGTCCTCTTGTCGCGCTTTTTCTGTGATGCAACATTAGTTTTGTACTGTTGTTTGACGGAGAAAGTGGAGCAAAATTGGACTTCTTATGAGTTACATATTTAGAGAATGATTTCTTTCAACTCGCTTGTAAATGGCTTGAAACCTAATCTAATAAACATTGAAAATATTCAGTGACTGTTTCTTCTTAGCGTAGACCTCAGCCCGTCAAGCATGGAATTGAGTGCACAGTGCGCGGATTGATCCAATCAACGGAGTATTAAACATTTAATTGTGTATTGACCGAGAATTTCGCTATCTGGGATGTTGCATTTGAACGAAGCGAGGACTGCATAGTAGGTTAACTAAAGTATAATTTACCGAAGATATCTTGATTATTTGGCGCTATGGGGTGAAATTCGCGTTTTCTCGCGCTTCAGGCAACTTGGTTGTTTTTACTTTCAATTCTCATTAGCTAATAAAGTACTTTCCTTTCTTTTGATTAGCCGTTAAATTTCTTTGGTTTTAGTTTTACAACAGTCAGTCGAAAAGTGCTCTTATTCAAAATAATTGGAAAGCTATCAACCGTTGTGAACGGTCAGGTCCAAAACTGATTAAACAATAATCTGGACCTAAGAAATCTGTCGTCGCTCTCCTATCCTTTCACTACCGTCATCATGGCAAGAGGCACATTTTAATTGACTGTGATGCACAGCTAACAAATCTTAAAGAAAATTAATACTCCTTAAGAAAGGAAAATTTCAATAAACTACACGCACTCAGTTGAAATCCCAGCGCACATAATCTGCACTTAACACCCAGGCAGTCTACGTTCGCGCCAAACTTTTGTCCTTGCATCAGCCAAAGGTCTGTATATCACTCTCACACTTTAATATTTAACCTTCATGGCGCCGACAAGTGACTGCTAACTGCCCATTGTAAACATGTGTCAACGGCGACACGATGTCGCAGAAACCTTATGAGCTTATTTGTGATAACCCTTGTGTTTTTTAAATAATTTCTATTTTTAATTTCCAAACTCTTCTATCACCAAGCGACTCCTCGTCCAGTTCCTCGTTTCCAATAAAACAGTCTCTGTTCCTTTGATAATTTTTATACCGCTTCGGTTTTTTCTTTCCGTATAATGTTTTACACCCTTGGTTCAAAAGTTCCTACTTTTTTTTCAGCCACTAACAAGGCACGAAGAAAAAAATTAAAGGTGTCGCCACTGTAGCATCTTCAGCGTCAATAAAATATAAAAAAGTTTCACTTCGTTGTTTGCTAAATAGCAGTAATGAAATCTCTCAGTCCTTCATGAGACATTCTGGTCACACTTGTGACGACACACTGGTGACCTTTAAAGCATTCTCGAATCTCATCCTCATCACCTTAATAAAGATCCATTCAATTATCAACTTCACTGAGCATTCGTTTTTCGGGCCCATCTGGCCAAAAATGACAAGTGTTACGGTATAATCTAACCGAACAAACTCAACTACTTTATTTAACAGCGAGTAACTTTTCTTAGTAAGGAGCTACTCCTAAAAGCAGTACAATACTTATCGTTAATAAACTTAATTAAGCCTCACAGTCTATATCCTAGCTCACCACTGACACAATCTCGATGCTGTCTCCAAAGTTCCTTGAAATAAGCGATCTTCCGCAGTAACTCTCTCTCTCGGTATAGCTTTCAAAACAGTCGTCGCTCCGACAACAACAACTACTCCTACTACTACATAAGCGAGTCTCTCTCTCTCTCTCTATCTCTCTCTCTCTCTCTCTCTCTCTCTCTCTCTCTCTCTCTCTCTCTCTCTCTCTCTCTCTCTCTCTCTCTATATATATATATATATATATATATATATATATATGTATATACATATTCAAAGTGTCCTGGAACATTCCAGAAGCTTACACAAGAACTATTTAAGTAATATTAAATAATAAATACGTGACTTGAAGAAATGTTCTGGAAGGTTCTACGATGACTCAGCAGTCTGGAGATTTCTAGAAACGACAACATTTACCCATAACACGAGCTGTTTGAAAGCATCTGATTAACTTTCCTTTTTCATTTTCTTTGATCACTGTGGTTGATAGTATTCTCTGGAGAACAGCCTTGTAATTGCAGGCTTTTCATTTACGAAATAGATCAAAAATAAAGAATTTGCGCTCAGTCACTCTTAAAAGTGCAACAAGGATTGTGTTTCATTGAATTTCATGATTTCTCTATGTTGAGAAATTGCGTACGTATTTGGTGATTATAAAGACCTGGAAGATGATTGGCGATATGACGCGGAGAACTACGAAGCTCGCAATGACCGAGATAATTCGCTTCAAATCTGACTCTCTCTATCTAGGAAGGCAAATACTGGAGAAAATATTTGCCATATAGACAAAATCTCTCTCCCGAAACGAGACGCACGAATTCAAATAGGCTTAAATAAGCAAAAAGTAGCAGGAAGTATGGCTGACGTCACGTGGAGCGGGAAAGCGGTCTGCGACATCATCCAATCACAAAGCTTGTTTTAAAGATCTGATAAATTTTACAGACTGTCTGCGTTTGAACCCAATATGCAGTTTTAACAACAAGCAGTAAAAAAACAGGTTTTCAGCTTGCCCAGATCAAAGTTCTTATCATATAAGTCTGATGTACATTTTCATTCATATGCATGCAGGCTTTTATATGGTAATTCTATGTTTACGGAAAACGTAAAAGAATAACATCAGAGTCAAAATCTTCTAAAAGCTCTCTTGGAATCAATATCTATCCTCTATCTTGCTTCATTGAAAAGGAGACACCGCATGTTTATCTTGTCAGACGAATAAACAATGCAAAATCACAGGTTTGTTCCAAATGAATAGTTAATTAAGGGAAAATTTGCGGAAATAAATTGGAAATAAAATCTCAAAGCAAACAATTTAGAGGAAAGGATTTACTGTTAAGAAAAGATTGACATTATGCAATTTAGCCGATCTAATCGGGTTTTGCAAAGAAAACGCAGACATTGATCAGCTTATCTTCGTGACGAAGTCAGTGTCACATCGTATGCCTTTATTTATGAATCTTTTTCTTTTTTTTGTTACGCGCGATCGAAGCGAAAAACAATAATCTTTGGCTCACGAATTAAAAAAAAAACATTGAAAAACACCAAGAGACCGTGAAGGTTTGAATAGGATTCTCGATCTATGGAAGAAAACGCTCTCGATAATGAGCAAATATTTTGAAACTGTTGACTGGAAGTTCGACCCAAATAAGATCAGAAACGTAATAAGGATTTATCGATGGAAAAATGATCCGTCTTGACTATATCTCTATAACGTTGACCACCGAGGCAAATTATCGCAGCATTGAAAGGAAAATAATTAAATTATCATTTCCTTAGATCATTTGGCATTTTCGTCTTTGGAGAACTGTATGCTTGAAGGGGAAAAACAGAGATGCCTTTGTGCAGCATTAAGAAACTGAATGTATAATTTAAACAAGATTGTCGAACTCAATTTCTCCAAAATCAGTTTTAAAATCTCTCCATTATCCAGAAAAAGTTCAATGTTTCTTGTGACGTTAAAATCGTTTTAAAACTTTAATTCCTTTTCTTTTGTGTTCACCTTAAAGGGATATGGAAAGGGTTTTTGATTGGCAGTTGGGAAATTTGATTTAGTTTTCCATAACAATGTCTGCGGCCTTCAGAGTAAGTATGAAAAATAACTTCCGTGCATCTGAGAAAAAAAACAATGAAAATAGCAAGGTATAGCGCCTAAAAGGTTACAAATGATTCAAAAGTACATATTTTGAATACTGTTCTGACAATTCAAGCCAGACAAAAATTCTATACTAATTTCACTTGCTTCTTCCTCAAATCGCTTTGTGCGTGTAACGAACGGCTTTTTGTAGACGGGAGAAAAAATAACAATAAAGTCAACTTTAGTCGCCCACACCACATAAATATTGTTTGGATCATTTGCAATTTCACAGCGGGCTAGAGGTTAAATGCTGATAGAATTTCATTCCGTAACGTGCGGTCGATACTCTTCATTTCTTTCGATGGTATTGACTGGCCCAATCGCACGTTATTAAATTTTCTCCATTAGAAGCACAAAACCATTATTTCCAATGTATTTTCTGTGATGTCACAATCGCCATTCGCACGTCATGTAAAATTCACAAGGCAAAATTCTGCATTACCACTGAGATTGGAAATCGGGCGCCTCAACGCATTGCGCCAAAATTATCTCGTACGAAGAACTGCGGGAACCGCGAAAAAATCCTACGAAATTGTTTTCATTTAAGGGAATGTATATTTTGGGTGTATACGCGAGTAAAGAACGCAACGAGATTTACGGCTTCATCTTATCTGCCAAGGACATGAAAAGAAATGAGTGAATTTTCCCCGCGTAACGATGAAAAAAAGCGCACAGAACCAGGAATGTTGCGCTTCAAACGACGAGATGCAGGCTGATATGGCGTGCAAGGAAACAGAAGTGGCAGCGACAGAACAAATTCAGGCTGAACAATCTTCGCCGGTCGATGGTAAATCCAAAGATATCGATACTTCTCCAAACGGAGAGAGGACCAGTGAATCTTCCTATGGAACGGAAAATTCGGTGTTGTCTTCCCATCAGAGTCTGCAAGCGTTGCAAGCGTTGAACAGCGTGAACGAGCAAGAAAGTGATGAAACACGAAGTATAGAGGAAATAGAGATCGGGTTGTATGAACAAGGACCATTAAATGAAATAGCAATTGAAGAAAATGATCATGAAAGCATTCGAGAATGTGACTCGAGTTGCAGCAGCCCCCTTTTAAACGGTCATGTTGTTGATAGTGATGTTCACATCACAACAGAAAAATCGCAGGAAACTCATTCAGGGACAAGTGACAAGGAACCCAAGGAAAATGGAAGATATTTTTCATTATTCTGTAGGAAATCCCGCACTTCACCGTCAAAATCGAACAGGTCCAATGGAGATGTAATTATTAATATTGACGTTGAAGAAATTTCTATCCATGAGTCTCCTCGCCGCAAGTCGAAATACTCTCTAAACGACCGTTTGAAGGGCTGGTTTCAACCCATGGACAATAAAATGAACATGAAAGTTTTCGGGAGTAGAAGAGCCTTAGCAGACGAACTTATACGTTACAGTAAAGTAGGATGGATTATACATCCAACAAGTGCATTCAGGTCAGGGAATAATTATTGTTTGCAAACTATGTTATTGTTATGTTTTTGCCCTTTAGTTTATTTTCGTCCCTAATGCTTTTGATGCCATTTCTATTTACTTTGATTGATCGTTCGTTTTCTCTACCAAGGAACATCCTTTATTGTGGCTTAAATATTGAAGACAGGAAGTTCGTTACTGAAACACTGTTTTGTGACTGCATTTCACGCTGAATAATGTAAACAAAAACTCCCTCACTTTTCTTTAAAAGGGTGGAACTTGTCACATCGAAACACATGTATTTTCCCACTTGCCCCACAAAAACCTCAACCCTTATTGGAAATAACTAAACATCGTTAGAGGAATTTCATTTGCTTGTGATTCGCTACGCTGTGATTACTTCATGTGGCCGATTTCCGTCTCCGGCTTTAGTTTAAATTTTAATGAAGCTCTATTTGCGTACAAACTAGTTCCTTTATTACGGTTTTTTCCCTATGCAAATCGAAATAGTCACTTAAAAAAACCTGTGAAAACTCGCTGTCCTCCTTTGTTATTTCGCTTTCACCAAGTTTTTTTGGTTAACAACCTCGCAAACAGGTGATTTTTAAATGCTCTTCTTGTCGCCCTTTAATATTTTTCTTGCCTTTTTTTTTTCTTTTTACACTCCATTAGAGTCGGGATTAAACATGAAAATTCAAAAGAAAAAAAACATGTGTCTGCGAAGCAGGCTTCTGAGAGCTATTGATGAATTGTTTAACGAATTTCATTTGCGGCCAGGCAGAGATTTTATGAAGTGATGATTTATCATGATTAAATCTTTAAGTCATATTGCCAACAAGGTAGCCTGTCAAATACCCTTGTTTAATTAACGAACCAAAGGAGTCGAAACGTTTCGAAAAGTTACTCAAGTAGGTTGCAAATTGCTTGTACGGCGGATTAGACATATTTACCAATTTTAAAATAAAATTTAGTTTAAATGGTATGAGGTTATTTTCAAGAGGACTAGGGTATATGTTTACAGATTGTTTAGTCTGAGGGGAAAGATTAAAAATAGCGTAGCACGTGTTACAATTTTTTTGTGTTTGTTTTATGTTCATATTTTATTCGGTGAAATATGATTTACGCTCAGATATCGGCTGAGATTACGAGACTTTTTACGTAAGTTTATTTCTCTCGTTTTTTGGTCGTTTGTAGTAAATATTGATAACACACACTGTATCCACTCATAAGGAAAATCGATCATTGCTGTTGATGTAAAGAACTGAACGCACCGCATAATTAAACTAATGAGCAGGTCGTGAGGTTTCATGAAAAGGTGAAACTTGTTATGGATCATGATTGATTTTCTGATGGTCCCAGTGATTCGATCAGCACTTTCTACAGGAGTCATATTTTCTTTAATTGTACACTCCCGTTATGTAAACTTAATTTAAAAGAGCCCTGCTTTTTACCCTTTATATATAGTCTGTGCGCTTTGAAAACGGAAGATTAAAAGTTCAGTGCTGAGAACGGAATGGATCGTAAAGAAAATTTCAAACGTCGAGTTATCCCGTAAAGAGAAAAAGGCGACCCGTTACACACTTTGCTTCGCTAACGAAAATTTTTCATGGGTAGTCCAGTTTAAACTGTCATAAAAAAAAATGATACTCAAGTTTTGCATATTGAAACTGTCTTTCGAATCATTCGGGTCAGTACTTCCTTCAACACAGAATCAACATTACATTCAATAACGAATTCCAAAAATTGCTCAAGAAATTTATGCTTAAGCAAGTCATTGTTCCTTTTGATGCCCTTCAATTGTAGCCTTGGCGCCTTATTAAAAGTCTAATGACAAAGGGAAGCAAAACGATGTGCCCAATGAAAATTTGAGTGCTGTAAATTAGTTTTTTCCTTAATGCTCTCTCTTTGTATTTTAAAACCTTAGTTATTTTAAAGGGATTATTGGTAATGGGAATTCGTGTTCAAGAGAATCCGTATTTCTCTAAGCGCATGCATGTTTGCATGCTATACAACATGGGCGTTAAGCCAATAAGTGCGTAAGTAACTTTATTTCAACTCTGGTTGATGTGGCTGATTAAGGCCCTAGCAGTACATTCTAACACGCCGAGAAAAGTAAAAGAAAATAACAAAAAAAAAATAGTTCAGGATATCAAAAATGATTAGTTAATGACTGACTTTCTAACAAATTTAACTAAGTAAACAATCCTAGCTCCAAAAATTACAACAAAGGGAAAATCTAAGACTCTACATTACAAATGTAGCTCTCTTACAGCATTCTTAAATTCCCTAAGAATCGTCGTTGAGCGTAATACATCCGGTAATTCCACACTTTGGCACCAGTTTTAAACTGTAATCAAATTATATGCTTTTGGGAACAAAATCTGTTAAAAACTGCATCTTCTCCAACTTGGGGCTTCGTTATTCAGTAGTTAGTTATTTAGGCCTAAATTGTGCAATGTTTTGTTAAAAACGGTAATTTTCGTCTGAACTTTCTTTTAAGCCTTCGCTCGCTACAATTTCTTTAATTTTAGTTTATCTACCAGGAAAAATTTGTCACAGTACAAAAGGGATTTATTTTATACGCATTCTGTTCATGGCATAGTGTTTTAATCTCAGGAACTGCCCATAGAAACCTTTAACATTTTTTTTAATGCTTGAACCTGACTTCAAAGTTGGCTAAAATCACGAGTTTGTTTTTTTAAAAAACAACCAGTGGGCTCGCGGAAACTTAAGCCATTTTGGCACAAAAAACGCATTCGAAAACGAGGTTTTACCAAAATATGTGGCATAGTGACAATAACAAGACACGTTAGTTTTTTACTCTGGAAGGGCTTATTGATTGGTTTTTCCTAAAAGCGATAACTAAGCACAATTGTTGTTAGCAGAAAGTACATTGATTCCGACGTTGACATTTCCTTCGCATCTAGATAAAAGCCTGATTCAAGTCCTGTCGTTGCACGCGTGTTAGAATCTAAGATTCTCAGTGAAAATAAATATTTCACAACTTTTGCTTTAACTTAAATTGTCATTTTGATCTCTTTTAATTTTCAGGCTCTACTGGGATCTTATGCTTCTCTCGTTGCTGATCGTAAATATGTTCGTTCTTCCGGTGGCGATTGCTTTCTTCAATGATGATATGAGTCCTTCTTGGATTGCTTTTAACAGCATTTCTGACGGAATCTTTCTCTTGGACATTGTTTTAAACTTTAAAACTGGTGTGCTTATTCACGGTACACCCAACAAGTTTATTCTAGATCCGAAAAAAATCGCGATACGGTAGGTAAATTTTTCAATACTTAAAAATTTATTTTTCTCAGTTGACGTTTTCTTGGTTTTTTTAAGTTTGTTTCACTACTTACTGATAATTTCATATAAAATATTTAGATTGAGGGCGGGTCATCTTTTATTAACAATGATCTTTCTCGATTTCCAAGATAACGTGTTCAATTAATAGGTCAAACACCTTTACTGCCAAACAACATGTTCCTCTTTGTATTTTGATTTCCAAACCACGCCTTAATAATTTAAACATAGATTTCTTTAACGACAAAAATGAGCTGAGAAATCGTTACTTTCCAATGACATGCGAAAAAATATTTTTAGCGCATTTGTTCGGCTCTACTTTTCCCTTGTCAACCCTTACCATCATTTTCACGTCTTTCCGTTCTGTTTCGGAAACAAATTAGAAGAAACCTCATTCTCTGACTTCACCCGTTTGACATTTATTTTAAATACAGAGTTTTCAAATTGATTTATCTATGAAACATCCGCCCATATTTTAAGCAAAATAATACCGAAAACAGTGTTTTGTGGGAGCAATGTTGTTGCTGTTGTTGTTTTTTTTATTTTTACGGAACTACCTCTTAATGCTTTCTGAAATTTCTAAAGGGTATTTTTGATATTTTCAAGCTCTTCTCCCTCCCTCCTTTGAATGTCTTTGAATTCACGCAAGCGTGCAACACGCGTGATCTCGTCACTGAGCTAATTATGTCTACAAAGGTTGAACTTGAATCTGAAGTTCGCACTAGTTTTTCTTGAAAAGTGGATTATTTTTTTGTTTGCCATCTCAAACTTGCAGCTGTGCAGAGTTAAAGACTTTAAGAGGCTCTACTAACAGCTAAATTTTGTATACTTTTCGTCATACACGGCGGCACGGTGAAAACGGTTTTGCTAAACAACGGCTAAACTTTGTTTAGATTATCAGGCCTTACACTTTGCATTTTAATCATCCAAGTAATTCCAGATAAGAACCACAAGTGGTGTCATTTTCACAGGTACGCTAGGACATGGTTTCTTATTGATCTGGTTTCTTCGTTCCCGTTTGATTACGTCGTTTCCTCGGCGACAAGCTCGGGTTCCGGACGATTGTTGAGCGCATCCAGGGCATTGCGCATTCTACGCATGGCAAAACTTCTAAGTTTGTTGCGCTTGCTCAGAATATCACGTCTTGTACGTTACGTTCATCAGTATGAAGAGGTGTGTGAAATTTTCCTCAAAGCCTTTGTCATTTATGTAAAACGAGGAAGTTATGTTGGCCTGGACTTAGGAACGTTAGGACAAGGGTTGGAGCTCTTTTTGGAGGTCCTTCTGTTTTGTTCTTGTAAGGGCTTCAAAATCTGCCCTTCCAAGGCCTACCTCTCTCACCCTCTAGGAGTGTATATGGGTACAGGCAAACTTTCAGGGGAAACCTAATGAAATGCTGGAGGGGGAGGGGGGTGTCTTGAATGGACTAATTCCAATCCAGATCAGGAGGAACAACTGTCCTAGAAGCCGTTTCATACTCAATAACAGGGGCGAGTTTTGGAAGATTTGTGAGCCAGTCTCATCTAGACTTCAACAAACTTTCGGTGAACTATTTCTAATGATCGACGTAATGTGATATATTTCTCGCAATGAAAATCTATATATCTGCTGGAAAGCATTTCCTGTGTGTTTCGTGTTGGAAAGTTTCGTAACAGAGGAAAAAATAAAATAAGAGAGATAGAAAGCTTTAATCTCGGTTAAGAAATAGAGAAAGATTGATTTTTTCGTCTTGTCACGAGCGTGGGACGAGGAAAAATTTTTGATTCACCGTGAGGAATCGAACCTCAGACCTTCTGATCCGCGCTTCGAGAGGAAAAAACTGTCATTTTTTTTTTCACAGACAGGACAATTTTAACCATGTTCTCACGTTTTTCTTCATATCTGGTAAAACTTGGAACAGGTTTTAAATGTGACTCGCTCAGTTATCCGGTTCGTTAATCTGATAAGTCTGATGATGCTGGTAGCTCACTGGAATGGTTGCATGCAATATCTCGTACCAGTCCTCAACGATTTCCCGGCGAACTCGTGGGTTATAATTCATGACTTACGGGTAAGTATGGTTCACAATTTTAATAGAAGTCTTTAAGATGATTGACAACTAGCTGCAGACACAACAAAATGATCAAAATAAGCGAAGATTATCGATTTAACCGCATCTTTTTGTACGTAATTCGTTTTCATCGGTATGTTACTGGTTCCAATCGATTTTATGGGCCACCGCTATACAGGAGACACTGATGATCCTGAAATTGTAAACATTAATCGCAAAAAAGAGTTCGAATGAGGAACCGCTATCGGAAACGGACACCGCACAGAACTTGCCTTTATCACTGTGCACCAACCCCAGCGCCAATCTTACATTCACAGCAAAAAGTAGAGAAAACGTAACACGGCAATTGCTTTTATATTTACTCAAACTTGCAGCCGACGACTTTCAAATGCTTCTGTCGTTACAATAACGCATGGAAAATCAATTTCATTTCTAATGCAAAGATTTCCATGTTAATTTGAATGTTCTCCTCTGGTCATTTGCCGAGCCATCATTTTTCGTTTGGTGTAACCAAAACTTTTATCGTCGGCCAGGAGTCGATGACTCAACGCCTTCCTTTCCCCTGCACCCAAAACATACGACTTTAACGTTTTCTTCTTTTTCGTTTAGGACAAGGCATGGACGGAGCAGTATTTATGGGCTCTTTTCAAGGCTTTATCACACATGTTATGCATCGGATATGGAAGACATCCTCCTCAAAACATTCCAGAGACTTGTGTTACAATTACCAGCATGATGTCTGGTGCCACATTTTACGCGCTTTTTATTGCTTATTCCATAAACGTTATCCAGACCATGGATTCCCCGAGTCGGCATTACAAGGAAAAGGTAGGAAGGACTGACTGATCCAGATATTGGATACTTAAAACTGACTTAGTTATTGACGCACATTTAATAGAGTAGTTTCCAGGTTGATTGAATGACTGACCGACTGACTGACTGAATGAATGATTGGCTGACTGACTGACTGACTTACTAACTGACTTACTAACAGAGTAAGCCCTTACTTACTGACAGACTGCTTGACTGACTGACTGATTGGCTGACTGACTGACTTACTGGCTGACTTACTGAGTGACTGACTGACTGCCTGACTGAATGGCTAACTGATTCATTGATTGACGACGGACAATTAGACTGGACTGAAATAAGAATAAAAATAGTTTTTAATCGAATCGGAGTGAACTGAATGAAATACAACGATACTGAATGACTTACTGCCAACTGACTAAATGAATGACTGAAGTCATTGACACGAAAAACGGTTGGTTATTCAAACTGCAGTGTATTATTTCTTATTTTTAGATCCAACAAATTGAGGAGTATATGGCTCACAGAAGACTGCCTGTTCATCTAAGAGATAAAATTACCAAGTATTACGAGCACCGATTTCAAGGAAAACTTTTTGACGAGGAGAAAATACTGTCTGAAGTTTCTCGGCCATTGCGTAAGGTAGGAATGAAAAGTGATTCACGAATAAATTGCAAAACCAAGCCGTTCTATACTTATTCGAAAAGATGTAGTAACATTTATCAGTGTAAGAACTACTACGGCTGAGGATGGAAACGATTTACACGAATTGCGAATGACGAGTTAGGTTCAAGTTACAGGACCAAAAACGTAGCTATTTTCTAAGAATACGAGCAGTCCCTCCTTTTCGGCAAACTCCGTCCAAACGAAAAAAAAAGGAGTCTAGCGCGCGGCGCGGAACTCTTTCTGCGCCTCACTCCCAGAGTTCCACGCGGTGCTAGCAAATTTTTTTTGGGACTTGCACAATGGACTTCATTGAAAAGGAGGGTCTGCTATTTTCTTTAATAATACTACCATTTCTTTCTCATCGTCAGGCAATTGTCAATTACAACTGTCGCGAGCTCGTCCGTGCAGTTCCATTTTTCTATGATGCTGATCCAGATTTTGTGTCAGCCATTATAACCAAACTCGACTTTGAAGTGTATCTGGAAGGTGACGTTATTATACGTGAAGGGGAACTTGGAACTGAGATGTATTTTCTTAAATCTGGGGTAGTGAGTGTCTCGTGTGAGGGAGTTAGTACAGATGATCTCTCTGATGGCGCATATTTTGGAGGTGAGTTTAAAACAACTGGCATTTACGCTCTCGATTATCTCGAGCTCAAGTGTAATAGTAAAATCTGCAAATCCCAGAACTCGTGTGAAAAAAGACGACGATGTAAATGTACGTTAGGCCATCTATACAATAAAGCTAAATGGGATGATTCAGTCTTCTAGCTTGATCATATCTACAATGAACTGCTTTGAAAGACTCTTGCCCTTCCTTGGACAGCGAAGGGATTTAAAATCTACCAGTGCTTAGTTTTTTGAAAGGGCGGTAACACCACACAACGGATAAATCGCTGTCTTACGAACAGGTGTTTACAAAACGTACAGCACTATCCTCCAGATAGGGATTTATTCAGCGGATATCCTTAACCATCCTTCGACGCTAATTTACAATTATTAAAACGAATGCCCATTCATTATTAGCTTATCTTACCTTTCATTATGCAGACACCATTGTATATTTTTCCCCTCTCCCGAGATCAAATGGAATAACCTAGATCAAAACTTTGACTAATTTCTTTCTATTTTTTATATCATTTTTGCCAATGATCTTTTTTCTCAGAAATCTGCCTTCTGACACACGCAAGACGCACTGCGACTATCGTGGCAAAGACTATGTGCGACATATTTATTTTACACGCCGAAGATTTCAGGGAGGTCGTGGAAGAATTTCCAGAAATGCGACACGTTATGGAATCAGTGGCATCGGAAAGATTGAGCAGAATGGGAAAATCAGTCGACTTTTCAAACTCCGCTTGTCCTTCCAGAGAGTGTTTACTTGCCAAACTTCAAACCTCAGCTTCCAGACGGAGCAGTATTTGTTGTAGTTGTACGAATTTACTTCAACCCCGAGAAAATAATCCGGAAATTGTCATCACCAGAGAAGTTTCGTCAGACGATGACAATATAATAAATTAGAGCGCTTTTCGATCGAGTGTCGTAAAATAAAACCCAAAGTAATCTCAACAATCATCCAGAAGAAAGAAAATACCTTCAAGAACTAAGGAGAACTCAAATAAAAAAGCAAACAAATTGCCCAGAGCTCTGGAAAACTCGGGCGACAAAGTTATGGCTGGTTTTAGTTCTATATCTGAATGGTTGAGAAAGTGGCGTTAGAATTTTGGAATAATCACAGAGTAAAGTAAAGAGAAGCCAAAACAATCTCGGATTACTTTCGACAGTCAATTGAAAAGTTCTTTAAGATCAATTCTTGCAATTTATTTTTCAGAGGTTTACCTTTCGATTTTCGTGTAGAGGTGTTGATCTCTTTTCAAATGTTGATATGAGGTTTGATGGCGTAGAGCTGTGCTAATATGTGCAACGAAATTGGCACCAAATATGAAAAGCATGTGACTAGGTGAACTCATCTATTGTCGAAATTTGAAGACGTCTAAAAGCGAGATGTGGCGGTCATTCCTAAGTTTTTAAAAATCAGCATTAGCATCTTTTCCTTACAGGACTTGTTACTTTTTTAGAAAAGATAACAGGTCTTGTGAAGTAAAAATGTTTCTGGATGGCAGACTTTGCAATAACCTATTACTATTTTTTCTGTTTCTCAATTTGCGGAAACACCCTCGGGCTCTCTTTTAGGTAAGTCATTATTGCGCTATTTTAGAAAACTAGCGAGGAAAGGAACCATATTTAGCAGAAGTGAGTACTTAAAGTTTTATTTGTGACTGCAGCTTCTTGTTTTACAGAAAAAAATATTCAAAATAAAAATCTGCCTTAAAAAAATATTAATAATCGTTTTTAACTCAACAAGGTTCATATGGCATTTCAACTGTGGGTCTCGTGGTTCAAGATCACAGGTCAGCCTTAATGTCTACAATATCATTTTCCTGGCATTTTAATAGCAATAGCGTCAGCCTGATCACTTTTTACCGCAAACAACGTTTAGATGACTACACATTTCAGCTCGTAAATTGGTTTCACCCAAGAACATTATATTTAGCGAAGGATAACCCACGCGGTAATGAGTATTCGCGCGGGTTGAGGATCGTGATTTTTATGAAAACACGAAATAAGAGTCACAGGAGAATATTAAGAAGAAATAATTTAAAGGCAGCATAAATATATTTTGAAACTGCCAAACTTTCAAAATGTCCGAAGAGAACCCAATGCCGGTAAGTCAATGCAGTGAATAGAGCTTTATTATATATTTAACCACTAAGAAAGTCAAACACGCCGACATTACCTTGCGTTTGAGTTTCAAATGCAAAGAAACTGTTAAAGTAGTTTTAAAATGTAAGATATATTTAATAAAAGGGACACGAATTTGAAGAAATACAGGATCCATAATCAGAATCAGGAAATAACATTTGTACATATACTTTGTCTTGACTTTTGCGTCTGGGAAAGTTTTCTTGATATATTTATCATCTGGACTGCTCACAGATAACTTAACTTTACAAGTCCAACCCTTGTTAGCTGATATGCATCACAGCAAGGCTTAGAGGAGATTCGGATCCGTACCTCTCAGATTTACTGGTTGAGCGCTATCACAAACTGAACTATGAAGCAACATGTTGGGAAAGTAGCATATTTATCGTCTTCTTCAATTCCATAATTAAAGGAATTTGAAAATGATTGAATGAAATAAGTTACGTTTGACTCGCAGATGATAAACGCGTGAGGATATAATCCTCGAAGGTCTCATAAGTTCGCCAAGTTCGTAACATCTCTCTCTCAAACTTTGAATTTTATTTTTACTGAAAGCTGGGGTATAAGGCGTTTCGGTTTTAACGTGTCGTGGGTATTTTGTTCAACTAGAGATATTTTGCTGGAAAAAGATATGTGCGATAGATGAAGACAGTCAAAAATAGTACTGCGCGCGAAATCCCTAACTGGCCTCAGCCCGGCAAAGTGATACTTAATTCTCGGTAGTGAAACGGCCGCCATTTTGTCTCTGTTATCTTATATGGAAACATTGCCATAGCGAGCCGAGCGTATGCATTTATTTTACAACGTGTGCGGAACCTGTCACAATCAGAATGAGATCCCGTCGTGGAAATGAGGCTTAGTTCGACAATTGTAATCTTCGCACTCGTTTTGTTAAGTTAAGGATAATTGTATTAGAAAAGCAATACTATGTATTAATGTAAATTGAATATGATGTACGTAGGTTATCAGTAGTATTTCTCTGTTACCCCACGATATATTGATAGATGGCAGACACATTTTGACATTCTGTCGTTTATTTTGGTCTGAAGTGTAAGCCTTCCGTTAATGAAAATTTCGCCGTCAAGTTCCTATTGTCACACGTACGAAAGCCAAGTAATTGGCCACCGAGGAAAGATTGAATAAGTCATGTGTTGATATAAGAAATCACCTTGTAGCTAAAGAAACATTTAGTTCCGCTCATTGTCATCGACATGACAATTTTACCACGCAAGTCAAACTAAATTGAGCGTAGTTCTAAGCCTTGAGTATTTTGTTACAACATCTGCTCGGTAGTCAAATATAGGCTTCTCTCGTTTGCAAGGACCGTTTATTTATCGCAAACTAGAGTTGCTTTGGACGAAAACTGATATGTGTCTCTTTTTGTGCGCCGTCGATCTCTAAAGATATACGATTCCATTTTTTAAAAATCTTCAAAAAGATCAGCACTAGCGGAGACAGACATCATTTATCGCTGAGGGTAAATCGAACTTTATTCAAAGGTAGGAAAAGCTTTACTTTACATGAACAATGCGGCGGTTTTCAAGACGTCGACTTGGCCAGAAAAAAAGATTTCTAATTCTCCAAAGCGGTTACGCTGTTATTACTCTGAAGAAGCAGAAAATTAAGAATTACTTTAGCACAAATAGACAGCTCTTTGATCTGAATCGTCACATAATCAAACGTATCTCCTCTATACACCTCATTCACTTAAAAAAATAGCACAGTAAGCGGAGCGTAATTTCACAACGATCCTTTGTCGTGTGGAAAAAAAACTCACAGTTACCCACCGAAGACAAGATTCATATATCAACAATTTTAAGGAGAGGAATCGGTTGGATCATCACAAGTTAACGCCTATTTCAGCAACATCCGGCCGACTGGAATAATAAGATTTCAAAGTGGCGTTTAAAATTAGAAACGCTTTTTGTTTTTCGAAAGAAAACAAGTTAGAGAGAAATAGAAATTGAAGGACAGGATCATGAAATAATAATAGTAATAATATAATCAGCGTATAACACATACAGGTTGTGATACTAATGCAAAATTCACGTAAAACTAAGACTATTACGTCAGTTAATCTGGATTTCTCGAAAGATAAAATAAATTGTTTCCGCCGCTGTCTTGTCGGACTAAGACGGTATGAGACGGAAATTTGAATAATGATGATATATTACCCAATTAGGTACAAAACGAATTCATATATACATAAGCTTTGATCTTATTTTTTCTTTGAGGACGTCAATATCTCTAAGTTTAGAATTGTATTGCCTTTGCTATCATAACATAATTTTTCAGATATCCAATTTGATTATTGTTCCCCAGGTGATGAATTGCCTTTGTTGTTAACAAAATCAAATTACGACATTTAATTTTCCACGGAGACGAGACTTAGATAACTTTTAATTCCGAGAGATTGAAGACCTTGAGTTAATGTAAATGTTAATCTATGTCAAAATATTGCCAACTGTTAACAACGCCCGCGTATATACTCTTATTTTATTTAAGAAGAATTTGAATGCATCATAACTTAGCTGTTTTATTGTCGTTACTGAATCGACGACGTCAAAGAATAGCCAGACTATTTCGAGAACGCCATCCTTTTTAGTCGGACGTGCAATATGATTATTGAATGCAATTTTTAACGTTCTGTTAAAACAGATGTTTTCAGTAATAATCTAGGTGTTTTGGCGACTGTTAACTCGGCCTTTACACCAATCATCAGCAAAGTTATTCTCCGTACTAATCTCCGTACATTCCCTAAGGTGCTGATAAGGTGATAATTTTCTTTATTCTCATGACCTTACTGCATGATTCAAAAGTGATATTGTGAGGAGAAATTAGGTGTTAGTCACTCTTAGAGATCGCATACTTGTTCATATGAATTTTGTCATTACAAATATAACCAATGAACAAGATCTCACACAGATATAATGGTAACGAGGCTATATTGAACATTTAAGAACCAAAATACAAAAGTGAGCCTTCCATTGCAAGGTTTATTCTAGAAATTGGCCTCAGTTGACCCCTTCTTTTAATTCTACTGAGCGCTTTTTCAAGAAAGGCTGCTTAGGAAAAAGGTTTCCCGAAAGGTGTTTGAATCTATTCAAGGTACAGGCTGGTCGGTCAGAAAACGATGAAGAGAAAGGCATCTGAATCAATAAGCGGCTGAAAACCGCATCATAGTTTATGTAGCTGCTGTTATAACAGCCTTGTTGTCAGTAATTAATGTTTTCCAATTTTTTTTATTTCAAGAATATATTATTTAAAAATGCTTTTAAACTTGGACACATCTTTTTGCGCTTCAAAGACGTAAATTTTACGCACCATTTTTTTTTCGCATTGCGGAAGTCCTGCATAGATACGCTCTTGGGTAAATTTTTCTTTGCACAAAATATATATTCCTGTCCTGATAATCATTATCATTCTTATAATTATTATTAGTCGCTCTCATCATGTACATTATTATCATCATTATAATTATCATTAGTCGTCGTCATTATCATCATCATCATCATTATTATTATCATTATTATCATCATCATCATCATCATCATCATTAATATTATTATCATCACTATCATTTTGTCATTCAAGGTGTCCCTTCTTCATAAACTGAAAGCATTTATCATTTTCTGAATAAGCATTGTAGGCCCTCAACCGAAAAATCCATTATTCTATTAGGAGTCATAATCTCTTGGAGTGGTCTTTGGCCCGAAGGCCCCTAACCGGTCCGTCCCAATCCTCATTAAACCTGTCTGAAAGCCCTAGGATTTAATAAATCCGTTCGTGATGGCTTGACCGAAACATCTACTTTGTTTTGTTTGTAGCTTAAATAACACAACCTGTGAAGTAGAAGACAAACTCCGCACTGCACAAAAAAACATGGCCAACAACACGGAGGAAGCGAAAACTGGAGCGTCATTTAGTTCTATTGATTACGTTCAGCTCGTTATTTACCCCGTAATTCTTCTGTTTGGATCAATCGGCAACATTCTTGTAATGCTCGTAATATGGAACAAGAAAAGACATCGAAAAATCAACGACTATTTCATTCTCAATCTGGCGATTGGTGACTTTTGGATGGTCACGATTAGCACCTCCGTGGATTTCTTTTTAAAGTTCCGTGAATTTCCATTCGGTGACTTGCTCTGCAAAGGAGTCTGGCCACTAATGACAATGTGCTTATTCGCAAGCGTGTTCACACTAACATGCATGGCGATAGAACGCTGGCACACCATCGTGAAACCGCTGGCTCCAAGGCTCACAGTCATCAAAGTTCTATGGGTCCTACTTTTTACTTGGATCGCAGGACTTGGGTGTGTCTCGCCTCTGACGGTAGTTGCCCACCAGAGAGGACGCAGTTGCACAGAAACCTGGCCTAGTTTCGCTATGCGACAAGCGTATACAGTTACAGTTGTTTCGTTACAATATGCCCTCCCCCTTTTTATTATAACAATCGCTTACGCAAGAATCAGTATTTTCTTGAAGCGCCGCACCAGACTAAAAATTTCAGACTCCAGCAAGCGCTCGGCTGCAGTGCTTCGTAGACAAGCAAACAACGCTAAAATCAACAAGAACCTGCGCACAATCGTGACCCTTTTCGCCATTTTTATGTTGCCCAAACAAGTGTTGTGGCTCTGGTTAGACTTCGGCAAAGGCGGAGATTTTGAGCACTTTGGTGACGCCCTGATTTTTAGTGAGTTTATGCTGTATATTCACAGTTCTACCAATCCAGTTGTGTACGGTACTATTTTGCAAGAATATCGTTCAGGGATTTGCCATTACCTGAGGCGCATATTTCCTTTTTTGAGATCCAGTTGTACTAATAGCATTCAAGTTCATCCCGAGCTTAAATTGGAGAGTAATAATAACAGTAATTCCATGACTCTGACAAACCGAAAGTTATTCCACCAACCAGAGAGCGTAAAGGAGATCGCCTGAAAACAGCTGTTTCTCTTGGAGATAAAAGATACATAATCAGTTGTGTGATCGAACCATCAAGGGTTGAGGACGGCTTTTTAAAGAACAATATAGATATTTTTTCAGGGTGTCTGCTTTCGAGTGGCAAATTTGACCCAACCAAAATCACCATACAAATGGTATTGCTTCATCAATTGCGTTTTTATCTCATCTATTTCACGTAGATTCATGTCTTTTAACAAGACGCGCAATTCAAAATTAAATGGATTTTTTTCATATAATTTGTTTAGATCGTTGATAAATCAGTAGTAGCTGAATAGTTTTAAATTTTCATTCTGCTCTGTCTTTGAGTTTTCAATGTTAAGCTTTTCAAATTTACGTTTTTATGGTAAAAAACATTAATGATAAAAATCTCTAGATTTGCATGGTTTCAACAAACGAAGGCAGTGTTCATGTATCTGTTAAAGACCACTCTCACTCGCAGAGTCACTTGATAAAAAGGAGTGGCTCTGGGGACGAGAGTGTGATAAGACTGGTTCACCTTTCCCTACTTCACTTACCTCAACCGGGGATGGAAGTGGAGTCATGAAACATAAATTATAGCGATAGAGTTATTAAAACTTCGTTTTTATGAATTAGTAGATATTGATAAAAATGAATTATTGATATCGAAAAAAAAAGTATTAAAGAATTATGAATCATTCTATTAGGCTAGGAAGAGCGGGCAGGGTTCACGAATCCCAAACATGATGTACCGCTTCCATCCTCGAAATTCAGACCCTCGTTCTGTTGACGATCACAAATTCTAAAAATTTTATATTGACCCAGTCTTATCGATATCAGTTGTCCAAAACATTTTCACGTACTCAAATAAGCATGAAAGTCGAAGTGAGTTGACTTCAGGTCCTTTCAAGTCCCGAAGGGAACATGAACGAGAACGCACTGGTACGGAATTGTGGAATATTTCCCATAAATCAGCGCTACATGCTTTCAAGATGGCCGCCAAACAAGTTGCCCAGTCTGCGGGAAAAACTGTGTTTAAACCGCTTCTTTCGACGAGCCATGCTGAAGCTAGACGAAGGGTATTAAATCTGTACAGAGCCTGGTGGAGAGAGGTACTAACATACCATTTAATATGGTCTTACGGTTTGATTTATAGCATAAAAGCTTTGAATGTTATGCGCTAGATCGGAGATCATTTCGGCGTTCATATGAGTTTTCAATATACTGTAATACGAGGTCAACATTCTCTAGAATGTTTTCCAAATGGATGGACTACAGTAGTTGTGGAGAAATCTGTACAGTTTTCACTCGTGTAGTTATGAAATGTGAATTCACTCTATGAAATTCAAATTAGAGTGAAATTCTGATGCGTGTTTTTCCTTCAAAAGCGAGGCTCGGCCAAAGGTTCTCTGGGATCCAATACAGTCAGGTACTCCGTATTCCCTTATCTCAATACGGATATAAGTCATGCTGTATTTCGTTAAGTTTTTGAAGGAAGGTAACAAAAAGTTTGTAAATTCTCAGCTCAAATTTAGACATTTTAAAGTTTCCGCAATTTCAAGGTATATACTATAGTGGGTAATGTATGATTGAATTTGCCAAACTCATATCTGTTTTTCCACAGAACTGGTGATTTAGCCTTCTTTTTAAAATTTCTTCTGTGTATTCCACATATCTTCTAAATGTATCTTTTTAAATGTAGGTTGACTGAAAGCTAAAATGTGTTTGTAGTTTTCATGTTTCAATTTCCACATCTACACATATAATTACACTACCAGCTTCATGCTCGAGTTTTCTGTATCACTTTACAAAGGAACTTTGATTTTAAAAGCTCAAATCTTTCATTATTCTGAAATTGATACTTCAAAATAATAGCTTTTAAGAGCCCCTAAACTGCCCCCCCCCCCCCTTATTCCTACCACCAACAGGTAGATCTTGCCAAGAAGAAAAGGGTTGCCTCTCTTCAGAACACAATTTTTACTGGATCAAATTTTAAAGTGCAAAGAAGAAAAGCAAGCTCACTGTTTGCATTAATCTGGCAACAGAATTTATCTCTTGTGTAACTGTAGCATCGAGGGAATTTTTAGAAAGTTCATTCATTGTGGCAACATTTTGCTTGATGCTTTAGCCATATCATTATGCCCAAAGTTAGGGAATTTTTATTATCTTTATTTTTAACATTGAAGGTTCATTCCATTGAGGCCTATCAGTTAGCAACTATTTTGTTTGATTGGCCACATTTTGCTTGATGCTTTAGCCATATCATTATGCCCAAAATTATGCTGGCATAATCGTACTTACCTTAGCTTTGGTTATCTTTATTTTTAACATTGACAGGTTCCCCACTCCATTGAGGCCTATCAGTTAGAAATCTCTACTAAGACTGGCCGTGCCAAGGTGCGAGAAGAATTCATGAAGAATGCCCATGTTCGGGATATCAGAGTGATTGACATGCTGGTAATCAAAGTAAGTTTAGGGAAGGTTTTGCCTTTGTATGGATTTGTTTTATGATAGTTGCCATCTGACGTGAAAATTGTCACAACATTTGATGCCATGCCCCCATACTAATTTGATAAACCTGACTTTCATGATTTTTTTCAAAAATATCAATGGATAAATTTTGTGATTTGAATCACCTATTTTTCCAACCACCAATTCGCAATACATGAGAAATTTGATCTTGAGGAGTCATTATGTGAAGTTATTTTAGGGCTATCACACACTGTTGTTAATCTTAGAAGGTGATATGTATCCTTTATAATCTTAACTTTGAAATTCAGTCTACTGTTAGTAGGAGATTTTGAATATGTAATTTCTTTTTCTCTGTTTAATAAGTAGAAAATTTTAATGAAAAATTTGAGCCATTACAAACTAAATTTCTAGTGTGTTTTTGGTATTTTTATTTAATGTAAGTTTTTCTACATGTCTGTAAGAATCTGAGTGATAATTTAATAGGAGACCATCTGTAGAAATGACCACACTTACCTTTATCTTTTTACAGGGTAAAATGGAACTTGAAGAAACTCACAAGTTGTGGAAGCAGGCAACACATGTCATGCGTTATTTCAAGGAAACACAAGAACCTAGAAAAACAGAGTTCATGGAAAGATTCTTTGATGGATATGACTAGAAATTAACTATCTTACATGTTTGTTGTAAAGAAGAATCTACATGGTTTAAATTTTAATAATCTTTCTTTCTTTAAAACTTAAGATGAATTTGTATGCTACATCCTCTGTTTGGTGTGTGGGAAGGCTTGGCTGATTTACTGAGCAATGTAAATAAATTTGTGTGTATCTGAATTCCAGAATAAAATTTTTCTCCCAGTTTTCCAGTTCAATGAATTATCCAATGATTTGGTTTACTTGTATATTATGCTTCATCCCTCCCCTTTTAACAAAAGCAGCAATTTTTCTTACGCTTTCCTGCTGTGTTTTTCACAACACAATTAACCCTTTGACTCCTAAGAGTTATCGGAAGGTAATTTCTCTTATCACCCCTGAATCACACATTCAGGTCAAGACAAACAAGAAGATGATCACCAACTAATGAAGCTTGGATTGTTCAACAAACCTTTCCTTGTCAGCACCTTGGTAGATGTATAGAGAACAGTGTAAAGGATATGCATACTGTTGTTAGGGTGAAGATGGTTAATTTAATCCGAGGTGGTATTATTTCTTTTTATGATAATTTTGTGCTAAGTAGCTCGGCTTGTAGGCGAATAAATACCGTAGATTCTTACGTTTGCAAACGGCTGCAGTGTTCGTTTCACTTCCTTCGATGTTAATTTCTGTGTAAAGATTAGAGCACATGTCAAGTTTTGCTTTTCTTCAGGAAAAATCAAAACGAAATTACTACTTTTAACTCCGAATCAGCGGTGATTGACTCATTTCCCCATCACAAAACAGCCCCTCATCTCTCACCAACTTCCTAACCCACCCCTCCTAAACTGTATGCCTCAGTCAAACAACGCATTCGAACGACGCCATTTCTTGATGCTTTTGAGAACTGTAAGTGGTCAGTTACTGCGTAATATCATATACATATTTCTTTGTTCAATTTACCGTAGTAACATAAGCCAAGGTTCAAATTTAATTATTTTACCTATCAAGATTTACGCTTTTGGAGACCTGAGAATTATGCGAACATAGCGCCCTACCGACGTGTTAATTTCTTTCCGAAGAGCTTTTGTCTTCGAATCACTTTAATTGAATGTGATATTGAATGCACCTTTTATGAAATTATCTGTAAAAGAGTTTAGAAGGAACTGTCTAATTGGAACATGAATATTGATGATTCGCAGCTTTGTTCTTTTCATGCATAATTTCGTTGCGAAGTAAACGGGGAAATTAGTTGACATCGAATCGAACGCGAGGTTCTTTCGTACTCAAAACATTCGTATCGAATACGCGTTGATTGCCACTGCAAGCCAATTTGACGGAGTTTCGGTCGATTCTTAGGAAAAACGCAGAAAAGTTTAAGAATCAAAATAAACCTGGTAAGTAGTTTTCTGTTTAATTATTGATGCCTGATCGTTTTGATTTCAGTATTTCCACCGTCGATTTGAAGTTATCTCTTATCAAATCAACCTCGGTTGGTTTTCGAAAATATTTGATGGTGTTTCACGTACTCTGCTCGGAAACCTTAAATGGTTCAGCTGTGATGCATAGAAGCTTGTTCAGTTTTTCGTTTTGATATTATTCTCTGTTAATGCGTTATTGAATGTTATTGTTGTGAAAGTGTATGTTGGCAAACGAGAAATTTGTTTACATTAATTGACGTTCATCTTTCTCGTGATTCCCGAAAATGATTTCCCCCAACCGAAACTTTTTTACTTATACTACCTTATTCCACGTGCATACAACTGTATCGTAGAAAGTTATGCGACACACCTCGAAATGATTTTTTTTTTAATTGTTTATCAATATTAATTGCCGTTCAGGCCTCATTTACTCAATCAAGAGTCATTACCTCACCTCTCAAAGCTTGCCTGTGTCAAACCTCTCGAGACCTCTGTAGTATATTGATACAATGTTTAAGTGATGCTGGTTTTAAATCTTTGTGAAAAGATTTTCTTACAAATTTATACCTTTAAGACAAGACAAATCATATGTATTAAATATACATGGAAAGCAGTACTTGTTCACAATATGGTTGCCATAGGTTTGTGTAAACAGTCTGTTATTATGTCTGTCTATTTTTGAAATAGTATGGGGTGAGATGGAAATCTTAACTAAATTTAGGCATGTGCCATACAACTTTTATTTAACTTCATGGTATGCCACTTTTTTGTTTAAAGCATTCATTACTTTCAACCTCACTATTATAAACTTTGTTGTGGCTAGTTGACTTTTGGCCAAATTTCAAACCCTGTTTTGGAGTACCTGCACAAAAATTTTCCTTTTCACATGTGCATCAAATATTACATTAGCATGGTTTGCATGACCTGATAGCTTAATTGCTATTCTTTGTGTCTCTAAATTGATTATAATATTTGCTAATTAATAGAAAACCCAGATCAGCAACAATTACTTGCCTCTTGCTGAATTTCATTCCCATAGGAGAAAAACCCCGAACCATTGCAGCCCAATAATTGATGCATTTTTTGACATATGTAAAACATGAATAATTAAAAGTTAAATTAGCACAGGAGAAGAAAAGTCCATGTGAATGATTAAAAATAAGATGCATTGGAGATTTTTAGGACAACACAAAACATTTCTAATGTTCTAAAAATAATGGAACATCTTGGAAATTGTTTGGTTTCTTGAAGTGATTGCTCTTGTAAAAAGAAAATCTCAAATTATAACTCAAAAGAGGTCACTGTGGTAGATTAAGTTCCCTCATCCCTCTAAAATATCTCACCTGCTCAGTCAATTTGACTTAAGAAGGCTATCATCCAACAGAACTTTACACTGCCTTTTCAGAATAAAAGACTATTTGTCCGTGCAAGAAACAATTGAATAATAACTAGCATAGTGGTAATTCCAACCACATACTATTCTTGACTACAACCACTATCTAACATATAACTCCAGCAATATCCAAAAGAGTGAATTCTAATTTCCATTTTCCAAAGATATCAAATGATTTGCTTTCGCCCAAATAAGCATGGATGGGACTATACACTACAATGAGCCAGCTGACTGAGATGCATGTACAAATCACTGATGGTCTGTCTGTTGGGGATCAGGAGAGTGACTGTGATGATGATGACAGGCGGGAATTGATCAGTCATTATGCCAATGACAAGTACCTCAGTAAATGGGAAGTGGCTGAAGAGGAAGAAGAGATTGAAGAGGAAACAGAAAAGTTGGATGATAAAGAGCCAAGTATAGAAAACTCAGAGTAAGTTTTCGTGTTTGTTAATTGTGGCATTTTTAATCCTTTACACCATAACATCAGTGTTTTTATTCTCCATACTGTTGTTTCTACATTTCTTAAGGGGCTGACAAGGAGAATTTGTTTAACAATGGAGAGGTTCTGTAGTTGCAGATCATTTCCTTTACTCTCGTAACCTTAATGAGTGATACAGGGGTGATACTGTGAGGAGAAAATAATTTCTACTCTTTCTTAGGGATTAGAGGGTTAACCCTTCAAGTCTTTTTAACTCCTTTAATCTGTAAATTGAAGTACAAATTCTCCCCACTGTAGTCTTCAATATTTTGGTTTTCTTTTTGGGTAATTGTTATAATTTGTATTGTAGATACGGGCTCAAATTCTTTGTGAATGAGTTGAAAAATGACCCATTCTAGAAACAACTGTAGGTATATAAAGGTACAAACAAATGGTACATTTTCAATAAAGCTTGCTAGAGGGTATAACTTTGTAATTGTTAAGGGAGTCATAAAGCATGGCATAGCTTAGAGTGAGATGTGGACAGTTTTTATTCTGGCTTAAAACATATCTTCCTTGACCTTTTGTACTCAGTTCCACTTGATTGGCACATGTGGTGACTGGTAGTCACCACTATCTGTGTTCCACAGATCATCAATTGTAGTTGAGTAAAATGTCTTCTCTTCCCGTTTTTGCTAGGAAGAAAGAGGCAGCCGGAGACAAAACTGTCCAACGTTTAGTGACAGCCAGTGACTGTGATGATCTCTCTCTTGTGTCGTACAATAGTGTTAGGGACTGTAACCCATCAGCTGCTCCAAAGACAGCCCCCACGTCAGTGCATCATCACCTAGGACTGTTGTCTGAGTCCACTGGTGATGGATTGAAGGTATGTCCTAACAGACCAACTTCAAGTAGATTTATGCCACAGGCTATTTTGTATAGAGTCAACTAAGAACATCTATTAAAATCTGAGTGGTTTGACGGTTTTTACTGTTATTGTTCTTATTTTTGTTTATCATTATTATTATTGATGTTGATATTATCATTATTATTTATATTGATTGTTATTATTTTTGTTTATCATTATTATTTATATTGATTTTATTATTGTTATTATTATTATTATTATTGTTATTATTATTATTATTATTATTATTATTATTATTGTTATTATCATTATTATTTTGTAAATATTGACTTTAAGACTATCACTCACAAGTGTTTGAAAGATTAAATTCTAAATAGTTGCTGTTTATTTTGATAATTTTACCTGTGAACTCCTATTTTGCTTCAGCTATGCAAGTTTTTCAGAGTTAAAATACATTTTTGTACACAAGGTACAACTTGTTTTCGTTCCATACCCATCGGTAAATATTCTGACTGAGTTGTGAATAAAGCATTATTATTATGATTACCATTATTATCATTATTATTATTACTACTTTAGTAGTATGGAACTTCTCTTCCAGGATGTCTACCTCCACTAATGGTCACAATTTCTAGTGTTGAGGGTGTCCCAAGTGGTCTTACTGTTTTCATTGTAATACGCCAAAAGATGTCGAAGCCTTGTTCAGATCGTGTGTATAAAGATACATTCGAGTTGTTAATGTAGTTGTGGGTTTCTCTCCACAGCTTTGGCAAGGTTACGGAGGAAACATTTATTTTAATGCCGTCCGTTGTCAATCAATGCGGATCAACAGTGCCAAGTATGGAAAACTGAAAAAAGACTTTACAAAAAGATGGAAATCTAAATCTTGCACCCCATTGAACAGAAAAGATGGTTATCAGACACAATTATTGAATTCAGCCAAATCAGATATGGACATAGCGATACCCTCCAGCAGCAATTTAGGCAGTCTACGTATGAGGTCTTGTAAGGAGAAGAAATGCAAGACAGCCACGTGTAGACACAGCGAAATTCCTAAACCTCTAACCGGGAAGATATGTAAGGGGTTCAGTGAAAAACTTTTAACTGAAACATTTAAGCGGCTACAGGAAGATAGTGGTTATGGACTGAAAGGGGAATCTTTATCCGTATCTGGGGGACAAGTTGGCGATGCACTGGTCGATCCTATAGATAAAGTGAGGCAATTTAATACTCAGTTGAAAGGTAGAGACATTGCAGTGAGTTTGGAGAGAGGCTTCCCTACCTTACTCTCAGATAGTTCATTTTTCTCACACAGTGACCACAGAAGTTCAACTGTGGTCACTGCCAACGCAGACCCATTTTTGAAGCTTCCTGTTCTTGGGAACACTGACGGGAAACACAGAAATAGCAAAACCGAGAATGGAAGCTCAAGTGAGAACAATTCGAACGAGCCGAGGCCTGTGTTCATTATTCCATTTGGTGCATTTGATGATCCTGTAGACAGTGAACCTGAATTAAAACGAAAAGCAGATAGAAGAGAGAAGCCTTTGTCTAAGAGCCTTACAGATCGAAATAACAATTCGCCAGGGTCTTCCAAAGAGGCGAAAAATTCTCTGGAAAAACTGGACGATTCTGTTATAACAGAATACCTCGTAGATAAAGTTACAGACGGCAGTGCTTATAATCAAGAAAACGATCAAAATTCAGTCAAGTATTCAGTAGCATCCTCTGGTGTTGTCAAGGATGAAAAGGCGTCATGTAGCCCTCGATCAGCCAAACAAACTGTACCCGACTTTCATCTAAAGAGAGAAATAAGCAACCTTTCTCTGAGTAATTATCTGAAGGCTGTACCCACACCAAGTTCACAGGAACAGGATAGTCTGACATCTCCCAGGTCAAATCTGATGCCAAAGATTAGCTACACCAAACGATCGCGAGCCTTGCCAACATTTTACATGGTGAACAATTCCTTGCATCAAGTAAATCACACTGGATTCAATTCACCGCGGGCGAATACCTCTCAGGTATATGGTGGATATTTTCCGACAACAGGCCGAAATGAATCGAAAGTGTTTTACGCAGAGATCAGCACCAGTTCAGAGAAGAACTCATCGCCAAGTGGTGATGATAAAATGCAAGGATTCTTGAGAAAAACGAGAAGCACAAGCCCCAAGAAAGTTCTTTCAAACTCTCACATTCCGTTTTTGAAGACCAATTACCTATCCAGAAAGTCACTCTCACGAAAAAGTGTCGAACGATCGCCAAGAGCTCAAAACTCACTAAAATCTGACCAGAGTTTATTGCATGTACCTGTTACAGGACACCAATTTTCGAGGTTGAGTGGAGTCAGTGATAGATAACTATTTTGCCCTCTGGTGCGGTGAAAATGAGACGGGGTCAAACGTTTGCGCATGTGTGAGCGTTGAAACGGCTTAGAGTCTCCAAAAATGGTCTTCCTACATCGTGCTCACAGGCTGTCAAAAACCAGGTCTCACTAGAATTTGAAATAGCTTAAGTTTTTTCTCCAAAAATTTTATTTCCCTATAAAGATTTCTTAACAGTGAATGGTTTGGAGACTTCTGGGAAATTTTAGCTTTCTTGAATTTTGTGGGGCACCGGTTGGTTTTATGGAGGTCTTCGTATAGAATTTGCGCGGGAAATTGGTGCGCTCCTGGCACTGATTTTTTGCGCATGCCCACCGTTTGACCGCTGCCTCGACAGTAGACCTAGACAGGCTGTAATCAGGCAATCAGTGGCAATATGCAGGTTTGGAAAGAGTTTTCAAGGCTGTGTTTACGCTTGCAAGTTTTCATCGGCAAGTGCTGTTGTCGCACTCCTCTGGTTTTCAACAAAAACTGAGATTTGCCAAGAGAAAAAGTTAGAAATTTGTTAGTGACGTGAACGACATGAAGATGACGTGACATGACTTGAAGATAACGTGACGTGATAAAGACGTGAAGTGAAGACGACACTGAAAAATCTGCAGTAGTTTTAAGTGGAATTCTAATCTAACAAATGTTCTTGAACCAGTGTCTTATCGAGACCGTTGAATAGACCATGTATTAGCGTGACTTTTTAGATCTTTTATATCCATTACTTCCTGTTAGATCAGAATTTAAAGACTAAATAATATAAATAATAGCTCAATATGATCGATGAAACCCCAAAGGGGCTTATGAATTGGTATAGTGTTAATATATGTGTTCCCATACTTTTGATACGAGCATAAACGGTGTACCAAGAATTGTAAAAGAGTGGTACGATGATGAATATCGTGACTTACCTACCCATTTAATATCTAGGGGCGCTTTAATTATACGAAAAATGTGTTTGTTGTTAATTGTGGTTGTATTGCTGCGTGAATGTTCAAATATCATGATCAACAACATTTGGCAGTATTTCGCCTTCTTTTCGGTTAGTCTCGAAAGACACCGAAGACCAACAGTGTAGCAGTCGAAGCATCGCCATTTCCAATCGATATTGCCTGTAGGCTGCGAAACAAACGACCCATTACCCATCTATTTTATTATTCTTCAACATTCTTGTGAGCGTGTCTGCGCCTTTACCCTTACGGTAACTAAATTTAAGTGCTTAAACATTTACGATGAATGCCGTAAAAAATTCGGGCACTTGTGATTCGTTCCACGTCATGAACAGTTTTTAATAATGCAGAACTTAAATGTTTCCCTTGTATTTTCAATTTAGTGGCTGCTCTAATAACATTTTGAAATAGAGAAAGAAAGAAATGCGTAGCTGGCATGCCCATCATCATCCGCTTGGCGAGCTGCCAATCTTTTCTTAATATCCTCTATATTCGCATGTCTTAACAAAATTCCCGGCCATAGACTACACTTAGCACGTTGAAAAGTAGACTTTATTGAAATAGGCTTACTTAAATATCCGTTTGGACATAGCAATACTTATTGCGAGGTTGCAAAGGAGCATAACTAATTCATGCATAACATCTGCTTTTCTTTTATCACAATTTAGAGACGCATACAATAATTGAAGACAAGCGCGTGTGTTCTGTCAAAGTTCGTAATAAGACTATCGCACTTAGTAGTAAAACTTGCTATCGCATTTTTCAGTACCTTGCAGCAACACTTATCACACTATGTAGAGTGCAACATGTGTTGTCACAAAATGCCATAGCGTACTTTAACAAAATGTGCGATGATCTGTCATAGCAAAAGAGAGACAGCTTTCTTATTACAAAGTGAGACAGTCAGGTATTTCATAGTGCGACGATCATTCCAAAATGCGAGAGAACACACGTTTTCCTAAATACATCCCTGTTCTCAAAGTAAAACGGACCGATATTTTGGAGACTTTACTAACAAAACATATATTCATCTCAGTTTCTAAGATCCAAATTCATGCAAATTTGTGACGTAAAATTGTGTTTATATTTCTTTTTAAAAAAACTTCTTGTAGTGGATAAAAAGTTAAAGAAAAGCGTGGACTGTTAGATTCATCCTTGCTTCGAAATATACCTGACCGTTTTTACTTATCGTATGTGTTGCGCAAGCAGTTTGAAAGAAGCCAATGTCTTTCAACTTTCTAGCATAAACATCTGGCTTTCTCTTGAACAAATTTAATATAACTTAAAGATGACAGACAACCTGCTGCTTTCTTAATTTCCAACTTGTTCGCAAAATAAAATTAATTTATCTATTTGAACGTCTACCGATGAAGACGAAAAATCCATTTTCGTCCCATTAGCGTATATATATGTTCTAACCTAACACCATGCGGGGGTAAAAGAGGAGCAACGTCTTATTGACAAAGGCAAGCTTAATCTTTTATTGTCACTGCGCAGTAAGAACATGAAGAAGTGTTTACAAAAAAAAAAAAATACAGCGGAATTCTTTGTCCATTAACAGGTGAATATATAATTCGTAAAGAAAACTACCCGCCTCAATCACAAGAGAACCCGGAAAATTAAAGCTAGCTATTACATGAAGGCCTTAAATTAACCTGAGACAGTAAACTTCTATTCATTTGCAACCAGAAAGTGTTTGTACATAACCAGCCGATCCACAGCAGCAATATCAATGGCAAACATCAGCTCAGCTGGAGACGTAGCACATCCACCGCTTGTAGGCATAGTGGTATTTTTGGCTGCCCTAAACGTCTTTCTCTCCATCAGTTCAACTCTGGCCAATACTCTTATCCTAGTTGCCCTTCATAAAGTGTCGTCTATTTATCCACCAACGAAACTCTTCTTTCGATCTCTGGCGATCATTGATCTTTGTGTTGGCCTAACTTCACAACCGCTCTTTTGTGTAACCCTTACGGGTAGAATAACAAATGTACGAAATAATCTACTCTACTACAGCGATCGATTAAATACTACTACAAGTTATGTTCTGTTGATGGTCTCTGTCTTGACATCAACTGCAATAAGTGTGGACAGACTTCTCGCGCTGTTGTTGAGGCTGAGGTACAGACAGACTGTGACATTGAAGCGCGTCCGAAAGATTGTAATTGGCATTTGGTTTATTTCTTGTGTATTAGGCGTATGGCGACACAGCTCATGGGCCGAAGAAGTTTCACGGGTCACATTCATTGTTTTTCTTGTACTGTGTTTGATAATCTCTTTTCTCTCGTACATCAAGATTTATCTTCTCCTGCGCCATTATCAAGAGCAGGTGCAAAACCACTTTCAACAACCAAACAGACCGACAATTCCATTAAATATGGCAAGATATAAAAGGACGGTTTATGGCATAGCTTGGGTACAGTTGTGCTTCTGTGTTGTGCTTATGTTATTTTCATATGGCAAAATACCTGAAAGTGCATCAGGGATGGCATTTCTTCGCTTCACAATTACAATTGTTTACCTAAACTCATCTCTGAACCCGATCCTTTACTGCTGGAGGATTGTAGAGGTGAAGGAAGCTGCAAAAGATACGATCAGATCATTAAACTGTTTTAAGTCCAACTAGCTAGGTGTTCTCTTTTTAGTATTGACCTGTAATTGGAAAACGGAGAAACTGTGCTAAATAATGACCTTGGACGAATCGGAAACGAAAGCCGGAATGTGCTCAACAGTTCGAGTCATAAATTTAAAGGTGTGATTCTCCAACTGTAAATGTTACGCGGTCCCCAATTTGGATAAACGGTGCCCACCGGCCGACTTGACAGTATCTCTTCTCAGTGCTTCTTCTCATCCATTTCATCGTTTCATGAAGTGATTCACTAGCGCTTTTCCCGCGAACCAGATGGTCATAGAATTGCTTCATGAATTGCAATATTGCTTTGGCGTCGACGGACCACACAGAAGTCCACACAGATCGTGCGCCATATCCCAAAAAGGTTCGAGTGATTCCGAAAACTCGTTTGGCTTTAATTTTCCCAAAGTACCACCAGCTTATCACCCAGCTCGGGTGATACTGTAAGGAGAAAATAATTTCTGCTCTTTCTTAGGGATTAGAGGGTTAACCCTTCAAGTCTTTTTAACTCCTTCAATCTGTAAATTGAAGTACAAATTCTCCCCACTGTAGTCTTCAATATTTTGGTTTTCTTTTTGGGTAATTGTTATAATTTGTATTATAGATACTGGCTCAAATTCTTTGTGAATGAGTTGCAAAATGACCCATTCTAGAAACAACTGTAGGTATATAAAGGTACAAACAAATGGTACATTTTCAATAAAGCTTGGTAGAGGGTATAATTTTGTAATTGTTAAGGGAGTTATAAAGCTTGACATAGCTTAGATCTAAATCAAGATCGTCAGAGTGAGATGTGGACAGTTTTTATTCTGACTTAAAACATATCTTCCTTGACCTTTTGTACTCAGTTCCAATTGATTGGCACATGTGGTGACTGGTAGTCACCACTATCCATGTTCCACAGATCATTAATTGTAGTTGAGTAAAATGTCTTCTCCTCTCTTTTTTGCTAGGAAGAAAGAGGCAGCTGGAGACAAAACTGTCCAACGTTTAGTGACAGCCAGTGACTGTGATGATCTCTCTCTTGTGTCGTACAATAGTGTTAGGGACTGTAACCCATCGGCTGCTCCAAAGACAGCCCCCACGTCAGTGCATCATCACCTAAGACTGCTGTCTAAGTCCACTAGTGATGGATTGAAGGTATGTCCTAACAGACCAACTTCAAGTAGATTTATGCCGCAGGCTATTTTGTATAGAGCCAACTATTAAAATCTGAGTGGTTGGACGGTTTTTTCTGTTATTGTTATTATTTTTGTTTATCATTATTATTATTGATATTGATATTATCATTATTATTTATATTGATTGTTATTATTTTTGTTTATCATTATTATTTATATTGATTTTATTATTATTGTTATTATTATTATTATTATTATTCTTGTTATTATTATTATTTTGTAAATATTGACTTTTAGACTATTTATCACTCACAAGTGTTTGAAAGATTAAATTCTAAATAGTTGCTGTTTATTTTGATAATTTTTCTAGTGAACTCCTATTTTGCTTCAGCTATGCAAGTTCTTCAGAGTTAATATACATTTTTGTACACAAGGTACAACTTGTTTTCGTTCCATATCCATCGGTAAATATTCTGACTGAGTTGTGAATAAAGCATTATTATTATGATTACCATTATTATCATTATTATTATTACTACTTTAGCAGTATAGAACTTCTCTTCCAGGATGTCTACCTCCACTAATGGTCACAATTTCTAGTGTTGAGGGTGTCCCAAGTGGTCTTACTGTTTTCATTGTAATACGCCAAAAGATGTCGAAGCCTTGTTCAGATCGTGTGTATAGAGATACATTCGAGTTGTTAATGTAGTTGTGGGTTTCTCTCCACAGCTTTGGCAAGGTTACGGAGGAAACATTTATTTTAATGCCGTCCGTTGTCAATCAATGCGGATCAACAGTGCCAAGTATGGAAAACTGAAAAAAGACTTTACAAAAAGATGGAAATCTAAATCTTGCACCCCATTGAACAGAAAAGATGGTTATCAGACACAATTATTGAGTTCAGCCAAATCAGATATGGACATAGCGATACCCTCCAGCAGCAATTTAGGCAGTCTACGTATGAGGTCTTGTAAGGAGAAGAAATGCAAGACAGCCACGTGTAGACACAGCGAAATTCCTAAACCTCTAACCGGGAAGATATGTAAGGGGTTCAGTGAAAAACTTTTAACTGAAACGTTTAAGCGGCTACAGGAAGATAGTGGTTATGGACTGAAAGGGGAATCTTTATCCGTATCTGGGGGACAAGTTGGCGATGCACTGATCGATCCTATAGATAAAAGGAGGCAATTTAATACTCAGTTGAAAGGTAGAGACATTGCAGTGAGTTTGGAGAGAGGCTTCCCTACCTTACTCTCAGATAGTTCATTTTTCTCACACGGTGACCACAGAAGTTCAACTGTGGTCACTGCCAACGCAGACCCATTTGTGAAGCTTCCTGTTCTTGGGAACACTGACGGGAAACACAGAAATAGCAAAACCGAGAATGGAAGCTCAAGTGAGAATAATTGGAACGAGCCGAGGCCTGTGTTCATTATTCCATTTGGTGCATTTGATGATCCTGTAGACAGTGAACCTGAATTAAAACGAAAAGCAGATAGAAGAGAGAAGCCTTTGTCTAAGAGCCTTACAGATCGAAATAACAATTCGCCAGGGTCTTTAAAAGAGGCGAAAAATTCTCTGGAAAAACTGGACAATTCTGTTATAACAGAATGCCCCGTAGATAAAGTTGCAGACGGCAGTGCTTATAGTCAAGAAAACGATCAAAATTCAGTCAAGTATTCAGTAACATCCTCTGGTGTTGTCAAGGATGAAAAGGCGTCATGTAGCCCTCGATTAGCCAAACAAACTGTACCCGACTTTCATCTAAAGAGAGAAATAAGCAACCTTTCTCTGAGTAATTATCTGAAGGCTGTACCCACACGAAGTTCACAGGAACGGGATAGTCTGACATCTCCCAGGTCAAATCTGATGCCAAAGATTAGCTACACCAAACGATCGCGAGCCTTGCCAACATTTTACATGGTGAACAATTCCTTGCATCAAGTAAATCACACTGGATTCAATTCATCGCGGGCGAATACCTCCCAGGTATATGGTGGATATTTTCCGACAACAGGCCGAAATGAATCGAAAGTGTTTTACGCAGAGATCAGCACCAGTTCAGAGAAGAACTCCTCGCCAAGTGGTGATGATAAAATGCAAGGATTCTTGAGAAAAACGAGAAGCACAAGCCCCAAGAAAGTTCTTTCAAACTCTCACATTCCGTTTTTGAAGACCAGTTACCTATCCAGAAAGTCACTCTCACGAAAAAGTGTCGAACGATCGCCAAGAGCTCAAAACTCACTAAAATCTGACCAGAGTTTATTGCACGTACCTGTTACAGGACACCAATTTTCGAGGTTGAGTGGAGTCAGTGATAGATAATTATTTTGCCCTCTGGTGGGGTGAAAATGAGACGGGGTCAAACGTTTGCGCATGTGTGAGCGTTGAAACGGCTTAGAGTCTCCAAAAATGGTCTTCCTACATCGTGCTCTCAGGCTGTCAAAAACCAGGTCTCACTAGAATTTGAAATAGCTTAAGTTTTTTCTTCAAAAATTTTATTTCCCTATAAAGATTTCTTAACAGTGAATGGTTTGGAGACTTCTGCGAAATTTTAGCTTTCGTGAATTTTGTGGGGCACCGGTTGGTTTTATGGAGGTCTTCATATAGAATTTGCGCGGGAAATTGGTGCGCTCCTGGCACTGATTTTTTGCGCATGCCCACCGTTTGACCGCTGCATCGACAGTAGAGCTAGACAGGCTGTAATCAGGCAATCAGTGGCAATATGCAGGTTTGGAAAGAGTTTTCAAGGCTGTGTTTACGCTTGCAAGTTTTCCTCGGCAAGTGCTGTTATCGGACTCCTCAGGTTTTCAACAAAAACTGAGATTTGCCAAGAGAAAAAGTTAGAAATTTGTTAGTGACGTGAACGACATGAAGATGACGTGACATGACTTGAAGATAACGTGACATGACTTGAAGATAACATGAAGTGATAAAGACGTGAAGTGAAGACGACACTGAAAAATCTGCAGTAGTTTTTAGTGGAATTCTACTCTAACAAATGTTCCTGAACCAGTGTCTAATCGAGACCGTTGAATAGACCATGTATTAGCGTGACTGTTTAGATCTTTTATATCCAGTACTTCTTTTAAGATCAGAATTTAAAGAGTAAATAATATAAATAATAGCTTAATATGATCGATGAAACCCCATAGGGGCTTATGAATTGATATAGTGTTAATATATGTGTTCCCATACTTTTGATACGAGCATGAACGGTGTACCAAGAATTGTGAAAGAGTGGTACGACGATGAATATCCTGACTTACCTACCCATTTAATATCTAGGGGCGCTTTAATTATACGAAAGATGTGTTTGTTGTTAATTGTGGTTGTATTGCTCTGTGAATGTTCAAATATCATGATCAACAACAGGTGGCAGTATTTCGCCTTCTTTTCGGTTAGTCTCGAAAGACACCGAAGACCAACAGTGTAGCAGTCGAAGCGTCGCCATTTCCAATCGATATTGCCTGTAGGTTGCGAAACAAACGACCCATTACCCATCTATTTTATTATTCTTCAACATTCTTGTGAGCGTGTCTGCGCCTTTACCCTTACGGTAACTAAATTTAGGTGCATAAACATTTACAATGGGTGCCGTAAAATTCAGGCACTTGTGATTCGTTTCACGTCATGAACAATTTTTAATAATGCAGAACTTAAATGTTTCCCCTATATTTTCAATTTAGTGGCTGCTCTGATAACATTTTGAAATGGAGAAAGAAAGAAATGCGTAGCTGGCATGCCCATCATCATCCGCTTGGCGAGCTACCAATCTTTTCTTAATATTCTCTTTATTCGCATGTCTCAACAAAATTCCCGGCCATAGACTACACTTAGCACGTTGAAAAGTAGCCTTCTTAAGAAATAGGCTTACTTTAATGTCCGTTTAGACATATCAACATTTATTGCGAGTTTGTAAAGATGCATAATTCATGCATAATATCTGCTTTTCTTTTATCACAATTTAGAGACGCATACAATAATTGAAGAAAAGCGCGTTTGTTCCGTCGAACTTCGTAATAAGACCATCGCACTTAGTGGTAAAAACTTGCTATCGAATTTTTTAGTACCTTGCAGCAACACTTACCGCACTTTGTAGAGTTGTGTTGTTACAAAATGCCATAGCGTACTTTAACAAAATGTGCGATGATCTGTCATAACAAAGAGAGACAGATTTTTTATTACAAAGTGCGACGGGTATTTTGTAGAGCGATGATAATTCTAAAATGCGAGAGAACACACGTGTTCTTAAAAACATCCCTGTTCTCAAAGTAAAACGGACCGATAATTTGGAGATTTGACTAACAAAACATATATTCGACTCAGTTTCTAGGACGTAAATTCATGCAAATTTGTGGCATAAGACTGTGTTTATATTTCTTTTTAAAAAAAATTATTGCAGTGGATAAAAAGTTAAAGAAAAGCGCGAACTGTTAGATTCATCCTTGTTCCAAAATATGCCTGACTGTTTTTACTTATCGCATGTGTTGCCCCAGCAGTTTGGAAGAAGTCAATGTCTTTCAACTTTCTAGCATAAACATCTGCCTTTCTCTTTCACAAATTTGAAATAACTTAAAGATGACAGACAACCTGCTGCTTTCTTAATTTCCTTCTTCGCAAAATAAAATTAACGTATCTGTTTGAACGTCTACCGATGAAGACGAAAAATCCATTTTCGTCCCATTAGCGTATATTATTGTTCTAACCTTACACTGAAGCACGAAACCATTCGTTGCGTGTCATTTGCGGGGGTAAAAGAGAAGCAAGGTCTAATTGACTATGGCAAGCTTCATCTTTTATTGGCTCATTAAATGTCACGGCGCAGTAAGAACGTAGAGAAGTGTTTACAAAAAGAATACTGGGGAATTCTTTGTCCATTGACAGGTGAATACATAATTCGTAAAGAAAACTACCCGCCTCAATCACAAGAGAACCCGGAAATTAAAGCTATCTATTACATGAAGGCCTTAAATTAACCTGAGACAGTAAACTTCTATTCATTTGCCACCAGAAAGTTTACACAAGCAACCGATCCGCAGCAGCAAGATCAATGGCAAACATCAGCTCAGCTGGAGACGTAGCACAGCCACCGCTTGTAGGCATAATGGTATTTTTGGCTGCCCTAAACGTCTTTCTCTCCATCAGTTCAACGCTGGCCAATACTCTTATCCTAGTTGCCCTTCATAAAGTGTCGTCTATTTATCCACCAACGAAACTCTTCTTTCGATCCCTGGCGATCAGTGATCTTTGTGTTGGCCTAACTTCGCAACCGCTCTTTTGTGTAAGCCTTACGGGTAGAATAACAAACGTACGAAATAATCTACTCTACTACAGCGATCGATTAAATACTACTACAAGTTATGTTCTGCTGATGGTCTCTGTCTTGACATCAACTGCAATAAGTGTGGACAGACTTCTCGCGCTGTTGTTGAGGCTGAGGTACAGACAGACTGTGACATTGAAGCGCGTCCGAAAGATTGTAATTGGCATTTGGTTTATTTGTTGTGTATTAGGCGTATGGCGGCACAATTCATGGGCCGAAGAAGTTTCTCGGGTCACATTCATTGTTTTTCTTGTACTGTGTTTGATAATCTCTTTTCTCTCGTACATCAAGATCTATCTTCTCCTTCGCCAATATCAAGAGCAGGTGCAAAACCACTTTCAACAACCAAACAGACCAACAATTCCATTAAATATGGCAAGATATAAAAGGACGGTCCATGGCATAGCTTGGGTACAGTTGACATTGCTTGTTTGTTATCTCCCCTTCTGTGTTGTGCTCATGTTATTTTCATACGGCAAAATACCTGAAAGTGCATCGGGGATGGCATTTCTTCGTTTCGCAATTACGATTGTTTACCTAAACTCATCTCTGAACCCAATCCTTTACTGCTGGAGGATTGTAGAGGTGAAGGAAGCTGCAAAAGATACGATCAGATCACTAAACTGTTTTAAGTCCAACTAGCTAGGCGTTCTCTTTTTTAGTATTGACCTGTGATTGGAGAACGGAAAAACTGTGCGAAATCATGACCTTGGACGAAACGAAAACGAAACCGGGAAAGAGCTCAACAGTTCGAGTCATTAATTTAAAGGCGTTATTCTTCAACTGTTAATGTTGCGTGGTCCCCAGTTTGGATAAACGGTGCCCACCGGCCTCTCAGTACTTCTTCTCATCCATTTCATCGTGTCATGAAGTGATTCACTGGCGCTTTTCCCGCGAACCAGATGGTCATAGAATTGCTTTATGAATTGCAATGTTGCTTTGGCGTCGACGGACCACAGAGAAACGTGCGCCAGATCCCAAAAAGGTTCGAGTGATTCCGAAAACTCGTTTGGCTTTAATTTTCCCAAAGTACCACCAGCTTGGCTCGCAACTGGACCTTGACACATCGCCCGTAGTCAGTATGAAATCATCCTTTTGAGAGATTTTATTCGCGTAACGGATAGGTGCTAAGCATATCTCACCTCTGACTGCATCACCATGCGCGGCAAAGCGGATTAAACTTATTTTGTTCAACTCCTTCAGCACAGCGTTCTTGGTATCATGTTCGCCAGGCAAGATTCTCAAGGGCTCAAGTTCTAGTAGCTTGTCAGCCATCTCTGCTTCCATTCTCGCACATGGTAGTTCAGATATATATTTTTCTATTTATATATATATTTTTTTTTCGTTCAGCAAAACTATTCCAACATCGATATCTCCCACAATCAGAGCATCCTTCCCACAGTGATAATCAATTGGGCTGTCGTGGATTAACTTGAGGGTAGTCAAGGATGGAATCAGCCTGATTGCATACTGATCTCCCTGACAGATAATTTCCATTCTCGTCCATCATAGCTTGAAACGGTACCCTGTGCAACTCCCCCTCGAGAAATACGATGATTTTGGAACCCTCAAGAAGATTATCAAAAGGCCCAATTATATTGTCGTAGCTCAGCCTTAAGGCTCTCTTGCATGAACTATCGAGCGGAGCCTCATCATCATCATCATCATCCTCTTCTTCCACCTCGAAAGGGCGTGCAGGATTCTCCCATGATTGTGATTGAGAACACTTTTGGCCCGCCTCAAAGATAAAAAGCGATCTGTCTTCATGGGAACTACTTCATCCAAATTTGTACTGCGCATATGTTGCATAATATTAGCCAAAGACTCAAACATGTGATCAATATTCTCAGCTTTAAGACGTTGAGGAACTGCATCCATGACTTCTCTTGACACCTTCTCAAATTTAATGCTCTGGTTTGGTTTCACGACCCGAGGGAAAGGCCCGTTCACATGGTAGGCAATGTACAGAACGACGCGGTCTTCTTTCAATAACAGTGTTTCAATGTCGCTGACTTTCAGTTCTTTGCCCGGGTAAGCTCCTTGAATGAAGTATTGTTTTGACATTAAATCTGCAAGTTCTCTAGCACGCTAAGCTCGTCAGTATACATTGCTTTGTTCACATCCTCTTCTGACTGGCACATAAAGCAAACGAGCAACTTGAAAGGGAAAATGTTATTGTTGGCAAAAGAGACTCTGAAGTGATCCTCTTTGATACTTGATACTGTTTGATTTCGTTGTAAGTTTTCGATTAATAAATTCAATGAATTAGGCATATGGAACACTTACCAATCGAAAGGTGTGATTCTAACACTGCATTGTCATTACAATAAAGAACCCTATTAAAAAACTTCAACGGGTCTTGAACAGGACAGTAAGGACGATGAGTCTCACTCCCGTAAGTGACCAAGACAGAATTTCTTCTCACTATATCTGCACAACATCATGCAGACAAGTGATGAGAATAAAGAAAAATACCAATTATGGAATTACTAATTGATCCGATACCAAATTTTCCAAACTAACATAGTGAGAATCATTTGGCAGACACTAAGGAGAATTATTAATGAGATCTTGAGAGTTGAAGGGTTAAACAGGCTTTCATCTAACAGAACTTTACACTGCCTTGTCGGAGTAAGTGACTATTTATCCATGCAGGAAACAACTGAATAATTAACTAGCATACTGGTAATTCCAACCACATACTATTCTACAACCACTGTTCAGCATGTAACTCCAGCAATATCTAAAAGTTACAGTGAATTTTTATGTCCATTTTCCATAGATATCAAATGATTTGCCTCAGCCCGAATTAGCATGGATGGGACTATACTTTACAATTACCCAGCTGTCTGTGATGCATGTACAGATTGGTGATGGTCTGTCTGTTGGGGATCAGGAGAGTGACTGTGATGATGACGACAGGCGGAAATTGATCAGTCATTATGCCAATGACAAGTACCTCAGTAAATGGGAAGTGGCTAAAGAGGAAGAAGAGATTGAAGAGGAAACAGAAAAGTTGGATGAGAAAGAGCCAAGTATAGAAAACTCAGAGTAAGTTTTCGTGTTTGTTAATTGTGGCATTTTTAATCCTTTACACCCGAACATCAGTGTTTTTATTCTCCATATTGTTGTTTATACATTTCCTAAGCAGCTGACAAGGAGAATTTGTTTAACAATCAAGAGGTTCTGTAGTTGGTGATTATTTCCTTTATTTTCATAACCTTAATGAGTGATACAGGGGTGATACTGTGAGGAGAAAATAATTTTTTTTAGGGATTAGAGGGTTAACCCTTCAAGTCTTTTTAACTCCTTCAATCTGTAAATTGAAGTACAAATTCTCCCCACTGTAGTCTTCAATATTTTGGTTTTCTTTTTGGGTAATTGTTATAATTTGTATAATAGATACCGGCTCAAATTCTTTGTGTATGAGTTGCAAAATGACCCATTCTAGAAACAACTGTAGGTATATAAAGGTACAAACAAATGGTACATTTTCAATAAAGCTTGCTAGAGGGTATAATTTTGTAATTGTTAAGGGAGTTATAAAGCTTGGCATAGCTTAGATCTAAATCAAGATCGTCAGAGTGAGATGTGGATAGTTTTTATTCTGGCTTAAAACAGAGTATCCTTGACCTTTCAACTCAGTTCCAATTGATTGGCACATGTGGTGACTGGTAGTCACCACTATCCGTGTTCCACAGATCATCAATTGTAGTTGAGTAAATTGTCATCTCTTCCCTTTTTTACTAGGAAGAAAGAGGCAGCCGGAGACAAAACTGTCCAACGTTTAGTGACAGCCAGTGACTGTGATGATCTCTCTCGTACAACAGTGTTAGGGACTGTAACCCATCGGCTGCTCCAAAGACAGCCCCCACGTCAGTGCATCATCACCTAGGACTGCTGTCTGAGTCCACTGGCGATGGATTGAAGGTATGTCCTAACAAACCAACTTCAAGTAGATTTATGCTACAGGCTATTTTGTATGGAGCCAACTAAGAACATCTATTAAAATCTGAGTGGTTTGACGGTTTTTACTGTTATTGTTATTATTTTTTATTTTTTTTAATCGTTATTATTATTATTATTGATATTGATATTATCATTATTATTTATATTGATTTTATTATTATTTTTATTATTATTGTCGTTATCATTATTATTTTGTAAATATTGACTTTTAGACTATTTATCGCTCACAAGTATTTGAAAGATTAAATTCTAAATAATTGCTGTTTATTTTGATAATTTTACCTGTGAACTCCTATTTTGCTTCAGCTATGGAAGTTCTTCAAAGTTAAAATACATTTTTGTACACAAGACACAACTTATTTTTGTTCCATATCCATCGGTAAATATTTTGACTGAGTTGTGAATAAAGCATTATTATTTTTATTATTATTATTATCATTATTATTATTATCATTATTATTATTAATACTTTAGTAGTATGGAACTTCTCTTTCATGATGTCCACCTCCACTAAGGGTACACAATTTCTAGTGTTGAGGGTGTCCCAAGTGGTCTTAGTTTTCATTGTAATACGCCAAAAGATGTCGAAGCCTTGTTCAGACTGTGTGTATGGAGATACATTCGAGTTGTTCATGTGGTTGTAGGTTTCTCTACACAGCTTTGGCAAGGTTACGGAGGAAACATTTATTTTAATGCCGTCCGTTGTCAATCAATGCGGATCAACAGTACCAAGTATGGAAAACTGAAAAAGGACTTTACAAAAAGATGGAAATCTAAATCTTGCACCCCATTGAACAGAAAAGATGGTTATCAGACACAACTAGTGAGTTCAGCCAAATCAGATATGGACATAGCGATACCCTCCAGCAGCAATCTGGGAAGTCTACGTATGAGATCTTGTAAGGAGAAGAAATGCAAAACAGCCACGTGAAGACACGGTGAAATTCCTAAACCTCTAACTGGGAAGATATGTAAGGGGTTCAGTGAAAAACTTTTAACTGAAACGTTTAAGCGGCTACAGGAAGATGGTGGTTATGGACTGAAAGGGGAATCTTTGTCTGTATCTGGGGGACAAGTTGGCAATGCACTGATCGATCCTATAGATAAAGTGAGGCAATTTAATACTCAGTTGAAAGGTAGAGACATTGCAGTGAGTTTGGAGAGAGGCTTCCTTACCTTACTCTCAGATAGTTCATTTTTCCGTGACCACAGAAGTTCAACTGTGGTCACTGCCAACGCAGACCCATTTGTAAAGCTTCCTGTTCTTGGGAACACTGACAAAAAACACAGAAATAGAAAAACCAAGAATGGAAGTTCAACTGAGAACAATTCGAACGAGCCAAGGCCTGTGTTCATTATTCCATTTGGTGCATTTGATGATCCTGTAGAAAGTGAACTTGAATTAAAACGAAAAGCAGATAGAAGAGAGAAGCCTTTGTCTAAGAGCCTTACAGATCGAAATAACAATTCGCCAGGGTCTTAAAAAGAGGCGGAAAATTCTTCGGAAAAACTGGACGATTCTGTCATAACAGAATGCCTCGTAGATAAAGTTGCGGACGGCAGTGCTCATAGTAAAAAAAACGATCAAAATTCAGTCAAGTATTCAGTAACATCCTCTGGTGTTGTCAAGGATGAAAAGGCGTCATGTAGCCCTCGATCACCTAAACAAACTGTACCCGACTTTCATCTAAAGAGAGAAAAAAGCAACCTTTCTCTGAGTAATTATCTGAAGGCTGTACCCACACGAGGTTCACAGGGACGGGATAGTCTGACATCTCCCAGGTCAAATCTGATGCCAAGGATTAGCTACACCAAATGATCGCGAGCCTTGCCGACATTTTACATAGTAAACAATTCCTTGCATCAAGTAAATCACGCTGGATTCAATTCACCGCGAACGAATACCTCCCAGGTGTATGGTGGATATTTTCCGACGACAGCGATATTTTCCGAAATGAATCGAAAGTGTTTTACCCAGACATCAGCACCAGTTTAGAGAAGAACTCCTCGCCAAGTGGTGATGATAAAATGCAAGGATTCTTGAGAAGAACGAGAAGCACAAGCCCCAAGAAAGTCCTTTCAAACTCTCAGATTCGGTTTTTGAAGGCCAGTTACCTATCCAGAAAGTCACTCTCACGAAAAAGTGTCGAACGATCGCCAAGAGCTCAAAACTCTCTGAAATCTGACCAGAGTTTATTGCACGTACCTGTTACAGGACACCAATTTTCGAGGTTGAGTAGAGTCAGTGATAGATAATTATTTTGCCCTCTGGTGCTGGGGTGAAAATGAGACAGGGTCAAACGTTTGCGCATGTGTGAGCATTGAAACGGCCTAGAGCCTCCTAAAATGGTCTTCCTACATCGTGCTCAGAGGCCGTCAAAAACTTGGTCTCACTGAAATTTGAAATAGCTGAAGTTTTCTCCAAAAACTTTTTCTCCCTTTAAAGATTTCTAAACAGTGAATGGTTTGGAGACTACGAAATTTTAGCTTTCCGTGAATTTTGTGGGGCACCGGTTGGTTTTATGGAGGTCTTCGTGTAGAATTTGCGCGGGAATTGGTGCGCCCCTGGCACTGCTTTTTTGCGCATGCCCATCGTTTGACCGCTGCCTAGACAGTAGACCTAGACAGTTTTTTTACTCGGCAAGTGCTGTTATCGGACTCCTCAGGTTTTCAACAAAGATTGAGATTTGCCAAGAGAAAAAGTTAGAAATTTGTTAGTGACGTGGATGACATGAAGATGACGTGACATGACTTGAAGATAACGTGACGTGATAAAGACGTGACGTGAAGATGACACTGAAAAATCTGCAGTAGTTTTTAGGAGAATTCTACTCTAACAAATGTTCCTGAACCAGTGTCTTATCGAGACCGTTGGATAGACCATGTATTAGCGTGGCTTTTTAGATCTTTTATATCCATTACTTCCTGTTAGATCAGAATTTAAAGGGTAAATAAGATAAATAATAGCTTAATATAATTGATGAAACCCCATAGGGGCTTATGAATTGATATAGTGTTAATATATGTGTTCCCAGACTTTTGATACGAGCATGAACGGTGTATCAAGAATTGTGAAAGAGTGGTACGATGATGAATATCGTGACTTACCTACCCATTTAATATCTAGGGGTGCTTTAATTATACGAAAGATGTGTTTGTTGTTAATTGTGGTTGTATTGCTGTGTGAACGTTCAAATATCATGATCAATAGCAGGTGGCGGTATTTCGCCTGCTTTTCGGCTAGTTTCGAAAGACACCGAAGGCCAGTAGTGTAGCAGTCAAAAAGTCGCCAATTACAATCTATATTACCTGTAGGTTACGAAACGAACGACTAATTGCCCATCTATTTCATTATTCTTCAACATTCTTGAAAGGGTGTCTGCGCCTTTAACCTTACAGTAACTAAGTTTAAGTGCTTAAACATTTACAACGAGTGCCATAAAAAATTCAGGCAGTTGTGATTCGTTCCACGCCATGAACAATTTTTAATAATACAGAACTCAAATGTTTCCCTTGCATTACCAATTCATTGGCTGCTCTGATAATATTTTTAAATGGAAAAAGAAAGAAATGTGTAGCTGGACTGATCGTCATCATCCGCTTGGCGAGCTATCAATCTTTTCCTAATTTCCTCTATATTGCATTTGTCAGCAATATTTCCCGGACGTAAACCGTACTTAAAAACGTTGAAAAACAGACTTTACTGAAAGAGGCTTATTTTAAAGTCCGTTTTGACTCATCAGCATTTATTGCGAGGTTGTGAAGATGCCCAATTCATGCATAACATCTGTTTTTTTTTTCTGCCTAAAATATTGAAAGACAATCGCGCGTGTTCTGTCGCACTTCGTAATGAGACCATCACACTTTGTAATAAATCTTGCTATTGCATTTTTTAATACTTCGTAACAACACTTACCGCACTTTGCAAAGTGCGACGTGTGTTGTTACGAATGCTTCAGCGTATTTTACTAAAATGTGCGATTATCTGTCGTACCAAAGAGAGACAGCTTTTTTAATTACAAAGCGCGACAGTACCGACCGATATTTTGGACATTTGACTGATAAACATACTTTAAACTCAGTCTCTAAGTTGCAAATTAATGCAAATTTGTGGCATAAAACTGCTTTTTTTTCTTTTTAAGAAAACTTTTTGAAATAGATATGAAAATAAAGAAAAGCACGAACTATTCTTCACCCTTGTTCCAAAATATACTTGACCGTTTTTACTTATCGTATGTGTTACGCTAGCAGTTTGGAAGAAGCCAATGTCATTAGCAAACACATCTAGCTTTCTCTTGAACAAATTTGAAATAACTTAAAGATGACAGACAACCTGCTGCTTTCTTAACTTCCTGTTTGCTCGCAAAATAAAATTAACATATCTATTTGCACGTCTACCGATGAAGACCAAATATCCATTTTCATCCCATTGGCGTATAAATGTTCTAGCCTTAAACTTGAGCACGAAACCATTCGCTGCGTGTCATTTGCGGGGGCATTCGAGGAACAACGTCTAACTGACTAAAGCAAACTTCATCTTTTATTGGCTAATTACATGTCACTACGGGGTAAGAACGTAGACAGGCGTTTATAAAAAAAATACTTCCAATCGGAATTCTTTGTCCATTAACAGGTGAATATACAATTCGTAAAGAAAACCACTCGTCTCGATCACAAGAGAAGCCGGAAAATTAAAGCTATTGATTACATGAAGGCCTGAAATTAAGCTGAGACAGTAACCTTCAATTCATTTACCACCAGAAAGTGTTTGTACACAACCAGCCGATCTACAGCAGCAAGAACAATGGCAAACATCAGTTCAGCTGGAGATGTAGCACAGCCGCCGCTTGTAGGCATAAGGGTATTTTTCGTTGCCTTAAACGTTTTTCTCTCCATCAGTTCAACTCTGGCCAATACTCTTATCCTAGTTGCCCTTCATAAAGTGTCGTCTATTCATCCACCTACGAAACTCCTCTTTCGATCTCTGGCGATCAGTGATCTTTGTGTCGGCCTAACTTCGCAACTGCTCTTTTGTGTAACCCTTACGGGTAGAATAACAAACATAAGAAACAATCTATTCTACTACAGCGGTCGATTAAGTATTATTACAAGTTATGTTCTGTTGATGGTCTCTGCCTTGACATCAACTGCAATAAGTGTGGACAGACTTCTCGCGCTGTTGTTGAGGCTGAGGTACAGACAGACTGTGACATTGAAGCGCGTCCGAAAGATTGTAATTGGCATTTGGTTTATTTGTTGTGTATTAGGCGTATGGCGACACAGTTCATGGGGCAAAGAATTTTCTCGGGTCACATTCGTTGTTTTTCTTGTACTGTGTTTGATAATCTCTCTTCTCTCGTACATCAAGATCTATCTTCTCCTGCGCCATTATCAAGAGCAGGTGCAAAACCACTTTCAACAACCAAACAGACCAACGATGCCATTAAATATGGCAAGATATAAAAGGACGGTTCATGGCATAGCTTGGGTACAGTTGACATTGCTTGTTTGTTATCTCCCCTTCTGTGTTGTGCTCATGTTACTTTCATACGACAAAATACCTGAAAGTGCATCGGGGATGGCAGTTCGTCGTTTCACAATTACGCTTCTTTACCTAAACTCATCTCTGAACCCAATCCTTTACTGCTGGAGGATTATAGAGGTGAAGGAAGCTGCAAAAGATACGATCAGATCATTAAACTGTTTTAAGTCCGACTAGACGTTCTCCTTTTGTCAGTTTTGACCTGTGATTGGAGAACGGAAAAACTGTGCGAAACTGATGACCTTGGACGAAACAAAAACGAAAGCGGGAATGAGCTCAACAGCCCGACTAATTAATTTAAAGGTGTGATTCTCCAATTTTTAATGTTACGTGGTCCCCAATTTGAACAAGTGGTGCCCACCGGCTGACTTGGCAGTATCTCTTCTCAGAACCTCTTCTCATCTATTTCATCGTTTCATGAAGTTATTCACTGCTGCTTTTCCCACAGACTAGATGGCCATAGAATTGCTTCATGAACTCCAATGTAGCTTTGGCGTCCACGACCCACAGAGAAGCCAACGCAGATCGTGCTCCAGATCTCAAAAAGGCTGGCGCTCGAGTGATTCCGAAAACTCGTTCGGCTTTCATTTGCCCAAAGTACCACAAGCAGTAGCTCGCAACTGGACCTATGACACATCGCCCATAGTCAGTATGAAATCATCCTTTTCAGAGATTTTATTCGCCTAACGGATAGGTGCTAAGCATATCTCACCTCTGACTGCATCACCATGCGCGGCTATGTGGATTAAACTTATTTCGTTCATCTCCTTCAGCACAGCGTGCTTAGTGTCATGTTCGCCAAACAAGATTCTCGAGGGCTCAAGTTCTAGTAGCTTGCCAATCATCTCTGCTTCCATTCTCGCACATGGTAGTTCAGATATATATTTTTCTTCCTCGTTCAACAAAACTACTCCAAAATCGATATCTCCCACAATCAGAGCATCCTTCTCCTGTGATAATTAATCCATTGGGCTGTCGTGGATTAACTTGAGGGTAGTCACAGATGGAACCACCCTGCTCTCATACTGATGTCTCTGACAGATAATTTCCATTCTCGTCCTCCATAGCTTGAAACGGTACCCTGTTCAACTCTCTCTCGGGAAATACGATGATTTTGGAACCCTCAAGGAGATTATCAACAGGCGCAATTATTATGTCGTACCATAGCCACAAGGGTTACTGTCATCATCATCATCGTCCTCTTCTTCCACCTCAAAAGGGCGTGCAGGATCCTCCCGTGATTGTGATTGAGAACACTTTTGGCCCGCCTCAAAGGCAAAAAACGATCTGTCTTCATAGGAACTACTTCGTCCAAATTTGTACTGTGTATATGTTGCATTATCTTAGCCAAAGACTCAAACATGTGATCAATATTCTCAGCTTTAAGACGTTGAGAAACTGCGTCCCTGACTTCTCTTGACACCTTCTCAAATTTAATGCTCTGGTTTGGTTTCACGACCCGAAGGAAAGGCCCGTTCACATGGTAGGCAATTTACAGAACGACGCGGTCTTCTTTCAATAACAGTGTTTCAATGTCGCTGACTTTCAGTTCTTCGCCCGGATAAGCTCCTTGAATGAAGTATTGTTTTGACATTAAATCTGCAAGTCCTCTAGCACGCCTAAGCTCGTCAGTATACATAGCTTTGTTCACATTCTCTTATGGCATAGCTTAGATGTAAATCAAGATCATCAGATTGAGATGTGGACAGTTTTTATTCTGGCTTAAAAACATATCATCCTTGACCTTTCAACTCAGTTCCAATTGACTGGCACAGGTAGTGACTGGTAGTCACCACCTTTCCTGTTCCACAGATCATCAATTGTAGTTGAGTAAAATGTCTTCTCTTCCCGTTTTTGCTAGGAAGAAAGAGGCAGCCGGAGACAAAACTGTCTAACGTTTAGTGACAGCCAGTGACTGTGATGATCTCTCTCTTGTGTCGAACAACAGTGTTAGGGAATGTAACCCATCAGCTGCTCCGAAGACAGCCCTCACGTCAGTGAGGACAAGTTGGCGATGCACTGATCGATCCTATAGATAAAGTGAGGCAATTTAATACTCAGTTGAAAGGTAGAGACATAGCAGTGAGTTTGGAGAGAGGCTTCCCTACCTTACTCTCAGATAGTTCATTTTCCTCACACAGTGACCACAGAAGTTCAACTGTGGTCACTGCCAACGCAGACCCATTTATGAAGCTTCCTGTTCTTAGGAACTCCGACGGGAAACACAGAAATAGCAAAACCGAGAATGGAAGCTCAAGTGAGAACAATTCAAACGAGCCAAGGCCTGTGTTCATTATTCCATTTGGTGCATTTGATGATCCTGTAGAAAAGTGAACCTGAATTGAAACGGAAAAAAAAGATGGGAGAGAGAAGCCTTTGTCTAAGAGCCTTACAGATCGAAATAACAATTAGCCAGGGTCCTTAAAAGAGGCGAAAAATTCTCCGGAAAAACTGGACGATTCTGTTATAATTGAATGCCCCGTAGATAAAGTTGCTGACGGCAGTGCTTATGGTCAAGAAAACGATCAAAATTCAGTCAAGTATTCAATAACATCCTCTGGTGTTGTTAAGGATGAAAAGGCATCATGTAGCCCTCGATCACCCAAACAAACCGTACCCGACTTTCATCTAAAGAGAGAAATAAGCAACCTTTCTCTGAGTAATTATCTGAAGGCTGTACCCACACCAAGTTCACAGGAACAGGATAGTCTACCATCTCCCAAGTCAAATCTGATGCCAAAGATTAGCTACACCAAACGATCGCGAGCCTTGCCGACATTTTACATGGTGAACAATTCCATGCATCAAGTAAATCGCGCTGGATTCAATTCGCCGCGGGCGAATACCTCTCAGGTGTATGGTGGATATTTTCCGACAACAGGCCGAAATGAATCGAAAGTGTTTTACGCAGAGATCAGCACCAGTTCGGAGAAGAACTCCTCGCCAAGTGGTGATGATAAATTGCAAGGATTCTTGAGAAGAACGAGAAGCACAAGCCCCAAGAAAGTTCTTTCAAACTCTCACATTCCGTTTTTGAAGACCAGTTACCTATCCAGAAAGTCACTCTCACGAAAAAGTGCCGAAAGATCGCCAAGAGCTCAAAACTCAATGAAATCTGACCGGAGTTTATTGCACGTACCTGTTACAGGACACCAATTTTCGAGGTTGAGTAGAGTCAGTGATAGATAATTATTGCCTTCTGGTGCATGGGGTGAAAATGAGACAGGGTCAAACGTTTGCGCATGTGTGAACGTTGATTAACAAATAGAGGATTAACAAATAGAGGATTAACAAATAGAGGATTCTGTATTATAAAACAAATAGAGAAGCCTTGACTGTGCTCTGTTCTATTGTAAAGCACTTAGGAAGCGGCTAGAGCACGAAAAAAGTGTAGGGGGAAACTACATTCTACTTCTTGAGTGCTCTAGCCGCTTCCTAAGTGCTTTACAATAGAACAGAGCACAGTCAAGGCTTCTCTATTTGTTTTATAATACAGAATCCGTTAAATTCCCCAAGAATTACTTTCAATTTTCAAAACAAATCTTATTTCCAAAGCGAATAACAGTGTCGTCAGCATGCTCTATACTCTCATAAAGCACGCTACAATAAGCCAATCAGAATTCCTGTTAGAATGGTTCAAATAATCTGATTGGCTGTACAAGACTAAAGCTGTCAAAAATGTCAAACCGTCAAAGCTCAAAAACCATCAAAGTTCATATTCTGCAATAGTTTACAAACTAAAATAGCTCGGCATGTCGAATTTAGCACTTTTGCCTGAAGTTTTTTAGTTTCTAATACAGGATCTGAAAGTGAAATGTTCAGTGAAATTCGGCCCAATCGTAGCTCACAAAAATATGCAAGTTATTTCACATGACAAGTAGAAAACAAACTGTTCAAGGCGAGTGTATTATGAATGAACAACAGCCGAATTCACTAAGAAAAAAAGATCGCTCGGAATGACAGCGCCGTAAAACTCGGTTGCAGTGACTGATCTGGCCTTCCACTCAACGCATCGGAAAGGTAATCAGGGCAAGCTCTTATTTTTTCACTCGAAGGGTAGTCGATTTAGTTCCTGAGGCTTGCTCCACTGCGATGACCGAAGATCGCCATGATTAGCTAGCCGCGATAGACCTTAAGTCGCTCTGACACCATCATGATTAGTATGAATTTTAACAGTTATGCCAGGTTATATTTTTCATAATTCCTGTTTTTTTCTATTTGAAATCGAAACTTTATATACTATACAAGTGTTAGCTGTGTTTGATTTTTATTACCGTACGTAAACTCGCAATCTAACTGAGCGTGAAAACCGTTAAAAAAACTCGGACTGTCTATCTTCTTTTATCTTTGAGGATTTTTGTCTCTGCTCACGTTACAATAACGTAAATTACTGAGCCTGGCATTTTTGCAAACCTTTGCTCGCTTGTTCCGAAATTTCACTTTTATTAACGAAAGAAAAGCTAGAAAGAAGTCCCGGAAAAGGTCGGACATAGTACGATTTGGCAGATGGCGTGACAGCTTTAGCTCAGTTCTATGCTCTATACTCTCATAGAGCACGCTCTTTCAACCAATGACAGTACGTGTTATATCCGAGCTTTATTATAAAACGGCTTAGAGTCTCCTAAAATGGTCTTCCTCAATCGTGCTCACAGGCCGTCAAAAACAAGGTCTCACAGGAATTTGAAATAGCTTAAGTTTTTTCTCCAAAAATTTTATTTCCCTTTACAGATTTCTTAACAGTGAATGGTTTGAAGACTTCTGCGAAACTTTAGCTTTTCGTGAATTTTGTGGGGCACTAGTTGGTTTTATGGAGGTCTTCGTGTAGAATTTGCGCGGGAAATTGGTGCGCTCCTGGCACTGATTTTTTGCGCATGCCCACCGTTTGACCACTGCCTCGACAGTAGACCTAGACAGACTGTAATCAGGCATTCAGTGGCAATATGCAGGTTTGGGAAGAGTTTTCAAGGCTGTGTTTACGCCTGCAAGTTTTACTCGGCAAGTGACAAAGACTGAGATTTGCCAAGAGAAAAAGTTAGAAATGTGATAAACGTGATAAAGACGTGACGTGAAGATGACACTGAAAAATCTGTAGTAGTTTTTAGGAGAATTCTACTCTAACAAATGTTCCTGAACCGGTGTCTTATCGAGACCGTTGGATAGACCATGTATTAGCGTGGCTTTTTAGATCTTTTATATCCATTACTTCCGGTTAGATCAGAATTTAAAGGGTAAATAATATAAATAATAGCTTAATATAATTGATGAAACCCCATAGGGGCTTATGAATTGATATAGTGTTAATATATGTGTTCCCATACTTTTGATACGAGCATGAACGGTGTACCAAGAATTGTGTAAGAGTGGTACGATGATGAATATCGTGACTTACCTACCCATTTAATATCTAGGGATGCTTTAATTATACGAAAGATGTGTTTGTTGTTAACTGTGGTTGTATTGCTGTGTGAACGTTCAAATATCACGATCAATAGCAGGTGGCGGTATTTCGCCTTCTTTTCGGCTAGTCTCGAAAGACACCGAAGGCCAGTAGTGTAGCAGTCAAAAAGTCGCCAGTTACAATCAATATTACCTTTAGGTTGCGAAACAACGATTAATTGCCCATTTTTTTATTCTTCAATATCCTTGAGAGCGTGTCTGTGCCTTTACCCTTACGGTAACTATAGAAATGCGTAGCTGGACTGATCGTCATCATCCGCTTGGCGAGCTATCAATCTTTTCCTAATATCCTCTTTATTTGCATTTCTCAACAATATTTCCCGGACGTAAACTGTACTTAACACGTTGAAAAGCAGACTTAACTGAAAGAGGCTTATTTTAAAGTCCGTTTAATTTTGACTCATCAACACTTATTGCGAGGTTGTGAAGAAGCCTAATTGATGCATAACATCTGTTCTTTTTTTATGCATAAAGTAATGAAAGACAAGCGCGCGTGTTCTGTCGCACTTCGTAATAAGACCATCACACTTTGTAATAATTCTTGCTCTTGCATTTTCCAATACTTCGCAACAACACTTACCACACTTTGCAAAGTGCGACGTGTGTTGTTACGAATGCTTCAGCGTATTTTAATAAAATGTGCGATGATCTGTCGTAACAAAGAGATACAGCTGTTCCCAAAGTGCAACTGATGTTTTGGACATTTGACTGATAAACATACTTTAAACTCGGTTTCTAAGATGCAAATTAATGCAAATTTGTGGCATAAAACTGCTGCTTTTTTCTTTTTAAGAAAACTTCTTGAAATAGATAGGAAGTTAAAGTTAAAGAAAAGCACGAACTGTTCTTCATCCTTGCTCCGAAACATACCCGACCGTTTTTCTTATCGTATGTGTTGCGCAAGCAGTTTGGAAGAAGCCGATGCAAATGCCATTCAACTTCCTAGCATAAACATCTGGCTTTCTCTTGAACAAATTTGAAATAACTTAAAGATGGCAGACAACCTGGTGCTTTCTTAACTTCCTGCTTGTTCGCAAAATAAATTAACTTATCTATTTAAACGTCTACCGATGAAGACGAAAAATCCATTTTCATCCCATTAGCGTATATATATGTTCTCACCTTACAATGAAGCACGAAACCATTCGTTGCGTGTCATTTGCGGGGGTAAAAAAGAAGCAAGGTCTAATTGACTATGGCAAGCTTCATCTTTTATTGGCTCGTTAAATGTCACTGCGCAGTAAGAACGTAGAGAAGTGTTCATAAAAAGAAATACTTCGGAATTCTTTTTCCGTTAACAGGTGAATATATAATTCGTAAAGGAAACTACTCGTCTCGATCACAAAAGAAGCCGAAAAATGAAAGCTATTAATTACATGAAGGCCTCAAATTAAGCGGAGACAGTAAACTTCAATTCATTTGCAACCAGAAAGTGTTCGTATACAACCAGCTGATCCGCAGCAGCAGGACCAATGGCGAACATTAGCTCAGCTGGAGATGTAGTACAGCCACTGCATGTAGGCATCCTGGTATTTTTGGCTGCCTTAAACGTTCTTCTCTCCATCAGTTCAACTCTGGCCAATACTCTTATCCTAGTTGCCCTTCATAAAGTGTCGTCTATTTATCCACCAACGAAACTCTTCTTTCGATCTCTGGCGATCAGTGATCTTTGTGTTGGCCTAACTTCGCAACTGCTTTTTTGTGTAACTCTCACGGGTAGAATATCAAACATAGGAAATAATCTACTCCACTACAGCGATCGATTAAATACTACTACAAGTTATGTTCTGTTGATGGTCTCTGTCTTGACATCAACTGCAATAAGCGTGGACAGACTTCTCGCGCTGTTGTTGAGGCTGAGGTACAGAAAGACTGTGACATTGAAGCGCGTCCGAAAGATTGTAATCGGCATTTGGTTTATTTCTTGTGTATTAGGCGTATGGCGACACAGTTCATGGGGCGAAGAAGTTTCTCGGGTCACATTCGTTGTTTTTCTTGTACTATGTTTGATAATCTCTTTTCTCTCGTATTTTAAGATCTATCTTCTCCTCCGCAATTATCAAGTGCAAGTACAAAACCACTTCCAACAGCCAAACAGACCCGCAATCCCATTAGATATGGCAAGATATAAAAGGACGGTTCATGGCATAGCTTGGGTACAGTTGACATTGCTTGTTTGTTATCTCCCCTTCTGTGTTGTGCTCATGTTATTTTCATACGGCAAAATACCTGAAAGTGCATCAGGGATGGCATTTCTTCGTTTCACAATTACGATTGTTTACCTAAACTCATCTCTGAACCCGATCCTTTACTGCTGGAGGATTGTAGAGGTTAAGGAAGCTGCAAAAGATACGATCAGATCATTAAACTGTTTTAAGTCCAACTAGCTAGGCGTTCTCTTTTTTAGTATTGACCTGTGATTGGAGAACGGAAAAACTGTGCGAAATCATGACCTTGGACGAAACGAAAACGAAACCGGGAAAGAGCTCAACAGTTCGAGTCATTAATTTAAAGGTGTGATTCTCCAATTGTTAATGTTACGTGGTCCCCAATTAAGACAAATGGTGCCTACCGGCTGACTTGACAGTACCTCTTTTCAGTACTTCTTCTCAGTCATCCATTTCGTCGTTTCATGAAGTGATTCACTGGCGCTTTTCCCACGGACGAGATGGTCATAGAATTGCTTCATAAACTGTAATGTAGCTTTGGCGTCCACGGCCCACAGAGAGGCCAACACAGATCGTGCGCTAGATCCCGAAAAGGCTCGAGTGATTCCGAAAACTCGTTCGGCTTTACTTTTCCCACGACCATTATGACAACAGCTGAGTACCACCAGCTTAGCTCGCAACTGGACCTTTAACACATCGCCCATATTCAGTATGAAATCATTCTTTTCAGGGCTTTTATTTAACGGATTCGCATATCTAACGGATCACCATGCGTGGGTGGATTAAATTCTTTAGGATTTAGCGTGCTTGGTGTCATGTTCGCCACGCAAGATTCTCGAGGGCTCAAGTTCCAGTAGCTTGCCAATCATCTCTGCTTCCATTCTCGCACATGGTAGTTCAGATATATATTTTTCTTCCCCGTTCAACAAAACTACTCCAACATCGAGATCTCCCACAATCAGAGTATCCTTCCCACTGTGATAGTCCATTGGGCTGTCGCGGATTAAGTTGAACCACCCTGATCACATACTGATGTCTCTGACAGATAATTTCCATTATCGTCCTCCATAGCTTGAAACTGTACCCTGTGCAACTCTTCCAAGGGAAATATAAGGATTTTGGAACCCTCAAGGAGATTATCAACAGGCGCAATTGTTATGTCTTACCATAACTGCAAGCCTGTCTTGCATGAACTATCAAGTGGAATCTCATCATCATCGTCCTCTTCTTCCACCTCGAAAGGGCGTGCAGAACTGATCTTCCCGTGTTTGTGATTGACAACACTATTGGCACGCCTCAAAGTTAAAAAACGATCTGTCTTCATAGGAACTACTTCGTCCAAATTTGTACTCTGCATATGTTGCATTAGCCAAGGATTCAAACAATATTCAATATTCAATATTCACAGCTTTAAGATGCTGAGGAACTGCATCCATGGCTTGGCTTGACACCTTCTTAAATTGATACTCTGGTTTAGTTTCATGACCCGAAGGAAAAGCTCGTTCACATGGTAGGCGATGTACAGAACGACGCGGTCTTCCTTCAATAACAGTGTTTCAATGTCGCTGACTTTCAGTTCTTCGCCCTGGTTAGCTCCTTGCATGAAGTATTGTTTTGATCTGCAAGTCCTCTAGCACGCCTAAGCTCGTCAGTATACATAGCTTTGTTCACATCCTCTTCTGACTGACACATAAAGCAAACGAGCAACTTGAAAGGAAAAATGTTATCGTTGGCAAAAAAGACTCTCAGGTGATCCTCGTTGCCAAGAAAGCCTCTAATGTCCTCGTAGACGTTGACTCTTTCTTATAACTTTGGGCCAAAAAAGACTCTCCGATTTAACATAAAACTCTTTGATTTCGGTGTAAGTTTTCGATTAAAAAATCAATAAATTAGGCATATGGAACACTTATTAATCGAAAGGTGTGATTCTAAGGCTGTATTGTCATTACAGTAAAGAACCCTATTAAAAAAACTTCAACGGGTCTTGAACAGGACAGTAAGGACGATACGTTTCGTCCCCAGGTAAGCACGGTTTAGCTTCAAGGGTAATCTGATACTTGACCCTTCGTTCAAGTTTCGGGGAACGTCCTTCTAAATGGCCGAAAACAGTATATATTTTGGATGCAAGTTTTACTGAAGAGAAAATAAACTAACATAAGGACAAAAACGAGCAAAAGCAAGAAAAAAAAAAACAAAACAAAACAAAAACATAAAAGACTCCAAGACAGCTTTGACAAAAATAACTCGTGACTTTTTTCCTAGTCTGCAGTGTTAGCGTCTTATTACATGAGAGTAAGTCAACATTTATACCAAGCCATATTTGATTTGGAGTTAGAGTAGGGACGGGGAAAGGCGAGAGGAACCACCCTTCCCCTATTTGGCCCAAATTTCCTTCTCTCCCCAGCCTACTGCTGCTGTAAAAATAAAAAAATTGCAGCTATACTTTTCACCAAGAAAATACTGAGTGCTCCCTTACCAAAATTACGCTTGCTCTTGCTGGCTACTATTGTTTAAAATGTTCTCAACGGAACAGGATGGTCGTATTTGGCGCGTTGCACTTCCAGACGAGGCGTCAGAAGAGGCACGGTTCCTTGATCATGCGTACTACTTTGTTTGCTTTGAGATGAGACAAAACAAAATGGCGACCGCCACGCTGAGCGACGTGGTTGCGGCAGTCGAACTTGAAATCAGTTGTCCCATTTGTTTGGAGGACTTCGAAGAACCTAAGTGCCTTCCAAATTGCGCTCACAATGTCTGTCAACATTGTCTTGAGGGAATGCTGAGGAAGAAGACAGATTTTGTAGAATGTCCTGTATGTCGCATCGAGTCCGCTATTCCTCAAGGCGGTATTGCTGCTTTCCCAAAAAATCACCTAATTGTTCGCTTGATCGAGCGTACACCTGGACGAAAGGAGAAAGAGGCCATCAAAGAAGCTCTTAAAACTTGTAAAGGTAAATTAGAAGGTGCCGAAACTGCTCTGAAGGATATGGAAGATCGCTATGTTACTTCCAGAAGTAAAGCACAAGAAATCAAACAGAAGATAAAGTCGATCGCCGAAGATGTTATCACAAAAGTACGGGAACACGAAAGCAGAATACTCGATGAAATTGATCAAAAATTGACTCAGAATCGCAATGAGGTAACGTTTGAAACTCATAAATCCAATGCCACGGAGCTTTGCGAAAATGCCACAAGCTGTATTCAGACTGTTGAGGACATACTGCATAATGGTGAGGTAAGCGATCTGAAAGATCTCAAAGACGCCCTTATCGAAGAGTTACACGAATTCTCGGAGTCCTTGGAATCACGAAAGTTTTGGGCAAACTGTGAGTTCAGTCATCCATTTGATGTGTCATTGTCTAATACTGAGTCAGTTGATAAGTTTCTCCAGAATGACTGTTCGTTAGGCAATCTGCTTATAAACACGGCTTCAGATGCAGATCTGGATTCTGCCTCAGCAGCTGAAGAGATTCCTGAAGTTTCTGTTTTCCCAGGTGTTTGTTTTGATACACCTGTTGATGTGAGAAATATGGACTTCTCAAACTGTGGTACTTTAATTCAGACAGTGGATAACTTGACTTGTGAATTACAAAAATTTAACCCCTTCTCAGTTGCAGTGGCCAGGAATTCAGGCCATTTTGTAGCACTGGATGAAGAATTGAAAAATGTTCACATCTTCAACGAGGAAGGAGAACATTCAAAGAGATTTCGTATCATGTATGGTGACTTGTGGGACATTGGTGTTTCAAATGAAAATGAGATAGTTGTGTTAAATCGGGAAAGCAACCGAATCTTGCATTATGATATGAATGGAAACTTTCAGAAAAAATTTGTGACTCCTCCAAGACATAATGTGAAGTTTACATCTATGTCTGTTGACATGCATGGACGGTTTGTAATCACCTCTAGTCCATGTTATGAAGAAACTCAAGAAGATACTGAACCTTGCATTCTAGTATACAATCAATCAGCAAAACTTACAATGTCATTTGGAGATGGGATTCTTTTATTACCCCAAAAAGCAGTATTTCTCAATGGTAAATTTTTTGTGGCTGATTCTGGGAAAGAGAGCATTGTAGTCTTTGACAAGAGTGGGATATTTCTCGAAGAGATTGCCAAAGGTTGCTTGGAACATCCATGCAGTGTTGCTGCTGATTATACCCATGGAAATATTGTAGTTTGTGACCGTGGAAATCCTTCAGTAAACATATATAGTCAAACTGGGGAGTTTCTGCACCACCTTCAATTTGAGGATATTCCCTTGCAAGTTGCTTTTACCAAGAACTTTGAGAATCTACTTATTTGCTTTGAGGTTGATGATGGCAACAAGAATATACAGATGTTAACATATTCATAGAACAGTATATCTGAGTAATCATACTGTGAACACATATATCTACATGAATGTAATAAATTAACTTTTTCACTCCCATGAGTTGCCTAAAACAAATTTCCCCCCCTAAGATATCAGTATATTTTCAAGCAGCAAGGTAATGAGAAGACAAAAAAACACTAATTTAGAAATAATGTTTAATTTGACACCAATTTTTCTGCCAACGTTCAAGGAAAAGTTGAGCCAAAAGTGTGGATATTCGATAAGTAGATCCTGGGGGTGAAACAGTGAAAAATAATTGTCTTTGTAGCTTAGTTTTGTTGATAAAGATCTTTTTTCAGCTGGTATCTATTTATTATTATGATCTAAAACAAAAGAGAGATATTATTAACCACGGTCTAACACCTTTATATCAGGAAGAAAGTTTAACTGAAAAAGCGTACTTTAAAAGCAGCAGATGATACACTCTAACTGAAATATAAATGTGTTATCAAGGTGTAGAAGAGCTGCTCCCATAGAACACCAATTGATAGGATTGTCTAAATTTTGGCCGCACATCTTTCCATCTTGGATAATCAACACTGCAATAAAGTTATTTATGTGTTCTACTTTTAGTTTTGTTTTGAAGAGTGTCACCTGTGTTCTATTGTACAGTTAGCTTGGAAAATAGGTTAAAAATAACCCTTTTCTGTTTCATCCCTTCAGCTCCTATTGAAAGTTTCATGAGTATTTGATAGTCTAGAATTTCTATTGGCTCATCCTCAAGCAACTATTATGCATCTCTGACATTAAAATAGCACATTTTTAACTTTAGAAAGTGGGTAACACTGTTCATATCAGATTTGTTGATCATACAAATAGCTACTGTATTTTCCCTCCTATAAGAAATTATTGTAAGCTCTTCTCCATGTTTAGTTGGGAAAATATATTACATTATACTAAGCCAGCTAAAACATAACTTGCATATGTCTATTTCATGTATTAGGGAGTGTGAGTTCTAATGTCTTTTTACTGTTGAAGAGCAAATGCAGCCATATTTGACCTGAACCAATGAGTTAACGCTTTAATTCCTAGAAGTGATTGACATGTAACTTCCCCTTATAATATCCATAGATTATCACCAAAGCAGTAATGAGAATACTTAAACTCATCAAGTAGAAGTGGTTATCTTGATCTAACACCAAATTCTTGTAAATAATTCACAAGGAAATGTGTAGGAGCTAAAGGAGACAATTAACAATCAGACATGTAGAAATGATTTTTTGAGAGCCACAAAAAGAATACTCAATTTCTGGCTGCTATTTATCAAGAGCCTTAACCCTTTCACTCCCAGAAGTGATTAACATGTAACTTCTCCCTATAACATCCACACATCCAGCTAACATGTAATGAGAATACTCAAGCCTATCAGAAAGAAGTTAGTGGTCTTGATCTAACACCACATTCTCGTGACTTATTTACGAGGAAATGTGTAGCAGCTAGAGTAGAGAACTAACAGCCAAATCTTGGGAGTTAAAGGGTTAAAAACAAACAAACAAAATAGAATAAAAGGGGTAAGTTTCTAAAGAAACTGTGGTGCTGCGTCGGTGGGAGAGTATAGCAGGTAATTTAGTGTTAACAACTGAGTTGAAAACGTAAATTGGCCACCGTAAAGGGAAAAAAACTGACGTTTCGAGCTTTAGCCCTTCATTAGAGCGAAATAGAAGTCAAACAGTGATAGCAGAAAAAGAGACAAAAAATAAGAAAAAAAAAAAAAAAAAAAAAAGGAATGTTAGTAATAATGATAATATGAGTAATGTTTATAGTTGAATAGAATAAAGAAGAGAACCATACCTAACATAACTGAATACATTTTCACTTCCTCTTTACATCCATGTTTTTTTTCAGATTCCAGTTGTCTGGAGCCACGATTGCGATAGAGGTCGAGGCTTATGGCCAGCATGATCAAGATGATTGGATTAGTGTTAATCAGCTTTCAAACAATTCAGTCTCTTTGAACTTTCGGCGGGCACACTCAGAAAAGTGAAAGAATCCAGGCTAGAATTTAACACCACTTGACTAACAACCCCGATGAGCAATTGTTTAGCCCTCTTCGGGTTGTCTGCGAGGTTTTTTTGTTTTTTTGTTTTTTTTTCAGTTCGTTATTCCGAACTTGTTTAGCAATTTACAATAACAATTGCAATTGTTAGGTTAAATTCCTTTAAAAACTTGGAGATACAAGAGTTGTAAAGATATGAAGATCAGTTACAGATTTCTTTACCTTCATATGAAGAAGGAGACTAAGGAGGCAGGTTGAACGCAAAGCTTGGTAATCTTATCTTCTTCTAGAGAGGTAGTAATGATTGATGGGTGTGTCCTGAATGTGACGATGCCAACGTTAAAGCGAAGGCTGCAGTGTCAATGACAGCTGGTAAGCGCTCGTCCGACAAGTCATAATGATTCATGGGATTAGACCTTGAGAGTTCCAATCATCACATGTTACTGTCAGCTTCCGGCGAGCTCAGTCACCTGCTTGCAATACGTAAAAATCGCGTGAATAATGGCCGACACGGAACCAAGGAATGTGTTTGATCGCGCTTGAACAGATCACCCACAAGCAGACTACATGACACACAGAATTTTTCTCCGTCTTGTCATAGAGAGGCCATCTTTGGACCTTAAAATTCTCCATTTTACAGTTCAAAACGATGGGTGTGATCGCGTGTTTCTGTTTTGATTTATCGGAAAATTTCCCAATCGCGCCTTATTAAAAGCAATCGATAAATTTAGATAATAATTGAGAACTGGTGTGACAATTAGGCACCCTACCAAAGAAATGATCAACCACCCAAGCCACAACACGAACTTAATAAACGTTTCCGCAGATGACCCGGCCAGAAATGATTTCTGTTGTATCTGATCACATTTCCTTCATAGACGTGCGATCAATTAACGAAGTATTTTTTTCCTGTCAGCTGTGACCTTCCTCTGATTATTGTCGAGACAGCCTTTGAAAAGAAAAGGCTTGTAATGAACTGAATATTGGCAGGCAAAGGACCTGAAAAGGACAACACCTTTATCTCCTTCATTGACACACCGAGACAACTGTGACAGGTTTGGGAAATATCACTGCGGTTTTGGTCATAAAACAATTAGCGAGTGTAAACAAATCGAATTGTAAGCGAGACTTCGGTGTCTCTTACGCCGTGGACGAAAGATACGTTGTTTACAAAATGTCGATGGCCAATGAAAAGAAAAGTTATCTGTAAAGTCTGGATTTTAAATATAAATGTAGATAATTCCCAAGGGTAGCAATGATGAGAAGCATGATATTCATATTATAATATTACAAAGTTTACTTATAACAGAATCACGTGTCTTTGTCGTGTCAATCATTCGGCTTTAGTAATCTCACTGAATTTTATTTCGATTTCATAGTACACTGTGTACATGCATTGCTGCGTTGCCCGAGGGCTTTAGAAAGCGAATTACTTCACACTTTGATTATAAAACGGACGAAACTGGTTGCATGGAAACCTAGCATTAGCGAAGCCTTTAGAACTCAGGTATTTAACGCTCTCGAGAAGTGTTTCAGCTTGCAAATGGCCTTAGTGGATATGAGCTTTCAAGAGTAACCGCTCTTCTTTCTATTTGTTTATAGCAGTAGACGTATCCCTGCAGGTTTATTGTGTGCAAGTGGGGAGATTAATCTGTTCTTTTTACGTGTTTCCATCATTGTAAGAACAAAATGGCCGAAGCAGCTGAACCTGGTAGTGGATTTAACTCGAAAAGCGTTGCGTTGCGAGCGCAGAAGAAAATCCTGGGCAAAATGGCCTCGAAAAATGTGGCGAAAGCTTTCGTGGATGACACCACAGGCGAACTGCTTGATCAGCTATACAAGCTAGCGAAACTGGAGACAGGAAATAAGAAAGAAGCTGAAAAACTCGTGAAAGACTTAGTCAAAATTGTCGTCAAGATCAGCATACTGTTTCGAAATGACCAACTGAACCGCGAGGAAATTCAAATAGCAGAGAAATTTAGGAGAAACTTTCGATCTGCAGCCATGACTTTTATTAGTTTCTACGAGGTGGATTTCTCTTTCGATAAGAAATTTTTAACCAAGAACTTGGAGGACTGCCGAAGCCTGATTCATCAAATTATCGATCGGCACCTTACAGCGAAATCGCATGGAAGGGTTGATCACGTTTTTAACTACTATGCAAATGGTGAAATGTTAGAGCGTGTGTTTCAAGCAAACCGCGATGGACCTTACGGCACTATCCTTAAAAACATTGTAGACAATCTTAATAAGCTTATGGAAGAGGGCAGTTTATAGAATACTGGGCTTTATTGAGGTTTGCCTTGTATGTAATTGTGCATTTGCTTTGTGACGACCCCTCTTGATGCAGAAATAACAATCTTTCCGTTTGGCTTGATATATCCTTTTCAAAGTATGCAAGGCGTGTGTTTAACATACACAGCCTTTATTGTCATGATATTTATTTAACCTTTGCTTATATTAGGCCTGTAAGCGTTGAAATTTTTGAGGAAGAGCCCAAAATATGATTTGAAACCAGGAAAAATTTTGTTGCGACCGCATATATTTCTAATGTTTACTAGCACCAGCTGTCCGACCTTCCTGTTAAAATTACATGGATTTCTACCATTTTCGTGAATTCGCAAGGCGGAGGGTGGTCGTCGATGCAATCGCTATTTTTGGACAACTCGCTGAAGCCAAAGTTTCCCTTGCGAACTGTGAAATGGTTTTAAGGGCTTCTCGGTCTTTTCTGAGTTACTCCTAGCTGATTTAATTATTAAAATTTTGAGACTTGTTATAATTAACGCAATCGTAGATTTTCAGATGTTCTTAGAGTTTCATATCATCGTAACCATTTGAAAAAAATTCACTCCTTATGTACGATTTAATATCTTAAACTTTAATCTTTATCAGTGGCCAATCTCATGATTCTTTTAAAGGAGATTAAAGCCGACATTTCGTGCAATTTAACTCTGCCATTAACTCTACTTCCGTTACGAGAACCTTTGAGTTTTGAATTATTTCTTTTATTCGAGAAACTATATCTGAGATGAAATCTTCAAACTGCAAGTGCTATAGAAAGATTTCTCGGATTAAAAAATATCCTAAAGAGTTGTATAGTATAGTAGAGAAGTGATTAAGTGACTAACTGTTTAGATCGTGAAAATTTGCTATATTTTTTAAGTCGATTTTAGATAATGGTGACATTTAAAAGAATTATTCCGAAATCCTTTTGTTTTATTTCCAATCAAACATACTGTTGATTTTCAAAAGAAAGAAAAAAAATTTTGTTTTTAATTTTTTTCTCAACAAATTAAAATGTAGGTACAATATTAGAAACAAATGACTTTAAAAAGGTTGATTTTAGATGTCTGTAAAAGGGTTAGGGATAATTTTAATATTTAATGACTTTGGTTGTAAGTAATGGTTGTTCCTAGATTTTTAGTTATGAGTTGAACATGATTAAATTAATTCTCCAGTGGATTTTATTTTGAGCTTATGGGCTTTTTTGTTCTCTCTTATCTCTACTAAATGTTCCTTGAAATTAATTTTAGAATTCAATTAGCCACCTTTAATTCTAAATGATCTAAAATTCTAACAGTTCATTTTGGAAAGAAGACATCTTGTCATTGTAATGACAAAATTAGAGACATTTGTACCGGGCAATTTTCGGTTTAATGAGAGGTGACAAGTCATGGCTAATTTTTAAACTGGTGCTGATGTTCAGCTTTGATTATTTATTTTGATGAGTATTCTTAACCTGGCACATAACACTATTGTGCATGTTCATCTGCACGAGTAATGGGATGGGGTAAAACTCTTTCAAATAATGTACTGGTCAGTTAAAGTTGTATAATGTAACAAGGAGTGTAGATTCAACAGGACTATTGTAATGTGGTTCTAGGTGTGCCTACAGTTAGGATCAGATCAGTAAAGAGCATAAGACAGATGTTGCCAATTCATAAATGGCTGTAGATGCTCTTTTGATATCATCTGAAGATAGTGTTGAGGCGATTTTCCATCGTCATCTTATAACTATATTTGGCATCAATTCTACCTGCACTATGTACATGAAATCTTTTAACAGAGATTGAAGTCCATTGAGTGTCCAGGGGAAGTTTATTGAAATATGATCCTGTAATTCTTTGATCAAAACAGAGAATAAGGCTGCACATATTTTACAAAATGAAAAGAGAATCCTTCTCAGCTGACAAATAGAGACAGGTGAAAGATACAGCCTGCAAAATGAAAGAAGAAGTGCTATTAGCAGGATCTCATTAAGGAAATGTGTTGATCTCATTTGAATCCCTTCTAAGTAGGTTTAATCCTTTTAATCATATCAACATGGACTGCATGTTGTCTATAAAAAGTATCACAAATAATGTATAATAACTTTATCATACCATTGACAGTATAATTAAGTGTTTTTAACAACTTATTTCAGGCTCAGTCTTTGACAGAGGAGCTTTCTACAAGAGAATAAAGCTCAGAGTAAATCAAGCTTGATTTTGAAATTTTTCCTAACCCTAAGCCTGAAAATGACTGGCATCCAATTTCTCCTTACAGTATCCTCCCTGAATCACTTATTTATGTCACATGAATCAAGAAAATGATCACCAACTTAAGAAGCTCTTGATTTTCAAGGAAATTCTAGTTGTCAGCACCTTAGGAAATGCACAGTAAACAGTATGGAGAATATGTATACTGATATTAGGGTATGAATTGTTTAGCCAAGCTGACAAATTCTCCCATCATCAAGACTGGAGCATAAGCTTATTTTACACACAATGACTGGCTATCACACTAATAAACAAAGACCATTAGTATAAGCAATAGAAGCAACAAAGTTACTCTGCATTCATACCATACCACATCAAGGTGTTCAGCCTAATGTTAATCGCTCTGCTCTGCATGTTCTCACCAATGGATCATGCATGCCCCTCGAAATTTAATAAACACCCTTCCCACTTCTATGTAACTCCAAAGTATGAGATTTTTGAAAGAGTGCCAGGTTTTTTCTTAAAGGATCCCCTTACATCCAGGGATAGCCAAACTTTGGCAAAGATATTTGAAATATTTCTGTGGGTGTTCTGATGATTTGATACAACTTTGTCTTCAGCGCCATTTTTGGTAAGATCAGTTTTGATGATTGTATAATTGTTTCTTTGGTGAAGGACACAACTCTATATGCTGATACAAAGTTTTCTGCCTGTCTGCTTATCATCAATTAGTGGATTATTAGTTAATCCAATACCAAATTCTCAGAATTAATTAGCATCTAAAGTCTAAAATCATCTGTCTAAGGTGTAAAAAGCTGGTATTAACACACGTAGCTACCAGTAATTAATACACAACTTCTGATGAAAATAAATTACTTCTTTTTCACCTGATTGCGATAACTTGTATATGCAATTCCATCTAGCTAGTAACATTCTTAATACAAAGCTACCACAGTCAATTTTTTTTTAAGTTTAGGTAATTATGAACTAACTTTCAGCCTTGCATAATTCATTCAGATTTATCAAGTACTAAAACCAATGTAAGTCTATCGAAGTTAAGCAGTTATCCTTAGTCACTTTAAGGCACTACGACTTCAACACAGTCACTAAGACTTGCACACAACCATGTCCTCCCTTCAGGCCTGTGCATAGGAAATGTGCACAGAACTACTCTTTCAATTTAATAAATTCGTTGTTTCAATAACGGCTGAAGGAATCGTACTTAAAGCGATTAAAGGCCGCGCGCGATGAAATATCGCGAGGTTTGTTTACGTTTATTTGCTAGAATATTTCCCGCGTTTATTTCATGTGTTTATTTACCGCGAGATACTCGGGCCCATAAAGTTAAATATGGTAATGATAACCTTGTATGGTAATTTTTACCAAAACCATCTGCGCCTCGCGAAAAAGCTTCGTGAAAAGAACACAAACATATTGAAATCGTGTCAACGTACAGTTTATTATCACTGCTGAGATTTAGGCAAAGAGGACTCGCTTCTAGTCGTTAAGCGATACAGAATCTCATCTGTGACTTTTGCGCCGATTTTTGATGTTCGTGCTCGCTTCAAGATGCCGAAAAGAGAGCCGAAGACGAAGGTGAAGAAACATCAAGTTGAAGAGTTGTCACTGCTGGTAAATGGTTTGAGCTTTTCATCGCTGGATGTCGGATCCATCAGGGATGCAATTCAGAAACTTGATGCTCGATTAGAAGAAAATACAGCAAGGTAAGATTTCAAGGAGATCGATTCCTCTTTAGGTGGTTTTCATGAAGTACAGATGTGGTCCTATCTTCTTGATCAAACAAATTAATTTACATTTTCGTCGACTTGCTTGTTGTGAAAACCTCAGTCATTCTAATGATTTACACTATTAATATAACTTAATAAAATTCATGTAGTAAAAATCTACAGCACCTCCTGGCTTCACTTGCATTTTTCTTTAACCCTTTAACTCCTACAAGTGATTAACATGTAGCTTCTCCCTATAATATCCATACATTATTCAGCAAACAGGTAATGAGAATATTCAAACTTGTCAAGTAGAAGCTGCTATCTTGATATAGCACCAAGTTCTCAAAACTAATTTATAAGGAAATTTGTAGCAACTAGAGGTAAGAATTAACAATCAGATCTTGGGAGTTAAACGGTTAACAGCTAGGCTCTTAATTGAGATGTGGAAGCAAAGGAATAGTGTAAGTTGCTTGGATAATATAAGCCTGTTACAGAATGAAAATACCTCAGACCATTGAAATGAAGCTGGAGAATTCCCTGATCCTTGTTACTGGTTGAACCCCTGTAATGTGCACCTTTGTGTCCAGACATAGTGTTTTGTGTGTTAGTACTATGAATGGTGAAATAAGTTCCTCTTCTTTTGACAGCTTGCAAGAAAGCTGGGGCAAGTTTGTGGATGTTTGCAGCACAATTTCTAATGAAAAAACTCAGGATCCACCAGAATGGTTGAGCTCCAAAGATGCTGTAGATTTGTTGGCATCTTCTGATGTTATACAGACCAGTTCTTGTCCATATGAACCTATTGCACTCAACTGTTTCTTAAACAATGTGGTGAGTTTGTAGCAACAATGCCTCACTATGCAATTCATTTTTCTTCCTGTTTACTCAAAAAGTATACTTTTTCTATCTTCTTCTTATTTTTATTCTTGTTAGTGAACAGTTAGTTTTATGTGCAAGAGGCTTAATTTTGAGGGTTACACTCAAGATAAAAAACCTACACTCAATAATAATGGGCAAAATTTTTTAAATTAGTTACAGATACATTACAAAATGGATGCCAATTAAATATTTCTTGTTGCGACTTCTAGAAATAATTGATAAAATTGATTACCCTTGTCTTTGTAGATTCAAGCCTTAGAGCGAAATCCAGGTAAAGAAGAGTCGATATTTGAAGATCTAGTCCAGTTTGCTTCCCAACAAGGCATTTTAATGCCATTTGGTGCACCAGAAAAGAATGGAGATGGTGATGAGACATCTGAGTTACCTCTGAACACCATTGTGATAGAAGATGAACAAGCCACTGATGTATTGTGGGAAGCTATTAGAAGAAAAATTCGCAAAGGAATGTGGACACTTCTAGCAAATCTACCTCTCTCAAACCAGCACAATGAACTTGACTGTGATCAGCAAACTAAAATTAAACTTTTAGCTGACTTGTGTTTTCTGTACCCAGCTGAAGACATCTGGAAGGGATACCAGAATTATAGAAAAAAGCTGTTGGATCAATACATTGCGAGCGAAGCTTTGTTAGAGGAAGTAGAAACAGACCTTGCCATGTCATCTGAGACACCCAATGATGTAAGGATGTTTGTCAAGTTATGTAAAGCTTCTGAAATAATGATTTACGAGGATGCAATGATTCTGCAAGAAGGAATTTTCTCCACAACAGTACCTAGTTTTGAGTTTATACATGAGTCATATTTATTAAGAATAACTGAAGAATTGCGTTCTGTGTGCCAAGCAGTGTATAATAAGGAAAAGGAAGAGCAAGTACTTTTGAATGAACTAGGACAAGCATCCAGTCATAGAAGAGGCTCAAATGTATCATTTGGAAGCAGGAGGGGCTCCACTTTATCAAATGTGAAAAAGATTAACTCTAGAGATATCCTTTTAGTCTATAAACATTGCTTCATGGCAGTGGTTCATTTGGAAAGACTTGTCAATAAAGTAACAAGCCAAAAGGACACAGAAGGAGGAGCAGGTAAACTGATGGTAGTGATGCAGAATCATGCCAAACAATATATTTGTTTGGCATGATTCTGAGATATGAAAAATATGATATGACAAAGACATGTATTTTTATTACTATTAAATAAATGCTATTGATAATTTTCTTTTGGTTAATAAACTTCAGGAATTTTGATAAATATTCATCAAAATGCAGCTTGCAATCAAATCCCCTCTCTAAAGACAGAAAGATTTAGTGTGTACTTGTATTGAGTGGTCTCCATTTGACAAAAATAAATTGATTTCCTGACTTGTATAACATCACCAAAGCACAGGGTACAAGGTCTCTCTCCTACACTTTTTGTACACAGGCAAGAATCAGAGGAAGGGAGAATCTTTTTTGTGATGGTTATTTTATTTTTTTTTGTCCTCTGGGGTGACTGTAAATAGGTTTTCCAATAATTGAGGTCAAGGAATATTTATTATTATTGATAGAAAGTTGTTCCTTTCTTGAGGTATTGCTGCACATTATTGGTTTTTACACTCTCCCCAGTCCATATTTACACTAACTCAAATGTTATAATTTTGGTCATCTAGGAATTAGAGGTACCAGTCTGCAGAATGCTTCAAGGTCTCCCTCTAGTCCTGTCCTAAGTCACAGGAATCCCAGTCGACACAGTTCTAAAAAGAACCCTGATATGCCACTTTACGTAGCAGAGGGAAATTTGCCTTTACCATTTGGTAAGTGCTGGATTTAGAGGCCATGTTCAGATTTTTAGTTTCAGTGTATGTTGTTTGTGTTATGCTTCTAGGCAGGATACTTTTACTCAGAGTGATAAATGGAAGGTAACCTTCTCACAAAACGTCTTTCAGAATAGAACTCTATTCAAGACACCAATATTTACAAGTAACAACTGTAACAGAAATGATGAACCACAAGGCCTGGACTGAGAGCCTTCTCCTCCCTATTTTTCCATCTTTTGTCTGTATTTGGTGGAAATCTGAATGAATTGAATTAGTAGTAGTGCTGAGGAAGTGATGAGGTTATTAATTCAAATTTTTACTAATGATTTATGTTCAGGCTCTGGCAGTAGTAGACTTGACTCTCAGCCCCTCAGTAGTGTATCAGCTCCAAACCCCAACTCTCAGTGGCCATGGAGAGAGGAGTTCAAGAGTCACATATCTAAGTTATCAATGGCTCTGAGTGAGAGCATCAAACACACTTGTGAAAAGGCTCTGGAGGAAGGCATGCAGATGTACAAATCTACTCAAAGAATTCCTACAGTCAGGCTTAGAGGTGTGAAAATGAAGAAAGGTAAAATGGTTTCCGTGTTTACATAGCCTGATGTAAACACACGGGAGGTTGGGAGAACACAAGATAAGCATAGGAAACCACAATGTGAAGCGGAGTGGTTTCCAGCTTATCGAGTGTTCTCTCAACCTCCCAAGTGTTTACATCAGGCTATGTAAACAAGGAAACCATTTTACATTTCTTTTATAAAATAACTAATGAAAGAGGAACGAAAAATGTGTTTACATATGCTCATGTAAAATGGTTTTATGGCCAATCAGAGCACGGGTACTATTTGAATTATTTTATAATAATTATTGTCAGTCATGACTTTCCCTATTCAGTAATACCATAATGATTATATATTTACACTAATTATTGTACATGTAGAATAAACTGGGAAAAACACAGCATGAATTATGAGGCAAATGAACATGTTACACTTGCCAAGGGTTAGAACTGACTTAGCTTAAAGCTATTTTTATTGTAATGGTTTTGTAATTTTTAATAAGCTAAATTTTTAATGTTTTAAGGTTTTATTTATTTTTACTGTAACTGTATATAGCCCATACTTTAAGATTAACTTAACTTTTCCAAGGATTTACCTGTAGAAGTAGTATTTTAGCATGATTGTGTAGTTCTTATTATTTTAATTTTTATCAGGGCCCCAATCTATAGCAGTGCCTAAGTTACCTGAATGGGATACCCTGAATAAATAAAGGTCTTCTTCTTCATCTTCTTCTTCCATACATGCATTTGGGGCAAAGATGTGTGTGGTGCAACTGAATATCAATCTTCCATTTTCACACTTTCCTTAAGTTTAAAACTGAATTCAAATCATCGTTTTGTTTTTTTCAATTTTCCTTTTAACTCAATAGTTCCAGTCAAGAATATTTGACAATGTCTTGTTGTGGGATTCTTTGTTTGGTAACACAACTAAACAGATTCTGAGGCTGAAGTGTTTTTTTTTTTGGTTTATTTCTCTCAATCAGATGATTTCATTGGTGGTAAACAGGACTATCCCAGGAGGATTGATAAGGTGTGTTGATTTTTTAATTTGAATTACGAGGTTCAAGTATGATTTACTGTCAATCAATAAGAATTAAATTTCATGTGATCATTTGATAAAAATTTAGTGTTGTGCGGCCATTATGGATGAAGCTGATGAAGTTCTACCATTAGCCAGCAGTCAAGGAGGGAAACTATTCCACGTTATCAGATCATCTTTTGTGGATTCTCTTGAAGCATCTCTGAAGAGTTACCATACAAGATTGACACAGGTACATAGCAGTCAAGGTTTCGCAAGTCACACAGTGGTGTTTCCAGTTTTGACTCTTCATCAGAGCACCTTGAACTTAGCTTATCTTTATCATATGTTAACCTCTTACTTCCTGAGTCTGTGGGCAAATTCACTCAATGTATGTAAAAACATTCTTCCCTGGATGGTCTGTAAATTTGGTGTTACTGTACATCCAAATGGTATTGTTGGTTGATGACATTCTCATTTCTCATTACATTTTTTTTTCTAATGCATTTAAAGAGAAAATGCCTCAGGTGTCAGTGCTCTTTCCTAATTTGAGAATAAGACTTTTTAATTAACTCTTTGTTAAACACCCACAAACTGGATTGCAATCATAATCAATACAAAAATATGTACAATGTAACTGGGTTCCAATCCAATTGATGTATATTAGACAAGATAGTATTTTTTTGTCCCAAAAATATGATTGCAAGTAAACTTTAAAAAGTGGGACCATTGTAGGGAAGATTGAATCCTTTATCTCTTCAAATGAGAAACCTGTTTCTTGAAAAGAAACGCTCATCTAGTGTCAAACCAGATGAGACTGTGATTAACTTTTGAACAATGCTGTACCTTTTTCTCAGTGATTTTAATTTGTTGCACTGTTTTTAATTTCAGCTTCTGTCTGACTTTCCCAAAGTGTGTGATGTGGAGTGCCTCTTCATTGTTCTTGGTAGTGCTGTTTTCATCAGGAACCACCTGGTTCACTATGAAGATGTCTTAGGCTCTGAACCAAGGTACAAGGTTTTATTCATCAACAAGTGACCTGCGTATATCAGTGCTAGAATAAAATGTTGAATATACTTTCACATGACTTTGTGATTGTTTTATGAAGCAGTATTGTTTCATGTGAGTAAACTATTACTCTTCCAGGGTGAACAAGGTGGTCCTTCACTCAAGTACCAACAACAAAAACTTATGTCTTACATTTTCTCTTTGTTTTTAGACGCCCCTTTCCTTTGTTACACCGACAATTCAGTGATCTTGTGGATAGTGTTAGTGATCAGATCATCAGTTACCATGACAATGTGATTTCTATGGTCATTCTACAAGATGCTCGCAGTAATAACTGGTCAGACTCCAGACCTTTTTTCGAGGTGATTATGGTAGTTATTACTTGAAACACGTACTGTGGCTCACACCACTGTGATACTTGACTTAGAGTTTAGGGTTAGGGTTGGGAAATGTTCATGTTTGGGCCCTCAAGCCAAGGGAAATTTAGAAAATGGAGAAAAATACTTAACTATACCAGTACAGTATACCGCCTTCCATATAGGAAAATACTGTGAATGAGTTCCAGGAAACTGTCAGAAAAAATTGACCCACTTGGCCTAAGTGCAATAATTAAGGAGGGAACTGAATGTTAGAATGTGCCACTAGAGCACTGATAAGATCTCAGACAATGTTTTATCATTTCAGAATGGTATTCTAAGGAGTTAGAGAAGTTGTAATAATTATTTTGTCACAAATACTGCTGTATGAATTGCTCTGCAGGATCAAAGGTGTTCCTTTTCTGTTCAGATGTGGAACTACCATCTTCAAGGTTTGCAGCATGACCTTTGGAATTACTGCCCTCCTGAAAAAGCTCAGGAAATGTTTACATCTGTTCTTCACAGTTCTTTAGTTACCATAGTGACAAGATACAGCCATGTTTGTCCTACAAGCAGACGAGTGAAACAGTTTAGGTACATGTGTAGATTTAAGTAGAATTATTTGATTTTTGTTTAACTCATCTAAAAAAGAAAAAGAGGATTACCAGTAATTTCTATCATTTACGTACAAATCAGTTTTACTTCACCAAATGCTCTCCAGAAGCACTAGCACCTGGTGGTTTGTTTCTGAGGCGCTGGTTACTTCAACAAGACAAAACAGCAAAATGCTTTTCTCTAATAGTATATGAAATACACTGTATAATTTTCATTAATCTTTGCTTTCTTTTGGTTTATGATATCTCTCAGGTTATTATTTACCTCAGTTAATATGATTAGTCAATTTAGAGGGCCTGTTTTACTCCAAGGTCAGAAGTTTGTTTATATTGAAATCTTTCCCTCGGTTTGAACTCAGAGATATTTTGATATTGTACGGACCTCAAGTCAGTTAGTAAGAGTACATTTCTCCGAAAAGAAAGAAATCTTGTGATTAATACATGTACCTAGGTTAAAATATTCCTTGTTTGTTTTGCTTTTGGCTGATATTGGTGGTTACTACACTTGCCCGTAAATGAGTGAGTAATAATGATGTTTTACATATTTGTTTCAGATCAGACATCACGGCCATGTTATTGTCTACATTATCTTTTTTGTGGTCGTGTTGCAAGTCAGTTCCAAGTTTGTTAGATCCCCAGTGTTCTGTGGCTCCATTTCCAACGATTCACAGCCTTTGCTCTTGTCTGTTAACCACACTGGTAAGATTAGAGCTTTTATATAGACTTTTTAGCCTCACCATTAATAATTCGTGTAAATTGCCGGTTTTTCTAAATAATGTGGCCTAGGTTCACAGCCTTTGCTCACAGCCTTTGCTCATTTCTGTTCAGTAACCACACTGATAAGATCAGCACGTTATATTGACTTTTTATTATGCAAGTCACGTTTTAAACGGGTAAAAATTACTTCAAAGTAGAGTGGCCTGGGTTCGATCCCTCAAGGAATTGATCCTAGGCCACAAAGGCAGGACAAGACCATACTAAGTTTCATCCCAGCGCCTGATCTCAATATTTTCTTCATGAGAATTCTCGCCTACACTCTCCGTTTTAGCATACATGCAGCCAGTAGAGTTGATTTAGTTCGGAGAGCTGACAGATTTCTTCATTAACTGTTTTTGTTAATTATTTTGATCTGACCATGCACATCGCCGGTATAGAGACATTCCAATTATAGTGTTCTTTGAACTATATAACCAATGGAAACTAATATTCAAACTTATCAGATAGATCACGATCTTGCATCAAGTTCTCAAAACTAATTTATAAGGAAATGTCTAGCAACTAGAGGGGAGAATTAACAATCAGATCTTGGGAGTTAAAGGATTAATTTGCTTGATATTTTGTTAGAGTGGAAGAGGAAATCAATAACAAAGGAAGGAAAATTTCTTCATCGACTTGCATAAGCCATTTCTTGTCGTTTGAAGTAGTATTCGCTTAATAACTTTTGCCCATTTCTTTGAATAGGTTCACTGAATGAGAGATAAACTTCGATATTTTCTGACTCTATAACTGCTAATATCGATCACTGGCAACCGTTTCTTGGGATGTCACGCGACGCACTTGCTTGCCAAAACAAAAGATTTTGCACGGTCAGGGAACTCTTCGCCTTTACCGGAGCATCGTTGTTTTCCGCTTTGAATATAACGGCTTTCACATTCATCCATTTCTACAACTAACTATGTTGTTGGTTTGTGTCAATACAGGCTGTTGTGGGTTCTCCCTTGGATTCTCTTTGTTCTCATGTTATGGGGGAAACATCAGGATCCACAGAGACGGCACAGTCCAAAACAGCTTGGTTGTCATGGATATATCCCGAAGTTTTTAAAAGTCACGAAGGAAGGTGAGAAATAATTCCTCCTCGTTCTTTCTTTTTGCCCCACCTCCTCCCCTCTCCTTCCTTTTGACCGTCGCTCACCCCCTGGTACAAATTTCTTTCTCTCCCCAGCCTTCCACTCCCTTGAAAATCAAATATGGCAGATACAATTTTCACCAAGAAAATACTAAGCACTCGTTCTTGAAAAAAATGTGCGCGTGCAAACCGTCTAACGTTGATGCAGGAGATGGGGCCAGCGGTTTATCCATCCGTAGCAACTAGACAGTTCAATCATTTGTTCTGTAATGATAAAAGGAATTGAGTAGCCTGCAATTTACACAGAGAATAGTTAAGTCAGGGTTTGAGCCAGGCCGCGCCATTGCGCCAATCCCGCAATAAAATTTAAAATGTCTTTGGTAGCAAAAATGATTCAGGGATTCAATTTGTCCCCACGAAAATCGAGCGATTTTGGACAAATTTTTTTTTCAGAAATGGAAAATGTCCCCCCAAAAATAACTTAAAGGGACAAATTGACCCTAAATAGTCAAATCCTAGCTCAAACCCTGGTTAAGTCGATGAAAGTAAAACCGCGAATGAAGAGAATTTAACACTTCCGTTGGTAGCTCTCTTGTCAGAACAAAGTACATGTAGAAAGAACTAAATAATGTTCGGAATTATTGAATTTTCTCTTTACCTTTGTTTCTAGTTTGGCTGCATTAACAGACAGACAAGCAACATTTGTGCTTTTTAAACTCATGGTCAATCAACCAGGCCCTCAGTGGCCGTTATTCATACGAGTAAGTTGTAATCCATCGATACTATGACTAGCTAGATATAACGTCACGTTTTTAATACTGTACCAGAATTGCTGTTAAGAAGGAAGCGACGGAAGCAGTGCCTATCTCCATCCAGGAGTATAAATAGGTACCGGCTAATTGTCAAGGACACTTGATGAAATGCTGAGTGAGAGGGAGGGGGGGAGGTATCCTTCGATGAATTGGCTTCCCAGAAGGAAAATTTGCAATACTTTAACTCTCTTCAAGCTACGAAACTAGATAAGGTTCAGCAGCCATGCGAGCCAGTCAGTTGAGTCTCGTGTACGGACTTAACCTTACTCCTCTTATCTTGTACTGAAAAAGTGTGTGCGGTGTTTATCAATCTATGCCTTTTTTGGCGATCCTCTGCTTCTCTGAAATTTTTATTTAGTTGTTGTTCAGTATGTTGATTTAAATACATGTATATAGAGAATTCGTGAAAAGCACATCTTAAGATTGATGATTTCATGCCTTACATCTTAGGCACTTCTGAGTAGAAATGCAAGACTGCCTGTCATAATTGTGAAGTATGGAGGTAAACGATAACAGCTCATTTAGTAAATTTAAAGTTGTAACAGCAATTCTTAGACCGTTTTTATTCAACCAGAGTTCTAAGCGTATTTTTCAAAGTCCGGCATCCTTTGACGACCTAAAATCGCAAAATGGTCAGTGCCCAACACGAAATTTTAGTCGCCAAAAAGCAAAAGGTAAAACGAACGGAGAAAGACAGTTATCTGTTTGCACAGTCAATGATGAAAACTTTACACCTTTTTACATGATTTCCGAAGACGGGCCGCTAGAGTTCAAACTTTCGTTTCAAATTTACTCGTGAGTTTTTTACCCACTGAAATTCGTTTCCTTCCTCGACGCTCACAGTTTTAACAGCTGTGTTTTTTTTATCATTACCATGATTATTATTATTACTATTATTATTATTATTATTATTATTATTATTATTGTTAATTAAAAGAAAAATTTGTAATGGATAACTTGGATTTAATCCACTCGGTGTTTTTCGAAAACTCTCCATAATTAGTACATTATTTGACTGGTTATATATTCAAAGACTAACTTTTGCCTTCAAATGTAAATGAAAGGCCTTTGATCGCTTCCCTGTTGTCAGTAAGCGTTGCTCGACGCTAATCAGTGCTTACTCTTTGCAGAACTCAGTAGTCTCAGAACTCCAGTAAACGGCTCACATAGTGAACTTGTCCAGGCCGCGGGATCAAGCTTGTTTGAAGAGGAATCAACGTCATCAGTTGAGAGTGCAAACAAGTTTAAAGAAGGCGTGGTGTGTTCATTGTATCACATTCTCTTCCAGTGCTCAAACGAAATGCCAGGGCTAGTCAATTATCTCATGGCAATCGTCAGTAGGTAGGGATTCAAATGAAAAAGGTTCTTTTTTTAGTTGTGAAGAAGTTTTATTGTAATCTTTACACTTTTAACCCTCTACTAAGGGAAAGACAAGTTCATGTTAGTTTTCAAGCGATCAGGAACATCAAGGGAAAACGTTTCTTACCAAGATATTTTTCCCCCTTCTTCTGTTTCATTTGCGCAGTTCCAGTGAACTTCATTTCCATGTCCAACCCGCTAGTAATGAATTTCCAAAAATTCAAACGAAATTGTATCTGATTATAAATGGTACATACAAAATGAAAGAAAGTCTTAATTTGACCTGTCGATAAAAGACGAATTGCTTTCCACTGGCTGTTAAGAGTCAGAAAAAAAATTAAGGCTTCGTCAGGCATTATTCACTTGTCACAAGTATAAAAAAGAATAACATCTCTGTCCCACGCTTGTAACTGACGAAAAACATCCGTCCTATCCAAAAGAGTATCTTGTAAAAGAAAATGGAATTCCGATCAAGTTGTTGCACATACTGCAGCACGAGGTTGGAAACTGAATTGCGTGAAAGAACATTTTTTCGTGAAAATATTTGTCTCAAAATGCTCTTATTCGCCTGCCAAGTACCTTCTCTTTACTGTGGATGAAGGGCAAAAAATGTAGTGCAATTAAACGAAATATATATTACTCGATTTGGCGCCCCAAAGCTCTCTAGCTTTTTTTTTTCAAGCTTGCGCTTAAATGATAGTTGAGACAATACAGTGGGGGAATCGTTCATTTAACATGAAGAAAAAGTGGCATGATTTGGATTTACTAAACGTAAAGCAAACGTTTCGCATTTGGCCTTACATCGCTATCTTCCACTCATAAAGGGCCTCTCCTGAAACATTCACTCGGAAACCTTAGTATTAAATATGCCACTTTCTCTTGTAACCTCAACACCTCCTTAGTAACAAATACTTATGTAACACGCAGCTCGTAGGTATTTTTAAAATATATTATGAGGGACAACACATTGATTGTATTACTTATCTTCAGCTCGTTTAAAGAAACTCTTTTGACTATTGCTTTTTGAAGGGAGGCTAGCTGGAAACTTTTTGATGATAGCTCCTCAGGATTGAAGATTTCAGATGCTACGGAGGTATGAATATTATGAAATAACATCCCTTGTATAATGTCAATCGTGCCCTCAACAGATATCGCGTCATTGCAATCTTGTTATTTTTGCTTTGTCGCACAACATGTATTATACTTGCCTCATGTCAAACAGTTGCTTACCCAACCAGCTAATTAAATCCTTGCCCTACTGTTACAGAAGTTTTTAAGGAGGTACTTCAAATATTCCAATACGTTTAAGACTTAATTTACGTCACTTTCCATTTTTTCTTATAAATGTAGAGCCCTGTTTGGCTTGAGTGTGTGTTTAAAACGTTTGACCCATATATTGTCAGGTAAGTCTGTTTTAAAAAAGTTTAGCTGATGATTCTTTTGATTGTTATTACATTTTAACAGATCGAAGATTTCAGTTGAGGGAATTCAAGATTTATCTTCTAATTTCCTCTCAAACATTTAAAACAGTTTTTGCATCAGGACAGTGAAGAGGCAAAAGAAAGGGTCACCGCGTTTCCATTTTTTCTCCAGTGATCATTACGTGAACTTGTAACTTCCGTGCAAACTCTTTTTTCTTATTTTCCGTGCAAACTTTTTTTTTTGAGTACTTTTACTTTGCCAATTGGCCGGATGGGACAAATCTGAGGTGATTACCTTTTGCTCGAAAGTTATGCTCGAAGGGTTAATTATCAGCTGGCTGTACTGAGATTGTATTGTGTTTTCCACCATTTTCCCATATGCTCTTCCATTCCCTTCGTTGACAAGAACAACACATGAGTTGTTCTTTTAACGAACGAAAGATTTGCGTCAGTGACTACATCAGTCACAATCCCATCCTCAATGATGCACTTGCTGTACGAGAGGATCTTGATCAATGTTTGACTTTCTCTTGCCAGGTTTCTATATCCATCACTGCTCCTGTTGTGTGAGCAGGACAAGAAAGTGACAAAATCGTACAACTTTACCTCGATGAGCGCACTTCCTTGCGGTTGCGAGCGAAAGAAGTCGCCAAAGACTAGAGACACGAAAAGTAAGTTCTTTAACCCGTATATTTGCCCTTGTGTAATAATATTTCTCTCGAAATTTGAACATAAATCAAGCTCAAAACACTTAATATCCCGGCCATCTTTGCCGCACAAGAACAGCACTGAGAATTGGAGTTCTCCACGAAGCACATTGCAGTGTGGTTACTGTGCTGTGAGTGCATCATGTTTACTTCTGAATGAGCCAAGACAGAGATTATTAGCATAGCTTGCAAAATGTGTTTGTTGCTTCACTTTGGTCTTATTGACTTTTCTCTGTATCAGTTGCAGTTCCAAATTAAAAGAATCCAAATAAGTGTTTTTTTCTTACCAGCCCTTTCTAAACTTTTGTTTGTTTTTCTTTAATTATCTAAATGTAATCATTTTCCATGGTAAAAATGGATGCTTCTCATTGCAGGTCAGACCGATGTTCAGTACACCGCTCTTCAGGATTTGTTAAATCAGCTGACAAAGCATTTCTGTGCCATCCCGAAAATTATGTGTCAGTTTTTGAACAAGCTTCAAGGTATTAATTTTACTTCTACTTACTACAGTGGACTCTCGCCCTGCGGACACCTCGCTAATACGGACGCACCGCCATAGCCAAGAGCCAGTCCCCTCGGGCCAGCCCCCCCGGCAGAACGCATAAAGAAATGACTGAAACAAACGCCCGTTATTACGGACTCTCGCTTTTACGGAAATGCGGACACTTTTATGCCCCCCATAGCGCTTCATTCCACTTGTTTTGCTCTCCCACCACAGCGGATACTTGAATACCTCTTCTAAAATCCTTACTTGCCTAATATAAAGCGACATTTCGTGAGGCCACGTTACAAACTTTATGTTTGCGTAGATACATATTATTTCATGTGTTCGAAGCCCGCTATCACCATTCTGTTTTCATTTTTAATTTTTTATTTTTCTCAATGCCCGCCAAAGTGGTAATTAAAGTACTGGAGTTTAAACTCTTGGGCATAGATATGGTTTGGGCCCCCTCTCTGGGTCATTTTACCCTCGCTTATCGGGCCAAACTGCCTCTGAGTCGGACCCTAAACGTATTTATGTCTGCGAACATAAACTCTGTTGTTCTATTTCCTAACATATTTTTAAACTATATATATACGTTACTCGATTCAGGTTTTGTTACTATTAGGGTTAAATGGTGAATAATTTCTGTTTGTTATCTTGATAAGACTTCTTAATTTACAGAATCGGTGCATCAGAAGTCGACTGATCAATCAAGCGAGACTGCCGGCATAACGGTGGGGCAATTCTCTAATAATGTTGATAACCTGCTTAGGAATTCTTGCTGGTTAGCTTGTTAAAAAAAAAATGCTTGTTCCGTTTGAAACGTGATTTTCAGACGAGGTCACTTTTCAGGGATGCAGTTAGTTTCTTTTTAAGTTTTGCTCGCAATGGATGATCAGAAATGAGACTTAACCGACGGGTGTTTGATCGTTCGGTTGGTCGGTCGGGCCGTCAGTTGAAATCCTTACTGATTTGTTTTACGACGAGTTATTAATCTTTTAGTGAGTTGATGTTAATAAGTGAGTCCAATCTTGTAGGTCTTGGCCAGCATTCTGTATCGTTGGCTCATGGATTTCGACAAAGTTTGTGTGGCCTGTGAGGCCCGACTGAGCCCGGAGACTCAGAGAAGCGTTGCTATGTTTGCTGAAATAGTTTGGCATGTTTTTGTCAATTTGGGAAGAACAGAAGGTTGGCGATTCCACTGAATATTATGCTTCTTCTTCTAATGACCCATGTTTGATCTAGCAGTTCGTGAAATTCTTCTTATGAGGGTGTGTGAAAGATAGCGAAAACCCTAAGAACCCTAAGAATGGTGAAAAACTAAGGATTAGTTTCCTCAAACACTGAAGGCTGATAAGAGTTTTTACTGAAAAGTATTTCTGATCATTGAAAGATTTGACCTGTTTTTTTTGTGTTTGATTTAGGAGGTGTACGTAACCCAGCTCTCCCATCTGATCTTGATGCTCTGTTGATATCCAAGAGGGACTGGTTGAACCAAAAGGTTGGACAAATCAAAGCCTACATAGCAAGCCAGTAAGTACCGCGGCTATAGTGGAAGTCGTGACAGAGGAACTCGTTGCGTTACAAGTCCATGTCTGCAAACTGACTTATAACTGGCACTATAGAGACGCTTCATATGATTATGTTCAGCAATCAGAACAATTCTTCTTTTCTTGTTGTGCAGGCCGTATGAAGAATTTAGTGTGGAGACTGTCTGTGAATCATTAGCTGATATTCAGTTCACTCACATGGCGTCAGCACTCCTTGCGGAACCAAAAGGTAAGAATCAGTATTTGTATTCTTTCTAAAACACGCCGCCATTGTGTGAAAACAATTGGATCGCCTGGATCTTCAGCAGAATCGGGGTGTGGTAAACCTTGGCCGTTTTGTGAAGTAAAATCGCTCTCCTTCCCATCGATGCAGAAATTTTCTTCAGTTCTGCCGATATTTCTCACTCCTTTGGGGAGCAGGCATGGCGTATGGATAAGAGCGCGCTACTTGCACCGCTGCGGCCGATTTCCGTACCTGACGTCACATGAGGGTTGAGGTTATCGTTGGCTATCTTTCTTGCTCCGCGGAGTTCTTATCCGGGTTACCAATTTTCTAGCCCCCTTAAAGACAAACACTCCAAATTCGAAGTTTGACCTTAAAAAGAGCGAAGAAGTGCCATCGCGGTGAATTAACCCTGATAAATTTCCATTTTAATTTTCACTTCAGTTATCTTCAGTAGGTCAGCGCGTCCCATAGGCTGTAGAAAGAAAACGTCATTTTATTTCGTGCAATCAATCTTCGATACGTGTTTTCAATGGCTTTATGTTCCTGGATTGTTAATCAATGCTTCTGAACTGTTTTTTTCCTGCAGGTGCAGCGTGTCTGAAGCATGCGTATACTTTCATTCAGGCCCAGAAGGTAATTTAACAAGCAAATAATTTGTTACATATGTAGTTTTTGGGTTAAACGCTGGCTTCAAAACACCTGACATTTTCTTCACCTGATCTAGAGGTTTGTTTTGGGTTCATGGTGTGGCTGAGTTTTTGTATTGAGTCTTGTAATAACTATGAAAACCTTACACAAGTCCTGGATTGCTCTCAGTCACCCATTTATGTTGACGTTTTAATTTCCCAGAGCGCATGTGAGTACGTTACCCTCGTCTCGTTCCAGTCCCTCCTGTTCTAATTTCTAGCGCCTAGCTTTTTTCGACATACAACAGATCAGAAAAATTTAGATTCACTTTTACGAACTTATGTCGCTTACTGTTCTTCTTGTCTTTGGAGAGGACCTGGAAGAAAAAATTATCCTTTTCAGTCAGCTGAAAGACAGCAAAGAAATCGCATTCCCAGCAATTGTCGGATGTGGTTAACAAGTTCGGTGGATTTCCTGTCGTATAATTTTTTTAATTAGAATTAAAAGTGGCTATCTGAAAGTTGTTTGCCAGCAAATTTTGTCGGGGATCGTCTGAAGTAAAAATCTTCGGAAGAGGCTGGTTAACAAAAGCGTATTTGTTTCCATGATAAGCCCTTCCGAAAATGACCGAGATTTTACTTACAAACGTGAATGTTGATATAGGAATAGTCAATAGATAATTTCGAAAATAAATACTGATGGAAGTCATATCTTTAGCTGCGTTTTTTTTTTTCATGGCTAACCAACCTCTCTCAATACAACAGGACTGGCTGATGAACTTGGTTCTCGTCCCAGGCCACATACTTCCACCTGTACCGTCAAACTCAATTCCCGGGACCGAACAAAGTGAAAGGTATAACCCGCTTCGACAGTTTGCTTTGATTGGTGAGTGTGATTTCAATCAAGACAAGATAGCCTCGTTCCCTTTTGATTGGAGCGCATTACTTCAGAGTTGTCTTGGGGCATCCGCGGACATCGTGAAGCGCCTGGCTTTCAATAGAAGCGAAATGCAAGGAGGGGCTTTTCTGGAGGACAGCCAGAGACAGCTTGTAAATGCGCTTAAGGCACATTTTGGGGTTACTGTGGATGGTGGGAATGATGAACAAAGTGGTTGAAGAAGGTCTACCTGTTTAGACAAACTGAAACTTATGTGTAGTCACTGTTATAAATCGTTAATTTTTTTCTTGAGACTAGCGAGATGAATTCGACTGATGTTGGTAAAATTAGTAATTAAGAGAAATATGAATAATGTAACCAATTTATGTAAAAACAGCTTAAACAGATACATTGGAAATACCTACAATAAGCTGCGGAATAAACTCATTTATTTGTCCTTCGTGAAATATCCTCTCGTGTTTTTGTTTTAATTTTGTTATTTTGCATGAAAATTTGTGAAATTTTGTTCTGTACTCTCTCCATCTCTCGCTCACGACTTACTTGTGCGATTTTGTCAAGAAGAAAGTAATTTATATATTTAGAAATATCTAGTTGAGGCAACAGCATGATCTTTACCTCGTTGGCAAGTTATTTCTGAACTTAAGGATCAACTTTCAAGATTCTCCCGTCTCTGACATCCTTTTCTAGATCGTCCATCTATCGGTGAAAGAGACCTCCAAGAGAACGGTGTTTCAAAAGTACATAAATTTTGTTCTACTGAATGTATGAGGCCAAAGAAAATCTCGATCGACAGGACCAAGATTCGAACGGTAGACGTTTTCTCGTGTGTGATAGCACGTAGCGACGACCACAGTATGGAGACCGCTGTTGCGAGAACAACTCGGTAGTCTGACTACACTAGCACAAATGGTCGGAAACACTACGTACGATTAAGTCCGTTTGTTTACAAAAATTCACATCACTATTTGGGATAAGAGCGTCACTCATTAACACGGAACTCCACGTGATTGAGGAGATCGGAGTGAGGCATTTCTTACAGGGACAATGAAGCTATGATTATGATTGAGCTGGGCGAGATATGCGCACGGACGTTATCAACCAGGGTGCATTAACACAAAACTTGATTAGATTCTACCTTCTGCTTTATTATAATAGTTCTCGCATTCTTTCTTCTCCCGTTTCTCCCCTGTACCTTACCCTTCATTGCAGTTTTTATGAGGTTCATCTAATGACTTATTATTTTTGTTTTCTTGTGTATGACGCGTCTGGCGACGACCAAACCGCGTTCCCTTTCAAGTGAAAGTCCTACGAGCCGTGCTCCACAAACCATGTAATGTTTATTCCCTCCACCAAAAATGCATACATGCAAATGAACTACAACCCGGGGTTTTGAGACTGACAAGAGTAACTCAACTGTGAGAAGATGTCTCTTAATCATATCACCCCCCAAGTGATTAGCATCTAATTTCTCCTAACAGTATTACTCCAAAAACAAACATTAAGGTCACGAGGATGAAGGAAAAGATTATTAGATGGTTTATTGATTGATAACCAAATTCGTCTTGTCAACACCTTTGGAAATATATAGAGAACAGTATGGAGAATATGCATAATGCTGTTCGGATGTAAACGGTTCATTTTCTGAGTATGGAGACCGCTGTTTCGAGAACAACTATGTAGTCTGACTGTACTAGCGCAAATGGACGTAATCACTATGCACGATTCAGTCCGTTTGTTTTTAAAAAAAATCAAATCACTATTTGAGGTAAGAGAATCACAGAAAACAGAACTCACACAGAACTCACACCGCGTGATTGAGGAGAACGGAGTGAGGCATTTCTTACAGGGACAATGAGGCTAGTAGGTGATTGATTTGGGCGAGATATACGCATGGACCGCGCCGGGAATCTGAATGATGTCCAAGTATGTACACCGAAAAATCGCGAGGATTACTCATAGTTGTTCGATAGAAATTCTCACGTCTCTGACATCCTTGATTATGCAAATATTTTAACGCACTTGAATTTTGAAAACACAGACAACAGTGATTCATTTAGTGGCTGATTTTGTTTTGTTTTCTCGTGAATGACATGTGTCCGTCTCGTGTAGAAACGACTACATGTCATCTTAGCGACGGCCCCCAAGTCCGGTTGAAGAAAAAGCGCAAAACGATACTTGTCGATCTTCCTTCACACATCAAGATGGCGCAGCTAAGATATCCAACAAAGCTACTAAACAAGTGGGTTAGGCGAGATGCACTTAAAAAGGTATCCAAAGAAAAGGTAAAAGCCATTTTGCATGCTGGAGATAGAGGGCCAAATGAAGTGAATGACTCTTTAAAGGAAGTTTTACCTAAGATCCTCCGACAAGACAACATTACGGACCAATCCAGATCTGACGGAAGGTGTACAATAGCCAACAATGAATTTCAATTATTGGGTGCTCTTTCGAATCAGTTCACTTCACCAACGGGAGAACAAAACGAGAATCCGTCCTTTTTTCATACCACATGCATGGCATGTCTCTTAGCACAAAGTAAATTGTTTGATTTGCTTAGATTAGACCTTAAGCTTGGAGATGAATTTACTTGGAACGATGGGATTCTTCACAGAGAGGAAACATCTCTAGCCACAGAGGAATTTTGCAACACCATTGATGAAGTAACTCTAGCATTTTTAGAAGAAGTGAAGCGAGAGGATAAGTCTATGACTGTTGTGCAAAATCGAGGGAGAGAGCTGAACCCAATGATAGCATGCGTTGAGGAGATAGTAATAAATCGAGCAGTTGTAGCTTCGGCGTTAGAAGTTGATATCCTCTCAGATGATGGCTACGCAATATGGAAACAACACTTGAATGCGCATGCTTCCTTCACAGCGCTTTGGGTCGTCATGGAAGAAGTTAAAAGATAAGGCTACACTTGAACTGAGGTCCATAGTTGCCGAAAGCGGCCATCTTACTAAATATTTACTTAGTTGACATTTTGATCACACGAACCCAGGAAGATGAAGCAAGACGTGTACATACAACAGCGTAAAAATGAACTTCTTTATGTCTGGTTTAACCAATTTTACTTTAAATATCAAATGATTGCAATCTCTTAAAACAAGAGCCTGATTTCAGTGGTTCTTTTTTTCTACGGCGTTGTTTTAAGAATCATGAAAGACATGAATTGAGGAGATAACCGTCTAATCGTCTAACCGTCTTAACCGTCTAATCATGAAAGAAGTAGAAATTTTGCGGTTTTTTTCGTTTCTCGTTGCACCCTAAACGCAGTGCTCCAATTTGCTAATTCATACAATACAGTATTTAGGACATCTCAAATTGTTTGAGCAACAAATTGGCCTGCCTGAAGTGAGCTGAAGTGATCGTTTAACAACGGTTCGTTAACAAGTTATATCTGAGTTTTAGGATCAACTAAATTTGTGAATATGTTTCAGTTGCATGGCGATTTCTATAAGAGAATTCTGGATGCCAAATAAAGGCGATTTCGATTTGTTCACGTCACTTTCCTTTAAAGGACTTAGGATGCAAAAATAGGTCCAAATTTAGGTTTATGAAATGGTTTAAATAGGACGACTTTATAAATATTTCGATTTAACCCCAATCATAATGTATGCGTGCACTGTGATTAATTACGGTCTGTGCTGTCAAATAAACAAAGGCAGATACTATTTTCAGTTTCAAAACTTAATTATTATAATAGTCCCGCGCTCTTTTTTCTCTCGCTTCTCACCTGTATCAAACAATCTTTCACTGCGGTTTTTAGGCAGTTCAATCAGTGACTTATTTTGTTTTGTTTTCTCGTGTATGTTACGCGTGTGGCGATGACAACAGTATGGAGACCGCTGTTTCGAGAACAACTCGGTAGTCTGACTGCACAAGCACAAATCGGAGTCGCTACGCACGGTTCAGTCCGGTTGTTTTAAAAAAATCAAATCACTATCATCAGAAATAAGAGCGTCACTCATTAACACTGAACTCTACGTGATTGAAGAGAACGGAGTAAGGCATGCATCTCACACAGGGACAGTGAAGCTAACATGATTGAGGTGGACGAGATATGCGCATGGACGCCATCAACCAAGGCGCACTGACAAACCACAGAACTGGATAAGATTTGACTTTTTGCTTTATTATAACAGTTCTCACTGCGATTTTTATGAGGTTCATTTAGTGACTTATTTTGTTTTGTCTTCTTGTGTGTGACGCGTGTGGAGACGACCAGACCGCGTGTCTTTTCAGGTGAAAGTCCTAGTTAGAGAGCTATGCTCCACGAACCATGTAATGCTTATTCCCTCCACCAAAAATGCATACATGCTAATAAACTACTACCTGGGGTTTTGAGACTGACAAGAGTAACTCAACTGTAAATGTATGTACACCAGAAAATTGAAAGGATAACTCAGAGTTGTTTAATAGAGTCTCCCGTCTCTGACATCCTTTTCTAAGATTGTTCCAGAATTAATTTTATTAAAATAGATCCAACAAACACAATAATACATTGTAAAATTCACGCCTTTTGCATGCGTGTTTTCGGAGAAGACCTGTATAGTCCATCTATGGGTGATAGAGACCTCCAAGGGAACAGTGTTGTAAAAATACATAAATTTTGTTGTACTGAAAGTATAAGGCCAAAGAAAATCTTGATCGACAGAACCAAGATTCGTACGGTAAAGAGGGTATAGCCACTTCCAGGACGAAACTAGTTTAAAATGTCCTTAGCAAACATGGCGATCCCTCTTGATTCACGCATTTCGATAAACAACTTCCATGTATCAACTGTTCCCTTAATTCTCACAACGTGCCTCCTACGTCGTGGAGCTTTGGGTATAGCAACTAGGAAACTTAATTCACTTGGAAATAAAGAAGCTAAAACTGGTGTTCTGCTAGTTCCAAATTGGTTGAAGATTTTAAATTCAACATAAAATTTACCTTTAGGAACTTGGTTGTGACATAAGTCATAGCTACGAACTTTTCAACACGTTTGCATAGATATGCATTTATCATTCAGAAAGAAAACTGTTGTTTAACACTCTCTGTATGGATGTTAACTCTAAAAAAGTTTTCTGCACACTGTTTCACAAACTCTGTCTTAATTGTTTCATTTGAGCAGAAGTAGTCAAGAAATGCTTTTCAGTATTAAGAATGACATAACTTGATCGAATTCTGCCCCGTTTCTTGCTGTGAAATTCCCTTTTTAAAGAGTTGTTTGTATATGATTCGATTGCTGCCAAACTCTATCAGGCAGATGGAAACTGTTGCTTTACCATGCCTTGTCTTTTCACCTAACAGAAAACTACCAATTGACATTTTGCATCATACAGACTAACTGCCTCTCCAAAACCTGGAGTCGGCACCATCACAAAATAATGTCTATCTAATTACGAGCTGCTCTTGTTCTGCCAAACATAAAATTTAGTCTCCATACTTATTATAATATAACTATTTATTTACTACTCGTCCTCCTCATCAGAGGACACCACAGAAGGTGGCTCTGCCGATGGCAACAGACCGCATGATACCATATCCTCTTCCGTCATACATTTGGGATCCATGGCACTGAATCGTTTTCCCATGAATTGCCGAAGATGAATCTGTAAATTAAAAAAGAGATCAAATTAAAGATTAGGAGCATAAATAAAATGCAGATCTGATTTACTGATATCTCTGTCTATCAGCTTTTAGCTTTAGCCTTGCTTGGTTCACCCTTTAACTCTCATGAGTAACCAAGACAGAATTTCTCCTTACAATATCAATACAATATTGACCAGATAAGTGATAAGAATTTAAAAATATCAATTTGAAAATGATTAGTTGATCCAATACCAAATTCTCTGCACCAACATTATGAGAATTGTATGGTTGACAGTAAGGAGAATTTCAAATTTGATCTGGGAGTTAAAGGGTTAAATTTCTTTGGATCAATGTCAGTGTAAAAGCAACTGCGCACCTACCCCTCCCCTGACCCAACAACAGTCAACTGATATAAAGCTAGGGTCAATGTTTGGTTGGGGGAGGGGTAGGTGCGCAGTTGCGAGGATCATATTGTAAGTCAGGTCAATTCAAATCTAGCAAATCTACTGCTATTGCTCGTTATCCGAAAAATTCGCGAAGCGACGCGACACGCGTGAGTGTAACATGTAGCTTTTGTCATTATGTAAATTTTCCGTTGTCTACTCGCCGCTTTTTCAAACCCAGAAGTCCTTTGTTTCATACAACAATGAAGGAAACTTCTAGCATTGAATAACAAAGGCATATGAATCGCGCATTTTTTCGACCATGTGCGCAAAAAAATCGTACATACGCGTCTGACTACACTGCGTCGTAGCGCATGAAATTCGTCTGCGCAGTTAACGTATACGCGAGTGGTACTGTATGTTTTTGTTGGCCAACTGTTTTTTTTTTTTTTTCAACAAATCAGTTAGCAAGTTCTGACTATTAATTCTACAAGTTTCCCTGTAAACGAGTTACCAGAGCCACAATCTATTTATTAATTCTCTGCACTGTCTTCCAAACATTTCTTATAGTTTGAGCAGAGAGAATTTGATGTTTGATGACAAAAATCTCCCCTAGTTTAGATTTCTTCCTTCTAACAACCATTCTGTCTAAAAATGCATGTGTATTCTGAGGGGAAAATCCTTTTTTGTCACTCCTGGTTAGTAAAATCTAGTGTTTCTTGTTTCTTAGCACACCTGTAGGTAGAGATTAACATCAGCACTCCGGCAAAGATATGGAAAGTTGCCACCCTTCTTTAAATGAGCTCTCTTGGCATCTGGATAACACTTGTAAAGTTCTTCCTTTACTGGCTGTGAGAGGGCACAGTCATCAAAAACCTACAACAGACCCCCAAAAAATGTGCCTTTTATTAAAACAAGATTGAATTAAAATATATCAAAATATGTTTTGTTCTAGAATAAGTATAGTTCTGAAAAATAACATGTTATGAACTAAAAATTATTGGTCATTACAAATGAGATTTGTCTGAAAATAAAATAATAGAATTTATAGAGTAAATTACATCCATTTGAAATCACTGGTGATCCTTGCAATCTGATTGGCTCTAATTGGTGCAAATCACTCACAAATCCCACCATTGTTTGCTCTAAATTGCATATTTTCCCCAGCCGATATGAACTTTTAACTAAAATACATTATCCTATCAGATTTCAAGGCGTGTTTAATTCAAAGGAACCAATCAAATTGCAGGAAAATGGAAGAAAAAATTTGCAACTTTTTATAAAACCAGCCCAGTACTGGATGAAGAAAATACTTGTACATACTAAAAAATCCACCATTTCAACCATTTTCAATTAAAAATGAATGAGAACTTGGTTGTCAATTTTGGTAATCCCAAACAGTGCAGAAAGTTGAAAAATTGAGGGCAAAGAAATTTGAAAATTGTCAATTAATCCCAAACAGTGCAGAAAGTTAAAATTGAGGGCAGAAAGTTAAAATTGAGAGCAGAAAGTAAAAATTATATTGATTGACAGGAAAAAGGAATATATAATTATTGTATAATATATAATAGTAATCACATGAGTTTTCTTGTGCAAATTGAAATAAATCTGCACTCATAGACTTTCCAAAGACTACAGAGGCACTTGACCAACAGGCTCATGCAGTTTGGTAAGCCTTATGCTGATTTATCCCAAATTTTTTTTTTTTGGATTTTTTTTTTGTTTTTTATTAATCCCAAATTGCATGTGATTACATATAAAAATTGAACTCCGCTCAGTTCAATTACCATCAGTTATCAAATGCCCGAAAAAGACAATGGTCTGTATCTTTCAACAAATTAAAAATAACATTGTTTTCTTTTTACAGCATCAGTAAAACCTAGCTAAATGAAATTTTGTATGTTAAAAATGAATGACTGTTACTTTTAAGGATTTTAGGAATTACATTATATAGCTTAAGAGTCAGTTTCACTCGTATTTCTCTATTGGATATAGGTCTGGTGGTAACTACTTACATCAATAATAGTTGTAGGAATTCCAGCAAGTTTCTGTGGCTCAACATACGAGTCCAAACAGTTAAGTGTCAATCTTGATGCCAATTCACTTCTTCCCAAACTTTCCAGCTATAAATCAAGAACATGACCACATTTAAGGTATGCTAGTTAAATATTTTAATAAGTACTTTGTGTGTGTACTTGAGGACTGAATAGCACTCCTGAATCTACAAATAACATGACATTCAAAGGTTAAAAACATTTATCCTCATTGTTTGCATTTTGCATCATGGTAAGTCTGCCATTATAGAGCAAACAGGTTGAAAAGCTGGATAACCTCATGAGTGATTTATTAAGAATGTTTAGCTTCTTCCAAATGCTGTATAGCTAATACTGGCCAACAAAAACTGCAGAATTGCAATTACAATAAAATATAATCTACCTTAGGTGTAAAAACTGTTTAAAGTGTACTTTAGCAGCCTTGTAAAGTTGGATGCCGGTGTCAAGCTATCATTTTCCATTAACACAATGAAGAATTAATCACCAGTAATAAAGGAGTTAAAACACCCAACTACTGTAGCATGTAGGAGGCACAAGTTTGCATCCCATTGATTCCAGAATTTTTTCAGGTTTGTTTCCTGCAATTTCTTTAATTAAAGCTTAAATCCCTTTGTAACCCTTTCACGTTAGATCTCATTAGTAATTCTCTTAACTGCTTGCCTTAAAATTCTTAATATATGATTTTATTTTGGAAAATTTAGTACTGGATCAACTAATAATCCCCTACTTGACATTTTTCTTTACTCTCATCACTTGTCTGCTTGATATTGTAAGGAGAAATTTTATCTCAGTCACTCATGGGAGTCGAACAGTTAACTTCAGCATCATCTGCATGTCAAAATATAACTTTTTAAATTTCACTGTGAAACCAAACTGAATCTGGTTTCATCATGAATTTTTACCTATCTTATAAATCTTGTCTTATATATATTTTAATTCTTTATCATTAGAAGGCACTATATTTTGAAATTTCTTTGCATGTTCCTGTTTGATTAATGCATGTAACACTTACCCTCTCCACCATAAAGTCTATTGAATCAGCTATGTCCTCATCAACTTCTTGTGTTGTGAAATTGTTCATGATCATTTTCTTCAAGACAAAGGCAGGCATTACCCAAAAGCTGTTAAAAAAGAAAAAAAAGAGGAAATAAATGCAAAAATTAAAATTAAGGAGACTTGCTAAGTTATGCTGAGATCAATGATGTCTTTACTAGAACAATTACCAAACTTCCCTTTTAAAAATTAATTCTTTCCAATGGCTAGGGAGGTTATATCAACCAAAATCCTAAATAATGCAGGAAGTAATAGACTTTTCATTGTCTAGGTGATTGCATTCTTACTAGTGGGCAACAATAATCTGATACAATTGTTTTTGAAAGTCCATCCTGATCACTTCAGTCAGGCAAGGTAGTCATTAAGAGAGAACACAGGTACAAGTTTATCACTTCTCATCAGGGGATGTGATCATGATCACCAATGTATTCTACAAGGAGGGGAAAAAATAATTGCCCTATGCATTGTTGTACTAAACTACAATAAGTAATGTTAAGTGTGTCCTTGAGTCAAACAACCAACCCAGTCAGAGCTTATCCCAGTTTCCATAGCATGAAGTGACTAGAAGTATCACCACTCACCACTCATCCCTGGATTGGATACTCTTACATCTCAAAGTAACCCCCAATTTCTTTTGTTATTGTACTTTCAGTTAGTCAACTTACCTAGAAGCAGTTGAAGTCTGCTGAAAAACAGAAGTATCAGCAAAAGCATTGCACAGAATCAGTGAATGTACTCTTGGGCTTTTGTGTGTCAATTCTGCGAACTTCTGTGCAAGGAAACCTCCAAGAGATGCCCCAAATATATGGACCTAAAAAAGAGGAAAATTTATCAAGTAAGGACCACTGACAATTACTTTTCAAGATACCCTAAAAATCGCTTGTAGCTAAGCGCAGTAACAAGCTCATGTGAATTGACATAAACCTTTTAGGAGGAACAAATTTAGAATTTTTAAGTGAGTAGTTGGTAAAGGGTACCTGCTTTGCAAGGGGCAGCAGAGACTTATTCACACCTTTACCACCTTCCCCCTCCCTTCCTTATTCAACCAAAATTCTTAAGCATGTAAAGAGAGAGAGAGACCTTTTTACTTTTACCAGGTATTTTTCCAGGTTTGCTTTCATGGTTATACAGGGACCATCTACCTGGATTTATCCTTCACCCCCCTCTGGATAACTCTGGTGGTAATCATTACCAAAACACAAAATTTTATTTGCAAAAGATGTGACTCTCAGCCTCTTAAGAGAAATAGTCTGTAACTTTTGCACTTTTTCAAAAGATTGCAGCCACTTAAGCTCACCGATTTGGCTGAAATTTGGTATGAAGGCTGATGTTAGGGTCCTATTCATGAAATGGATATTAAAAAGTTCCAGTAATGTTGTTTTTGCTTGACAAAATTGATAAAGCCAGCCTAGTCTGCCCATACTTGCCCACCAACATGGTATATCAAAGGTGTTCTTAGGACTTCAACTTGAGTCCTGTCATAAAGATTTCCTGACATTTTGGGAGCAGCTCCAAAGTCAGCTTACTGGTCCAAAATAAAGGTCTAGGTACATATTTCCTCTGGAATAAAAGCAAATTTCTAAGTTTCCCCAATAGTATGGAAGAATCTGTTGATTTTAGGCAAAAGCAAATATCTCTGAGCGATACTGTAGCAATAGGATAAATATTTGGTTACCCACTAAATGTAAACAATCGATTTGCCATTAACACATGAAGGGGTTGATTTTAATTACCATTTTGAGAATGAAAAATTTTGAAAAGAAAAGATTCTTGTGAATTCCAACCTAGTTCTTTTGATGGCGGTTGGTGAGTTACTCAATTTTGATGCCTATAAGCTTCAATTGATACTACTTGTCACACCTTGTTATGTAAATTACATCATGTTTTTGAGTTGGTTTTTGTTTTGTTTTTTGTTTGTTTTAACATTTTTTATTTCTATAAAGAAAACCCAACGTTTCAGGATGCTACCTTGCAAATTGTTCTTTTTCACCAATGGTGAGCACAAAATGCATACATAAGGTGCTTCCACTAAGGACATCGACATGAATTGAGTGTTGTTTGAAATAAACATCACCTTGATGGAATGTGCAAGCAATCGTTAATTTAGCTAACTCTAAGATCTTTTCTGTTTTGAGAGACTGTTTGTGGAGGATATTTAAAAATATATTTTTTTGATGACTCTATGCTAGCTACTTGTATACAAGGTCTAGAGTTTTAAAGCCTAAAAATTGAATAGAAAGTCACAGTCGCTGAGTTTTCCTTTTTCAAAAAAATGATATTGGCTAGGGCATTGAACATGATTTTGGCCCCAGGAGCAGGAGTTTATAGGAATTAATTTTCAAAAGTTCAAATAGCTGCAGGGAGGAAGTTGAAGTTTCAAACTGATCATTGCATAAGCATGAAATTTGTCTCATGACCTACTCTAACCCACAGTAATTGAATTTTACATCTAAAAGAAGCATCAATGAGGTTTAAACCTCGTAAATGAGGCTTCATGTCTCAAGTACACCATGATAGGTATATGAACTTGCTCTAGGTGATGGCATATGTGAAACTATCCTCAGCAAACCTTGAGAAACCACACTTGACCAAAATTATTCTTGAGCATTCTCTTCATGCAATATCATAAATAAATGGAAAAAAGACTAGATTGCTTAGGGTTAGTAGTTATGTTAAATCAAAAGATATTTCCATAGTATAAAGACAGAAAATTTCTGGACGGTAAAAGAACCTTAACCATTTTCTTCTGATCAGCAAATTAATTTAAGAGCTTTTAGGACTAGGTCCCAAACATAGCAAGGTAACTACAGGTTGATAATTTTTTTTCCATGACTCCTTTCTTTCTCCTATTTTTTTAACTTATGAAATCTGTTCATCTATGAACAAACGTTATTAATAGTAAATGGTAACTTTGGAAGCAAGGTAAGGCTGGAGATATTAGGTTACTAAGTTGGGATAAATTTTTCACTGTTCAAGACAGCCTAAAGTGCCCTTAAAATGTTGGGATCATATGTTGTTAAAACCAGATTTTTCCCATATTTGTTTCAATAAATGTTAAGAGGAAGGGAAGATCTTTTCATGGATATCACAAGATTTTGAGAAAGCTTTACAACAAGACTTGAATTGAATCCAAAAGATCACCATCGATCTGCCCATATTGGCAAGCAAGTATGGGCAGACCATGTGCAATTTTCTAAATTTTTTTTTGCCAAGAAAAAATAACTGGAACTTTTTAATATCCATTTCATAATTAGGAACCTAAAACAAGACTTCATGCCAAATCAGTGAAATGAAGTGGCAGACAAAAGTTCGAAAGTTACAGACTATATGCTTTTTGTTCCCTCTGCAATATATACACCAACCTCATCTAGTTTCAGGTAATCCAAAAGTCGTCTGAAGCCTTCAGTCCACTCACCATATGTCCAATACACAGGATACTCTACCTGAAAAAATTATTGAAGATTTAAGATTTAGCATGTTTTGAGGAAAAATTGAGGTAAGGGCCTTCACCATAATACACCTAATACACCTGAGTCAAGTCAGAGTCACTTGACTCTGATAATGACTTTTGCCAGACAAAATCCACTGACAACAGCTTTTCTCAGGACTACCCTCACCCAGACAAAAATATTATGATCAAATGGTTTCAAATCATTACTCAATAACACTATGATCATTGAAAAGGAAACAGCGCTTAAAAAGATATCCATTGGACTTGTGATTAAAACCTTTAAACCCTGATATCAGCATGCATATTCTTGACACTGTTCTCTACACATTTCCTAAGATATTGACAAGGAGAATTTGTGCAGCGATCCAAAGCTTCTTTAGTCGCTGATTATTTCTTTAATTCTTGTGACTTTAACCCTTTCACTCCCACAAGTGACCAAGACAGAATTTCTCCTTACAATATCAATACAATATCAAGCTGGCAGGTGATGAGAATAGAGAAGAATATCAATAATGGGATTATTAGTTGATCCAATACCAAATTCTCTGAACTAACATCATAAGAATTGTATGGCAGATAGTAAGGAGAATTACTAATTAGATCTTGGGAGTGAAAGGGTTAATGGGTGATTCACAGAAGATATCAAGGAGATATGTAAGGAGGAACTAGATCCTAGTTTCTCTCAGGGGATGAAAGAATTAGTACAAGTTTGCTCCAGCATTAGGTAAGAGAGGCAAAATATTGCTAAAATTTAGGTATAGTGTACTCAGTACAGGATGACTACTTTCTTCAAAGTAAAATGGTCATAGTAGATACCCATTATATCATATCCTTGTATTCTGTATCAAAAGCCTGATGAGAGTTGTCAAACACAAGTGTACTGGCCATCCTTTGTTTTCATAGTATTTTTCAGTAGAACTGATAGGAGATTTGATAAGGAGAGGGTGCATATATTTTCTTTTCATCATGTAAAACACACACAAATCAAAATTCTTCCATTTGCCATGACAAAGGATAACCCTTGAAATATCAACTTTAGAACTTCTTTACAGTAGCCAGGTTTCATTATCAACTCAGTTAGTACAACCAGATTATCTTGTTATACCCTTACTGACACAGCACCATAGTTTCTTGAAAATTTACCCCCTTATTTCATTTGCCTATTTTATATACTTGGTTGCTTGGAATTGCATTTATTCTAAGGGAGTGCTCATTTGAGGATAGGTGATAATTGAATTATTTATTTTAATTATGAAACTTACAGATATCACCCTGTAACCAAGACTTGAGAGGGTAAGAATTTGTTTGAAAAACACATCAGCAGTACCACTTGCAGGGGGTAAACAAACAAGGGGGCACTGTACACTACGAGGACCTGCATCATATATCAACCACTCTTTTTCATCATCATTATCAACAACAATCTGTAAATGAAAAAAGAAACTATACTACATATCAAATTTATTATTTATTTAGTAGCACACAATAATTGAGAGGAATTCTCTTGAAATTTCAATTTGTCAAAGAAGAACCACACATGCATTCATACAACTGCAGATCAACCATGAAAATTGGGTATTATGTCTGAAAAGTAACTGTATAGATTCACTTGTTCAGAATTGAAAGCCCTTCATGTCATCATCATCATCATCATCATCTTTTATGTGCCTTATGTACACAAATTATACAAAAAATTTATTTACAGCAGTTATAGCTAGAAGGCGACAAGACCCAGGAAGCCATTGGGCTTATGGGAGAGCCACCTCAATGTCAAGTGTGAATTTGGTCAATTTTAATGGGACTGACAGGCAAAAAAATTACCTGATTTCCTCTCCTGCAAAGAAAGATACCCAAATTTACTTTAACCCACAATTTCAATGTTGTGGGTTATGAGAGGGTAGCTTAGAGAGTTTGCTCTGTACAAGTTAGATGACAAAAACCAAGAGAGTAGACATCTACATTGGATGAAGAGAGTCAAGACTGGGAACCTACAGAGACAATATTTTCCATAATAATGATGGGATGGTTAGATGGAGAAATTGGAAAAGGAATTTTTCCAAGTTGAAGAAGACATCCCCCATGCAATGAAATTAAGTAAAATGTACCTTGCACAAGAAACGATTTGTAATCTATGCAAAATAATAAGCTAAATGCAGTATTCTTAAATACAAATAATTGTCTAGTCCTCCTTAATACAGTGAACAATTTATCATACGGTCAACGAGAAGAGATTCAGAAAATTTTGTAAAATGCAACGAGGCATGTCAAAAAGCATTTCTCTTTGACTTCCGTCTAAGTGTATATATGCAATATTGTTTAAATATTTTTTATTAGCACTTATATTCACAATATGGAGGAAAAGTTTCATCCATTGAAGAAAAAAAACTTGTCTTGAGCAATCAGTGCATGTGAGACCTCGAGTGATCAAAGTTGGACCGATCATGTTAGCGCAAGCATTGCACGAGAAATGTGCATGATCCTTGAACAATCAAAATAATAAGCTAAATGAAGTATTCTATAATACAAATAATTGTCTAGTCCTCCTTAATACAGTGAACAATTTATCATACGGTCAACGAGAAGAGATTCAGAAAATTTTGTAAAATGCAACGAGGCATGTCAAAAAGCATTTCCCTTTGACTTCCGTCTAAGTGTATATATGCAATATTGTTTAAATATTTTTTATTAGCACTTATATTCACAATATGGAGGAAAAGTTTCATCCATTGAAAACTTGTCTTGAGCAATCAGTGCATGGGAGACCTCGAGTGATCAAAGTTGGACCGATCATGTTAGCGCAAGCATTGCACGAGAAATGTGCATGATCCTTGAACAGATCAACGCGTATTTGAATTGTTGATTCGTAACATTCTGAAATTCAATATTTTGAGCAATAAACTTCGTGAAAATAGTATGAATGTGTACAGCTTTTTTACTTACCCGTTTCAAAGGGACAGAACTGCGAAAGCTTATGTATTCTTGAGATCGTGTAATTGAGCTCGCACCAGCCGCCATATTGATAAAGCTCAACTCGATTCCAGATCTCCTGTGTGTTTTTTTATGGATGAAGAAGCGACTGAAACAATTGAATTTGTCCAACCTAAAGCTTGAGGTAAATCATGTACAAAACTCCTCCATGAATGCTTAGTAATTGAAGTTCCGGAGGCTCGAAAGGAACTTAAAATGAAATGCAATCCTTTAAACTAAAGTTGGACTCAGTCCTTATTGGGGTCTAAGCAAACACATCGTGTTGATTGAGGACTGGGACTAATGAAAATGAACGCGCACGAAATTCGTACTAAAGGAGGTTTTTTTGTTTTTTTAAGGAAAATTCTTTATCTTTCGTTTAAAAGATGCGTGTCCTTTACTCAAAAAAATAGGGAAGCAGGAAAGCAAACTAACAAGGAAGATAAGTCACAAAGTCCGGATGCAGATTACAAAGTCCAATGAACAATTTTAGGAATCTTACATGACGTATATATCGAAATCGCAGCACAGCAGTTGTTGTGTAGTTCCGGGTTTGCTGAACTCAAGACGACGGGGTAAGCTAGATTCCTTACCTCAATCATTTTATGTAGATAGAGCAATGCTAATGCATGGAAACATTTCTTAAAACTTAGCCGGATACAAAAGGGAACGGTTAGCTTCTTCGAGTGATAAGATTTTGGAGAGTCTTCCAATTTTGATCATCAACATCAACTGTAATCGTTACTTCAAATGAATTTATTTACCCCTGGTAAAACGCGGTATATATCTAGATATGACTAGGTGAACGGAACGTTTGATGTAGGATACATACTAGTCTTACGTTCCATTTCAAATGTCAATCTTGCCTACAAACTTTCCTGCGTAAGTCTGCTCGCAATGAGTTAAATTGTGCGTGACCGAGCTGATCAACTTCAATACGCCGGTAGATGTTGCACCTTAAAAAAAAGGGAAGCATAGCTTTGATGGTACATGATATTTATAGAATGGGAAGAAAATATGAACGCTTTATTGTTATCAAGAAGTCAAAATGGTTTACTTTAACGCGATTATTGCGCGAACCATTCACCATTATGACTTAGTGGAGGAATTGCCAGTAATCGGACCCCATCGATTGCGTGATGATCCCTGAGAAGGCTAGAAGGAAATACATGGCGAAGGTTGTTTCGCCGGTCCAAAAAACGATTTTGGAGAGAGATCAACGCTTTCTCGCCGTCTTTATAATTTAAAAATGGATTTAAACAATGTTGATGCGAGGGAAATGTAGGTTTTTGTTTGAATAACCATAAAATATGTAATAAAATCAACCAAAAAAACTTCTTTCCTCGTGTAAGGTTAATTGTGAATTTGACATCGCGTAGTAGTCTCAATACTACAAGTTTGCTTTAAATCGCTAACAAATAACTTAATAAAGCCCTTTTTAGGTATTTACAGTACTTATATAAAGTATATTTCTGGCTTTTCCCTTGACTCGGTAATACAAAGGGGCGCTACAACAGCTACCTCGAGGCAGCAGGGCGTTGAAATGGTTTGTCTGAGCACAGTTGTTGTGATTCATTTAAGCGATTGTAGCGAACGCACAGATAGATTTTCAAATTTTAATTATTTATCCGGTGCACGTGATTTCTGAAATACGTGAAGATGACCCAAATCTCAGTACAATGATATCAAACAAGGTACATGTAAATGAAAATTTAACGAAGAGCAAGAATATACCTGACAGTTAGGATAATTCTAAGCAACGATAGAGACACTCAAGGAAAATTGGCGCAAAAAGTTATTTGAAAATGCTATTACCGCGTAGAGATTGGAGACTAGGAAACTGCTGAAAGTTGTTGCAACAAATTGTTTGTTGTGATCGCTGAGAGTGAATCAGCGTTGATCATCGGTTCAAGATTTGAACCATTTCTGCTGCGACAACGAGTATTGGTACAAATGGACTCATAAAAACCGCCTTCCAACTGAATAGAAGGCTTTCTGCAGCATTTAAACCACCGATAGTCTTCCAGTCGCTTCAACATGGAGAAGGGAAGCAGACCTCCGCTGTCTCAGGGCACGCCCACAACACCTGACACCGCCCGCTCTGGAACAAAGTAACGTTTATTGATAGTGACGCCCATTTCTACACACGTAGGGTTAAAAAGGTAATTCTTATAAGACTTCACCCTCACAACATCAACATTGACAGTGGAACAGAGATCCCAGAAGGCTGGATGCTGACGATCGAGAAACGCAACAGCAGGAGACTCGTGCGACAACGGACCGCAAAGGGAACCTGATACGAAGATGCACCAATAAAGCTTTGGAATACCATCCAATCAAATCTGAGCACAGCAGCATATAAAATAATTTGGTTTCCTCAACTGAGTGGATAATGTACGTTGGCCACCATAAAGAGTTTTTAAATTGACGTTTCGAGCGTTAGTCTTTCGTTGCAGCGAATGGGGGAATTGTGGGTTTTGTATGTGTTTCTATGCAGAAAATGGAGCTAACGAGAATAAAATTGCAAACTCCGAACTTCCTGCGTGCATACATACATATGTCGATTATTTTTTTCTATAATCTGATTGGATCTTAGCGCGGTTCGTATTTTCCTATCTCTGCCCACGGGCATGGTAACGCTTTCGTGAGTCGCCGAGTACATCCCTACCTTCGAACACAACTTAGTCTAATTATTAAGACGTACCCTGAGGTAGCTCTAAGAAGCTTTTGATTTTGTTCTGTGCTTGTACTTAACATGGTAGAACTTTTTTATTTTGTTAATTAGTGCTTTTCTGTGATAAATTGTACCACTTAGATTTATGTTCGAAGAGGTTACACTCAAAGGACAGACCTAAGGCGCCAAATTCAGATAATTCAAAGTAATTCAGATTTCGTAATAACCCTAAAATTGTTTTACTTCCCATCCGTTAAGAAACAAATTGAGCTAATTAAATATTTTTTTTGACCCAGAAATGATTTATAAATTCAAAGCAATTCATTTGATAGAAGTTAACATCACACCCGCCTTAATGAGGATTCGTTAACCTCTCATTTTATGTATTTTCGATTTTGATAGATTGATCAGTGCGGAAAAGCAATCGAGTAAAAAAAAGCAAGCATGGAGAACGCTGAAGAGATACTCCAAGCTCTTTTTCTCGGCATCTCACTTGCGTCGGTTCTACTACAAACATGTCGATACGGAAAGGCTCTCGAGGTGTTTACTGAATGCTTGGAGTTTCTTAAAAAACACGATTCGAGCTTGGAAGCCGAAACATTTAAACGCCTCTCAGCACTAGTCTACTGCAGGTTATCTCACATTTATTTCCATATTGGAGACTCCAAGAATGGCTTTGAAAAGAGAGAAAAGGCAAACGCTCTATATCCCCAAATGGGTGGCAGTCAAAGTTCAGCTGAATTTTTGGCTAAACCTGGTGATGAGCACGTGTCTAAAACCCATGACTCGCCAGATAATGAGGAGGACCAAGAAATTCATGAAGATCCATTATCAGCCAGGAATTATAGAGACAAGATTAAGGAAGCAGATGAACTTGACAGACTCAGTCATTTAGCTCTTTCTCGTTTCGAATACTCCGAAGCCAGACGCCTTTTAGAGAGATTAGCTGAACTATGGGGCGAGCTTGGGGACAGGGAGGAAGAGAAAACTGCAATCTTTCGTCTCGGCGAACTATATAAGTCACTTGATGAGTACGACCAAGCACAAACGTATTTTGAAAAGGTCCTACTGATGGCGGAGGAAGATGAAGACACTTACATGCAAGGAGCGGTTTTTGGCAAACTTGGGGCTTTATGTAACTTTCGCGGTGACTATGTCAAGGCAAAAAGCTTGCGCAAGAAGGCACTCGAAATTAGTTTGAAGATTGGAGACAAGAGAGGAGAGGTTATTGATTACAGAGTCCTCTCTGATGTTCTGCTCAATCTTGGTGAATTTAAAGAAGCTCAAGACTGCTGCTTAAAGGCACTCACTCTTAGTAAGGAAATTGGCGACAGTGAAGAAGAGGGCTTGGCATACAGCGAGCTAGGTGATATTCAGAGAAAGTTGAAAGACTTTGAATTAGCAGAGCACTACTACAAGAGTGCAAGGGAAGTATACGAACTAATTGGAGACTTGGAAAATGAAGAGAAAGAAAACAGTCGACTTGGTGTACTGTACCGTTTTCTTTGCAAATACGATTTGGCACTTAAAAGTCATGAGAGTAGTCTTATTATAACGAAGCAAATGGGTAATAAAAGAGGTGAAGCCAAACAATACAGCAACCTTGGAGCTGTTTATCAAGATCTCGGAAATTACCTCATGGCTAAGGAATGCTGCGAACAAGCCCTTGTTATCAGCACAAGAGAAAATCACTTAAAGGGGCAAGCAATTGATTATGGCAATCTAGGAACTGTCCACCAGCTTTTTGGTGACTTCACAACTGCGTACGAACTCCACCGAAAAGCGCTGCAGATTAAAATTCGAATTGATCTCAAAGAAGGATTAGCTGAAGATTACTTTAATCTCGGTCGTTGCTGTAAGCATCTTGGTAAATATGCAAAGGCAAAGGAGTTTTGGCAATTAGGACTTGATGTCGCAAGAACTACTGGTCACAGTCTGATTGAGTCAAATATCATTGCTAGTTTGGCATCCGTGGAGCAAACTATTGGCGAGTATGAAAGCGCTAACGCTCATTATGAACAGGCACTTCTCATCAGCCAAGAGGCCAAAGACCTCAAGCGACAGGCATGTATGACCGGCAACCTCGGACTAATTGCTCAGTCTCTTGGTGATATACCTAAGGCCCAGGAATTTCTTGAAAGATCCGTACAGAAACTGAAACAAATTGGATGTAAAGATGAAGAGAGCACGGCTTTGGCAAACCTTGGAATGCTCTATTGTTCATTGGGTGAATATAGTAAGGCGATAAGATACAATGAAGATGCTCTTGCCATTTCAAGAGAAATACATGACAAAGAGGGGGAAATGGCATTCAACAACAATTTGGGACAGATTTACTTGTTTCAAAAAGAATTAGAAAAAGCATCTGATTGTTTTACCAAGGCACTATCAATGGCTGAAGTTATTAAAGACTCAAGAGCTGAAAGCCTTAGCTACTGCAACATAGCATTTGTGTGTTTAGTTAGAAACGATGTACCAAAAGCTTTCTGGTACCTCTCAGCAAGCATCAAGACGCTAGAAAAAGCGTCGGTATTACATGGAGAAAGCGAAGATTTTCAGATCGGCTTTGCAGACCAACACAATGATCCTTATCGATTAATGGTTGTTGTCTTGCTTAAACTAGGAAATATTGATCACGCTTTGTCAGTGTCGGAGCTTGGACGTGCAAGATCATTGGCCCAGCGAATGGAAACTCAATATTCAGCGCAACCATTACCTGCTTTTGACCCTTTTCAATGGATTGATCATAAAAACGTTGTTCAAGACAAATCTTGCGTATGCTTGTCATTTTGCTTTTACATGGAAAGGCTATTTTTATGGATTCTAAAGGCTAACATGAGGACAGCTTGCAAAGAGATGTCAGCGAGTCAATGGCTTTCAGCAGACAATCAACCTCAACGGGACTCTTTTCAAGACAAGTTGAAGGATCTGGCGAATAAGTGTTACAGAGAGTTTTCACTTTTGTCAGGAGAACGATGCGAAGATCGCTATTTGGTTCTGGATGATGAACATTCTGAGGCTAGATCTCCAACCAAATCCGAAGGAAGCTCGCAGCCACAACAAAGTTTTGACGCTTGCCAAGTCAAGGAGAAGAATGAAGGAGGATCAGAAGAAGAACCGCCCCTCAAAGTGTTGTATAAAGTCACCATAGCTCCTGTGGCTGATCTCCTGGAAGGATCTGAGATAGTTGTTGTCCCTGATCGTTCACTATACAGAGTTCCATTTTCTGCGTTGATTAACGAGAAAGGAGGATTTCTGGCAGAAAGGTTCAGGATTCGGTATACTCCATCACTGACGACTCTCAAGCTGATCCAAGACAGTCCTGCAGATTATCACAGTGAAAGTGGCGTTCTTATAGTTGGCGATCCTGATGTTGGTACTGTCACGCACCAGGGACGTAGGTTAACACTTCCTCGATTACCATGTGCTAAAGAAGAAGCTGAGATGATTGGAAAGATTCTTCACGTTCAACCCTTAACTGGTAAAGAAGCTACGAAAGAAGCGGTACTACAAAAGATACACTCTGTAAGTCTCATTCACATTGCTGCACATGGTGAACCAGAGAGAGGTAATATCGCATTAGCTCCATCCAATCATGAGAGGGATGACTTTCTGTTGACGATGGCCGACATCTCCGCAGTCAGATTGCGAGCCAAACTGGTGGTGCTCAGTTGTTGTCACAGTGGAAAAGGACACATCAAAGCTGAGGGAGTTGTTGGCATCGCTCGAGCCTTCCTAGGATCTGGCGCTTGCTCAGTTTTGGCGTCTCTCTGGGCTGTGGACGACGAAGCAACAATGGCGTTCATGGAGCAATTCTACCAGCACTTGGTGAATGGAAAGGGTGCGAGTGACTCTCTTCATGAAAGCATGAAATGGATGAGAGAGAACCCAGACTACTCGGAAGTGAGAAAATGGGCACCATTCGTGTTGATTGGAGATGATGTGTCATTCCAATTCGCCAAATAAATGTAAGTCCCGGAATGTAGGTGGGATGCAGTGATACAAAATTAAGTGAAAAAATATAATAACGCAATTCAGAAGCATGTCTGGCGTACTGCGACACGTGACGTAGTAAGCGTGTTTTTCAGTGACAGAATCAGCTTACTATTTTTTTTTTGTTTAACAGTGAGAGAGAATTCTTCATAACTGGAGGAGAAAGTACCAGGTGTCTCAACACAGTAAACTGTGAAAGATGTTGCTGTTGTGAAGGGACTCTGAGAGGAAATACAAGTTCAGCTAAAACCTTTGTTTCAGTAGACTTTTAATTTTGAAGTGTTAAATAATTATGAGTTTTACTAGACGTGTTCTTCTTTGGAGAGAATCTCAGTGGTGTGCTCAGAGATGCGAGGACGGAGACAGCTTCAAAGAAAATGCGCTCTGAATCGAAAAAGACGACGAATAAGAAATTAATTTATCATTTAAACTGGGGTATTATACAAGGATTCCACCCCTGAGAAAAGCCGTAACAACACACGTCAAAAAATACATTAGTTTCATTCTTCTCGATCCATGGTTGTTTATCCAAATTTTCTCGGATCATGGCTGCTTAAACACTGAAAAGTCCGTATCGCTTATAGAAAATGACGTTCAAAATTTCCCAGAAGACGAAAGTTAAGTAATCAGTGGCTTTAGTGGTGGCATTTCCCGCGGCTGAAAACGAAACTCGACAACTGGAAGATTTTGTCGCTGAGGAAAAAGTCATTAACTGACAATTTTGTATATTGAATATTACTTTGACTA